TTTGCAAACGCCCTTTAGTGTTAGAAAATTTTGGCGTTACATTTTTTTAATTAACATTGGGACTGAAATAAAGGATGACTGTCCGATAATAAAAATATTTTTTTTTCGAAAGTTTTAAAATATTTGTTTCTTAAAATGTGCGACTGCACTTACATTGTTGTATATGGAAAGTTTGACAAAGCGCTACACAAGCCTCACCTCGTGTCAGCTTTTGCGGTGCGGTGAAAGCACTCAAGCTTGCCTTTCTGGCCGTACTGCTGGGTTTGTGAATGAATGTCCTTTGATTTCTGCTGATGTGACAAAGAATTTAAGCTGTGAGCATTGATATTTTTATCTTGCTCGCTTCTGGTTTCTTAATAGTATTCAAATATTGCCTTATAAATAAATTGAATTAACAAGCAAACAAAACGGAAATTCACCATGTGTTAGCTTGAATTACAAGACAAGCGTTGTTCCCATGATAATCTACATACACCTTGAGAAATAAAATGAGAGGTTAAATTTTTAGCTCTTCTCTGAAATATATTATTCGGAAAAGTCAACAATCATGCTCCAGTAACTGTACGTATTGTGATCTGATTTTGATTCGAAGTTCATCTCTGGTCTGGAATATTTTTCTTATTTGAGATGACAATTTTGCTACCAATTCTTTTGTTACTAAATTCTTTCGCTGGGGTTACCGAAACCGCGGATATTTTTCGTCACTGAGTTGGAGCTCATTATAACCGCGCGTGGCAACGCATTAGAACTCTGCTCAACCACAGACATGGAGCGTGGCGTAGCATAGTAAGCCTTATATCCCCTTTCCTAACTGACCAAAAATAAAGTATTGTCAGAGTTGGCACAACATTGAACGCGGTTTAGTATGATCCTACAATCGTCATGGTGTATGTCGTCGTGATGTCTTAAGCGTGCCTCGATTTTAAATCGTGCCTCAATTTGGGATCATTGGTATATAACTCTTTGACACTTGTGTGTCTTAAAATCGTTGGTGCAAGTCTCCTGTCTCTCGAATTTAAATCTGTTTGCAATCTTTTTTCGAGTGAAAAATTTTGCGGTTGGTTTAAGTTTATTTCATCGTGAAATTTAATTCTCATTCTTAAATAAACGATCATTAAAAACTTTGATCTGCAAACGGTGTTGAATTAGGAATGTCTTCAATCTCCTAAGTCTCAATATATAGGCGTGAATTGCTCTTCGACATCATTGTCGAAGGACAACACAACAATGGACTATCATGGACAACAATAGACGAGTCTAATTGTATCTGAAGCAATTTGACATTGCCTACAATTTTCAGTCAATGAAAATTGTTTCGTTAATTATGTAATGAACAGTAAATGAATGGCCTAGTAGCCCAGTTAGACAGAACGGAAGTACTTAGCCTTGACTCAAGGTTGGATGAAGATCATTTTATTAACAATCGAGCGATATTACCAAAATTCAGCGTCTTAATGAGGACACTTATCTTTCTTAATCAGAGCGCTGTTTTCTAGTGATCTAATTAGCCTCTATTATAGAGATATCAGAGCTGAGAGTCGTGCAAAATCTTATCGTGTTCCAGTTAGCTGCAGTTCACGCCTATTATATTCAGGCGAGCAGCTGGAAAGCTCGTATTATAACATCAATTTACGGATTCGCAAACCCACCTCCTATACCTACTTTAATTATATTTACTCAATTACCTATATGTAGAGGTGATATATTTTTAGATGCAGTGTATATTTTTCCATGTAGTTTAAGGCTATTCGGTAAAGAGTAGGTACCTACTTTAGGTTTGCAGAATTTCGTCACGAGTATGTGATAGGGAAAATTAAATCTTTTGCTGATTATTTTTTTATCTTGACAGCCAGTTTTTGCTTGAATTAATGTGAGATGTACCGTATCAATGATTACTGAACTAACTTGTAAATTCAGTTGTTCAATAGAAAATTCTGTGATAGGTTTAGTTCTGAAGCCCCTAGTTCGATGCAACGAAAGCTTTGGAAGTCGTGAGACAGTTCGACAAAACTGCAACGTGAGTCTGACCGTCGCTCTCGGCGACTTTCTATGTGGACCTGGATAAAGTTTCGTAGAGGTAACCTCAATGTTTGTCTAAACTGACTTATAGACAAAACCTTACCCTAATTTTTGCCGCAGACACGATACAGTTTTAAGATGACCGGAATCTAAACCACAATCGCTTATCAGTGATGACTGCATTATTCCCGGCACTTTGAAAGGGGTTGTTAATACTTCCCTGATATTTCCTTGCTGACGAACCTTATTTGTTGGAATTTAACGTTGTCGTTGCGTGGCTCGAAAATACAAATAATTTTTTTTTCATTCCCTTTGTTCCGGCAAAGTCTCCAAACATAGACCCACACTTGTTCTTTTCGATTTAACTTCATATGACAAAGAAGTACTAGGAAGAGCTTGCCACTTGTGTGTATAGCGCAGGCAAGCCTTACAGCTGTGCGCACGTGAAGCTCTGAGTCACACTCTCGTACATTGCCACGCATGAATGTGGAAAATACATTGATAGAACTAAGAAACTGAGCTTGTATTCTGTGAACGTTTTGTCGATATTAGTAGCATCATCATCTATAATGTCTGGCATTTATAATCAGTGTTGTTGACATGATACTCGAGATTGCCCTTAATCGGCAGCGGTATGAGTTCGAACTGCATAGCTCCTCGTATCGCATAAGCATTGGATAAGTGATAGAAGTGCGGTCTTCATTGTTTAAGTAATGACAAGCTCTCGCGAAGTTCAAATGTGAACGCTACCGTCACATTACGGCACTAAACTCATTCCATTTAGTGCTGCATGCAGACACGCCCTATGTGGAGCTTTCTAATTCACAGAGACGGGCGTGCTAGAGAAAGTTGGTCGCATTCGTTCAGGTTCGAGATCATCATATTAGTGATGAAGTGGGGTCGTACATGCAAATGTCTATTGAGTTGCTTACCTTTTCGCTTAATTTCGGCGAGATTAAAACTTGTGAACGTATTGTTTTTGGTAGGTTCAAACTGAAAAAAAGTTAGCAAGTAAAAAGTTATCGGTCAAACATAAAATTTAGAAACGACTCTGTTGCAAAGAAATTTAGGACGCGATCACCGCTTTCTGTGTCACTAAATATTTCTGAATATTATATCAATTCTCTTATAACCGACGAGCAATAACGGTTGTATGAGAATCTTGATCTAATGCTGCTTCCAAGTTTCAGTGATATGACGTTAATATATTTATACCACTGTACTTATGTCTTCCTCACTATTGTTTTGTTTTTAACGCGCGACTCCATTCCCTCACCGCATGCATGCCATGTAGTTATGAAGTTAACCTCATTTCTTTTGCGGTGAGAACGTACGATGCGAACATTCACGCAGACCTATTCTTCTACAGCCAAAATCTCTCGTGAATAATGACATGGTAATTGCATGACCTCGTAATTCATCCTGCGCCTTCAAGTCTTTTGCATGGAAGTTACAGATAAGTGTAATACAAAAGATTGAATCCAGAGTAACAAGACTTTGTACAGTGATGCAGGATTGTTCTTGGCAAGTATTTTGGAGCGAAGCTTCATTTTACGTTTTGTGTTTCCACTAATAGAACGGTTAAGCAGGACAAGAGAGATATGAACTGATATTATTTTGTATATTTTACCGCACTGGGTAATATGTTGTATTCGCATGGGATTAATATACATTCGATGCTTTTGATAGCTGAGAATAAAAATATTATTCATATATAATTCATTCCCATTATATCATGCATTCATTCCCTGCAAATCATGTTCTGGTCATTGATAAGAATATTTTAACACGATTTTCTGACTAGCACGATGTGCTGTCTAATACATAGCAGCGATGTGCGCTTTACTCCCCGAGCTTCCTGCAGAGCCGTATACTATATGGCTCCGGAACGATGGCTCTTTCATCAACACTACCACTGTGTTGCAATAGCCATTGTTTGCGGCGGTCGCATGCGGTGCTGCAAGCTCTTCAGAGTTGCTCGGTCGAGAGGAGTTCTACAGTCTTACTCAACTTCTGGTATCACAGTACTAGATATCAACCGTCTTTAATAAACTCTCGATGGTTCATTTCATATTTACGATTTACGCAGGGATCAACGAATTATTATTTAATAGTAAAGTATCCTGCGTGAGAGTGTTGTTTCGTCATTTATTCCTAGTGAAAGGTTCATCTTCGAAGTTCATCTTCGTTAATTCCTATTTCAAACCATTTTAAAAATTTATTACTCGCTCACTTGAATTTTTTTCTGTCCAAGTCTAGTAAACAAGTTCTCATCTCTATTAGTTTGCATACTAATATTATTATGAATTATATTTTGATGTACTTGGCACATTACAGCTTCATTTATCACGTCATATGATACATTTTCATGCAGTAATCATATCGTAACAAATCCCTCTTGCTCAAGCTAATCTCTCATTTGAGATCTAGAGCTCAGGCTATAATGATGCTATTGATGGGACTTGTTCGAGTTCAAATCTCAGCTCATGTCAATCGTATATAATGCTGATAATAGTCATCCTTCGAGGTACGAAGTTAATTAGCCGAAGAAATTTTTTTGCCTAGAAAGTAAAAATCCCAAAGGGTCTTGTGTTGAATCGAACGATCGGTTGAGAGTCCCCTAAACTTATATATTACCTCGACTGTAATTAACGATTGCACGTGTCATCGCAATTGATGTGACGAGTTTTTCACAATCAAATCTATCCTCAAGGCGATCATATATTATACGTTTTTTTATTTTTACTTTTGCACTATAATCGCAGTGGACGTGAGCTCTTCAAATTCAAATCTCACCGCAGGACAGTCATATGTAATACTGTTATAATTGACCGTTTTTACTCTAATCACAGTGTATGCGACGCTAATAAGGTCAAATCTGACGTTTTTTGACGTGTGGAATCTAATGTCAATCTAGGCAGTTTAAAATCCCTATCTGACGTGATTGTTTCTAAAATCTGACGTTGTTATGTCGTGTGCAGAACCTGCTTGACTCCGGCTACGTGCGGCTGCCGGGGTACGACGACTGCGACTCGTCAACGGACGACTGGGACGACGAGCTGCAACACTGCCCGTCGCCCCTGCGCGCGGGCGAGACGCCGCCGCCGTGCCCTTTCGAGTTTCTGGGCGCCGCTGTCATCATCAAGGGCAGGAGTAACCTGCAGCGCCAGCCCAGGAACAAGAAGGTTCGTTATGCTTGCGTCTGTGTCATGGAATTTTGTCATCATCTTTCCATGTTTAGATGACGCCTGGAGATAAATAACGACGGGACTGAAAATACTGTCGGTTGATTTGAAGCATGGAATTTAGTAATTTTTTTAATTATGCCAAGAGATAAATAAAGTTCGAAAAGTGATTCGGAATTAGTACTTGTTCGGTCATTTTTATGCGGAGATTAGTCGTTCAATGGACGCTTTTGCCTGGGTAAATTCTACGTTTTAACTAATGATTGAATATAAATTGTAATACTTGTTTTGTTCATTTTTGCGGCTAACGCATGACGTCAAATTCATGAACTCGTTTCTCGTAAAATTAGAAAAGGTCTTCAATTGCTCGGGGATTTGTCTTCAGTTGAGGTTGGACCAGAAAACGTCTCACAGGCAACTGCAGCAGCTGCAGAATCATCTTCATAGGTCACACCGCTCACAGGCTGAGGTCGCAGCAGCGACTATAAACTGGTCGAGGTCACCTCAACACCGTTCCTCATACTCTCTTATAAGTGCCTGCAGGAGTGCTTGCGCTTAAACAGCCTGCGCACTCTTCGGCTAGTTTATAATTTCAAATGATTGAAGCTGCGCAGGATTGCTCTCAATATATTAGGGTTAATGGTGCATGACTACCGGTAGACGGATTAGCTCAATATAGGCTAATGACAGTGCTCATATGACAGCTATAAAATTGGAAACATTAGGTCATTCAAATTTTATGTTGATTTACTACACGATTTGCAAGGGATGTTCGTCTACGTACTGTCACTTTTAGTAATTTCTTGACAGCCTGTTTCTCGTCTCAAAATCGATGGGCATGAATTTAAAATCTCACAAGTTTTACTCGGCTGCAGTAGAACGTGGCCGCAAAATAACCTTATAATCGAGGCACTCCTGTGAATTTTCCACTTCCTTACTCGTGCATTTGTGCCGGCACTGTGACGACCCTAACATCAGATCCTGTGACCTCGCAGGCACAGAGTTAAGCAAGGATCTTCAGCTGCGTTCATGCCATGAGGTCAGGTCACGCTTGCACAAATTGCTACGTTGCTTCATGTCTTTAAGGGGATTGATTTCCATCGTTCGATTTTTTGAGCAGTGAGTGGGAAATTTTCGCGCTCTGTTGTGTCTGATCACTTTCCATTATGGCGAGGCAATGGATTACCCTGTGCTAGAGAATTATTCCTCTGTACATGCTTAAGGTCATGAACCGCTCCAAGACCAGTTTTTACTGACACATGACCACAGATATATGTAAGCCAGCTTGCTGTCTCCTTAAAGAGAGCAAAACTTGCCGATAAATCGTCGTACGCGCGTAAGTTGCTCATTTTCTTGACAAATGACAGCAATAGTAATTATTCCACGAGGTTTAGTCCCACAATTTGAACAAGATTGCATTTCTCAGTGAGCCACCGATCCTATTTTGCATTTCTCGCTATTACGCAGTTTTAACAGCGCGACCACATGTACAGACCTTGCATCCTGACGCTGTGATCAGTCGCCTTGCGTATCTTATCTGCAACATCCGGTGCAGGCAGGCTCCTGCTCTTAGGCATCGGTGCTCTTTATTTCTCAGCATTTTATCCATTTATTAGAAAAATATTATAAAGATATGCCGCCACTCATATACTTAGTGATCAATCAATTACTCGAAACTACCATAAAAAACCTGCTTCGTTGTAAATGGTTCGTTCTGTGATGTAATTGCATGACTCAAATGAGATTACCGACTTGAATTATCATTCAATTAAATAAATAATAAGATAAGTAAAGTTAATGTTGTGTTAATTTCAGCGCTTCTGTTAATATATGGATGGATAAATTGGATTGTTTTTACGTTAAACGCAACCATATATATGAGATGCTATATTGCGTTAGTTTAGTCTTTCCCTTAGCTTATCGCGTTCTTTGTGATTAGGCGAAAAGTTTCATGTCTACTGTTATTACGAGGCTATTTTTTCCGTCCGCTGGTTTTTCTTATTTATAATATCATCGCCTCCGTGAACAATATTATTCACTTTCTATAACTTGATTTAATTGAATTGTCAGTAGAAAAATTGTCCATCGTCACTATTGTTATTTATTCGCATTTTTCTTTTACACGCGTCACTTTTCAGTTCCTGAACCTTACAGTTTTCTTTCTCAAATGTCGGCGCTCATTAGTTATATTGTCTATATTGAAAAGATGAAATTTTAAATGGTTTTTCTCTCTTGCGTACTTACTTTTCTCGATTACTTTATTGCTTAAACTGCTTCCTGCTGTACTTTGTTCCACCAGACAATTTGCCCGTCCAATGACTTGTGGTTTCTTTCTATTCGTTCTTTTGGATTGCTAGACGGATTCATTTTTTCCGCCAACTCATCGCCTGAGCCGCGTCTTGGATGAGGTCACGTTTGGACTGTGCGGCGTGGAACAGCAAACCTCCGTTCCTTGAATTTCTCACCCTATACGAAACTGAAAAGCTCCGTACTGCATTGATGGGAGACTTGGGCCGTTGTGGGGCGGCTGTTAGTATGAACTTTGGATCCGTTCGTTCATTCCGTTATAAGCGACTTGCTAATAACAGTTTATGCTCACAAGCCCGACTAAAAAAATGATTGATGACAATATGTCGACTGTAGTGCAATCATGTGGATCTTTTTTTTCGGTTATTGTCATGTAAAGCTAGTACTTTTTAGGATTCTATTGAATACTTGGATGTTCTCGATAGAATGCTTTAATTCCAAACGATAAATGTTACGATGTTTTCTTGCTTCCATCCTTTCCTCTGCTTCCAATGAGCATTTTTTAATTGATTCAGTTGTTTAGTTAAAACTTTTTAATGCGCACAACCTTCGCGGTGACGACGAACGTGAGGTATTTTTTTCCTCTGAAGAGTTTTACGTTTCAATTTCTGCGATCTCATTCCTTGTTACTGTTATATATTTTTCTGCGTATTCTCTACCTCAGGCTTTGAAATGTAATCTTCTCGCATATTAATTAATTTTAATTTTCCGATTATTTCATTTCTTCTATTTGTAGGCTCATCATTTAGCGTGGTTGATTCCGTCTCAAGTCTGGCCGCGTTTTTCCTTGACATCAGCATTATCAGTTTGCCGTTCATGAGATAAACAATCACTGTTATTTATCGAAATATCTTGCATCAGCTTTGTTGCCACATTTCGCTTACGCTATTTAATATTATGTATATTACAATGGTCTGCAAAAGAAAAATGTATGAAATCGGCAAAACATGCTCGTATTCATTAAAAAATAAAAGTTTTATCAGTCGTGGAATTTTTATAATACTCTTATAATCAAATGTGGCAAGCCATCATCAACTGTACCTACAATGTATGTATCTTTCATCGCTGATGTGTAGGCATAATTAATTATATTTCTCTGACTCGAGGAATAAGTGCGGGAATTATCCGCCGCTTTATGACATAATTCCCACATTTTAGTGGCTTGCGTTCCAGCCATGTCTCACGGAAGCAGTATCACCATGAGCGTTCTTACTGACTGGCTCCTTATTATATAAAAGTGACTTGTTCATGATTAGACTCACGATTATTCTCATCAAAACTTGAATTATTTTTGGTTACTTGTTCATTTATTCATTTTCGCTGTAATATTATTTTGGTTTGATGAAGACATGCAGTTTCTTTGGTTTGCGTTGTATCGATCGTACATATATAGACGTTTCCCGCTCAGGATAGATTGCGTGAGTCTTAGATAACGAAGAATTTGTGTTACCAAACATGAGGGAAAGACGCAGTTGTGCTGTGGCTGCTGCTGTAGACTTCTCACGCTGGTAGCACGTAATTCGCTTCTTCGAAGCGCATGTGTGAATTGACTGATCAAGCGATGATCTTTATCGTTCATGAAAGCCTATTACTATTTTCCAAATTTTACTTTCGGGAAAGATCGATGTTTTGCAGTACGTAGACAGCCATAAACCGTTGAAACTGCAGTATTTAAAATTTGTTTTTCGTGCGACTTCTCAAAGACATATCGAACCTATTTATCTTTTGAAGTATCAACTTCTTTATATTTTATTATATTTAAATAATTAACGCTTCGCTTCATGTCGAACTACCTAAATTGGCAGTTGTCGCCTTTTTTTTCTCTTCCTTTCAAGTGAGGTCTCGCTTCATCCGTCATCGTCAGTTTCGTCACTTGCCCTTCTATCTATTTTGAGGGGACCATTTTCGCTTTCGTTTTCGTGTCTACAGCTGCTTTTCGTTTTCTTATTCCATTAGCCAGAATGATACCGCTGCGTTTTAATTCGTTATCAAAAAGAGACGATGTTTTTCAATTCAATAGTTTATTATTTAAATGGTATCTTTTTTCCTGTCTAAATACTAAGCTTGCATAATTGATATGTACGTCAAATGAAGCATTTAATGATTATTTTATACTTTAAATTTAACAATAATTGGAGCCGTCTAATTGTGCGGCCATGTTGCTACTTTTGCTACTCGGTCGTATTTATTCGTTGCCTGATAGATTTAGAATGTCGATTTGATCTCTATAAAGTAACTTAATTCACTAACAGTAGGTAACTCTAAACTTAATTTGATGGTTCTTATTTAACTACCAACTACCTCTAATACTTAGTTTGTTAAATTAAAGTACGTATATCCATTTCAAAATCAATCTTAATGGAACCAAATATTTTTCGATTTGAACATATAAGGTGCCATAAGAGCGTGTATAATAGAAGTGGTTCTGATGTAATTTATGTTCGTGGCCTGAGCTGCGTGTGGCCGGATTGCTCACACCGGAACATCGCTACACGCAACCTATCGCTCCCCGCCCTGACTTTGCTCCTTCCCCAGCCTCGGAATAATTTAATATTTTGATTGTTTACAGAGTGCTTCTTGTTGGTGTTTATCGTTGTTTATTTCAGATTTTTATTGTTTTTTATTCTGTTTGTTGAAAATAGGTTTATGGGAGGACTGGACAAAAAGATGAACCCTATTGTTATATTTTCTCTGAAGAATTAGTTCATGCTCTTGTGGTATTTTGCCGATAAGCAAAATTTCACTTATATACTGGCTGAGCGCAAAACTGTTCATATATTGAGTGGAGGGTGGATAAATTTTCTTGCCACTGCATTTCTGTTTCATTATTCATCATATTATTGGCACTTGCTTATGCTGGCTACATTGTCACGTGTCTATGTCTATAATTAAAAGCCAACTTTTCTGTGCAGTTGTGCATTTCGTTCGACGACAGCGCGACGAAGACGTTCGAGTATCCCAGCGAAGCTTCATTACTTGAAGACCCGGTCGGTCCGCAGCCCTCGGACGCAGCAGTTCCGTCCACCCTCGGTGGGTTCAATGCTTGTGGCTGCTCAATCTTTTTTTCCTGTCATAAAAAGTCGGTAATTGCCTATAAAATACACATAAATCCCATAAAAATTTCTACAATCAGTAATGTTCAAAATGTACACATTTAATCAAAGTAACTCTTGAACTGTAATAACAACAATGTTTTTTATAGATTTTTTTTATTCAGCATTGAAAATGTGCTTGATCTTTTTCAGTGTGCGTTCTTGATATGTCCGTTAATAATTATATGGCGACGAACTTAATGTTTTGTGTTAGATGTAATTTATCATGAAGATTTGTTGTTCCGTCATTCAGTGTTGTGACGCAGACCTTCCTATTCCCTCTCCTTCTTAATCCTTTTCGTCTCAATTGAGTTAATAGCTTCTTGTATATTTGTTTCTAAATGATCGGATATATTTATATATATATTTGTTTCTAAATGATTCTTGTACTTAATTACTGTTATAGTTCTTTAGCCATTTAAATTCTCGTGAATGTTTTAGGGTTTTTGAGCAAAATGCTAGAATATGCTTAGAAGACATGAGCTCTGCGCCATATCTGTGCCTAAATGTTCTCTGTAATAGAAGACAATATTTCGTTACTGTATGTTTCTGGGCTAAATTATGCTAATCGTCGACGAAATAGTTAGCGGAAAATGCCGTTTTAAAGAGAATGGATCTTTTGAGGAATCATTTTTAGTATTTATATGTATAGTGGGATAAAAATCTGTAAAGGCTAAGTGACTTATGGGTTGGCCTTTAAGCACATGCAAAAATTTCTTCTGTTGCTTTCATCTAAAACAAGATTATTTTATAACAAACTTTTAACGTCTCCCTACAGACAGCATGGCCTCCTTGCCCTCTTACCCTTTCCATATCCTGCCTTATTGTCCAGTTCCTGCTCCTAGTTCTTCTAATCAGGCATCATTGACGTCCTTCTCCGCATCATTTTCTTCATTGCGAGCTCCCCCTACACCGCCAAACGAGGCTTTCCGTGCCCTCTCATCAAATTCCCTAAGAAAATCTATAAATTTTGCCTCAGCGCAAGCATCTTCATGTACTCAGTCTTTTCCAAAATGCAACCCAAGTTCTTCTGATGATAATTCCAGACGAGCTACTCTACCAGATCGTACTCTTTCCATGCATTCTATTCGTCCCATCTCAATACCCGATAATTCATTTTCTAATCCATGTCCTAGTTTTTGTCCGATGTCTAGAGAAGCGAATTTGCAGCACTCGGATCACCTTCTACCCACGTCTTCCATACCGCATAATTCAACTCCCACATTCGTATCTCATTTCAAAAATGATCACGTGAATTTTTCCGCAAGTGGCTCTCAGGCTGACCAAGTCATCAATGTTGTTGATTCATATGCGCATCCAGGAGCAGAATTACACAACTCTAATAAAATTCCCAAACGTCCCAGTTCCCTACCTCTCAAGAATTCGTTCACCCTGCAGCCTAAGGTATCAGGCTCTTTCATGATTTCCTCATCGAAATCTTCTCCCAAGAGTTCTCTTCACGTAGTTATTCCAACTATCAAGTCGGTCACGTCAAAATCTGCCACCTCATTGTCCCCACATTCTGCCATTCCAAGCGCGCCTCTCGGCGCCAAGTTCTATTCTCCTACGAAAACCCCGTCGCCTCGCGTCCACGACTACCATCCTTCTGTCCTCTTACCTTCATCTCCATCCTCTCCTCGTTCTCCTTTATCCGTTTATTCTCCTAGTCTCTCGGTTTTCTGTCCCCGCTCTTCTGACCAATTCTCAGCCTGTACCGCTGCTTCTACTAGGCGTAAGATTCATTCCGATGCAAGCTCTTTTATGGATGAGTCTTCATTCTCTACTAATAATTATTCTTCCTCGCTTATATGTAATGATGCTCTTTCTTCCTTTAATCCTCCTCAGGAAGCTGATATTTTGTATGACAATCTTGAATGGATGCCATGCAATGTTAATTCTATAAGTACAACAGCGTCTACTGTTAATGTTTCATCTTGTTATTTGTATCAGTGTGTACCATTCGTATCGTCTAGTCAACCTGCAATTGTTGCTGTTACCAGCTTAGCATCTTATTCCACCGATTCATCAAAGATTTCTCCACCTTACACTCCTTCAGATTCATTTGCGACACGCTTAGTTTTCACTTCGGAGTATCAATCCATGCAGAATAATAAAGGAATTTTAGTTACTGCTTCAATCAATGATAGTGATATATTCCTCCCTAATGCATGTCACAGTGAAAGTAGGCTTGAAATGTCATGCCCGAGGAAAATCTATGATTTTGCTTGTGCTGTTTGCACAAGAGAAATAAGCATGCCATCATTTGAAATCGCGTCTTCTAACTCTTTCACTCTTCAACAACCACAAATGATTGGCGCTCTTGGAAAGATTTGCCTCAGTAACTCTGGATGTATCAAATTTGCTAAAAGCCGCAAAATGATCCTAGGCTCACAAGGGTTTTGCAGTGCCATTGCCCCAACTCCGGATGATGGTCGAATGATTTGCCATCCGTGTACTGTCGATGACTTCAAAAACAAGCTGGCGTCGAGATCGCCTTGGTTTTGTCTAGACAAATCGCCCAATTTGAGAAAAACGTCTAATTCTAAGTTTGCTTTTCGAAAACCCACTTCGTCTAATTCATCTAATGATATCCATCTCCTCAAGAATGAGCAATCATTAACTGGCATTAATTCTTATGAATTGGAGCCACGCAATTCTTCTAACACTAAAGTCGATGATCAGTCCGATTTATTTTCTATTCGAGGTAAAGAAGTACTGACAAACACTAGGGAGTTATCTCTACATGGATTTTCTTCAATGTCACTTCCATTCAAGACAAAATATCCAGACCTTTTGTTAGATAATAAAACCCATAATTCTCGGATGGCTGCGCGTAATTGCAAGGCAAAAGTGAGTGCCACCAAGAAAGTGAGATTTTTGTCTGACAATCTTGCTGGATTTCCATTGAAAAGCCGAGAAGACACATCAGCACCTTCTTTTGTCCCTACTCGTAATGATCAGACGAATAAAACTGGAAACTTCCCTCAAAAGTCGATTTTGTCTCGTACTAAGCTCCCCTTGTCGCGAGATTTTCATATCTCTTTAGTAGACTCTACTGAGAATTATTTGAATATTCAAAACGAGCTCCACAGTGTTGACTCGTCGATAATAAATTTGGATTCAGTGTCTTATAGGTCTCCTCGCCCCGAAAAATATCCATCCCAAAAAATCGTTTGGCGTTCACGCCAACACTCGATTTACGTGTAAAATAGTTTTAACATGTCAAGTAGGAAAGGATAGCTTCCACTAATTATTAAATCTATAAAATAGAGCTGAGCTCCAGTGATTAAACTCTGGCCTTCTCCTCTGCTTTTCATGTAATGAATTTCACGTCATAATCTCATCATCCGGTGTCTAATTTGTTGCACGTTTAATCTTTACTTCTGCTGTGCAAGCGTAGTTAGAAGAATGATATTGATTACTCATTTTTAATTTGCATTGTAGTTCGATATTTGCCCACCTAATGCTTGTACCAGTTATAAATTGTATCTTGTTGTCAATGGGTATTTAGTGCCTAGGCGACGCCTGGTAGTTTGTCGGTTTCGCTACTGAGCTCGTTTTGATTTTTATTTTGCCTCAGCTGCCGGCCCCGCTGCAGGAGTAGCTCTGGCAAAAGGTGTCCAGCAAACTGACCTGTAACTGCTGCGCATGTTGTATGTGGTATATTCCATTCAATTTTTTGTATATTTGTTCACTTTCTGAGTGACGTTTTCTGTACTTTTTTTTTCATGGAATAACCCTGTTTTGCTTGAGAATCTTCGAACCTACGCTCGCGCATTCATTGAAACTTTTAACAACATGAAGATTGTGTGTTGTATTTGTGTTGGTTTGTAATGCTCGCCGATGAGAGAAGTCGATTGTACATATTTTTTTTTTAAAAGGCCTCCCACACTCACCATTCCAACAAAAAAAAGGAATTGATTTTTGGCGTGACCGCTTTTGGCGCGCTGTAAAGATTGCAGAATTGAATTTTGATGTCCTTACTGCCCTAACTAATATTTCTCAGAGGTGGGCAGTAGCGCGCTACATGTAGCGGCCGCTACTAGCGGCCGCTACATTTTCAGTAGCGGTAGCGGCGTTACATTTAAGTAATTGCAGCGGTAACGGTAGCGCCCGCTACATATTTAAGTAGCGATACGAGGTTTTGCCGCTACAGCGCTACCGCTACATTTATAGATAAAGCCTTCAAATTTTACTTAATTGTATTAAATATTATTTAAAAACCAGCATGATGCATACATAATATAAATTACGGAATAAAACTGTACGAAAGATTTCGGTTTAATGTTGCCAACCTCAGCCTGTTACTAGTGTCAACATGTTAGTTGTTACCAGAGGTGGGCAGTAGCGCGCTACATGTAGCGGCCGCTACATTTTCAGTAGCGGTAGCGGTCACGGCGCTACATTTAAGCAATTGTAGCGGTAGCGACAGCGCCCGCTACATTTAGAGCATGTAGCGGTAGCGGTAGCAGCCGCTATATTTCAAAGTAGCGCAGCGGGCCGCTGCCCAGCTCTGATGTTTCTTTACCATTCGACATTCTTAGTTTCCAAACAAACTGTCAAATGCCTCCCTCCATAGTTCGAAGGCATTTTATCTATTTCTTTATCATTAAACAGCATTACCATCGAACACGTTTCCTGGTAATTCAAAATCTAGTGCCTCGTGCTTACGAAATATTTCCGACAAAATGATGTTCAATTGCTTTCAGTGCTTTGCAATTTTGGCTCCTGTTTATTGCTTGTCTTTTTCCTTATACCTTGGCTTTTTTCATGACATTCTACCTGCGTTTCTGTCATTTCTTGACGGACATACAAAACTTTTCAGTGTGAGTTGGTTTGCTTTGAATTTTTAATTACTATATTATGGGTTGGGTTCGTATTTCTTGCTTCCTTTGAAACAAATCTATTTATGCTGGAGGATATATACTATTTATTGAGTCTGTCACTTATTATTTGTCATTTGTTACTGCATTATTTGGCATGCCTTCTCGGCATTTTAGTGCACAGTCATTTTAGTTTTACCCTACTCAACGCGCACGAAAATCATTGGGCGTTTTACTATTAATGATTTTCATTCATTTTTAGATTAAATGATAGTATTTTTATTATTTCATTCGTGTAGTGATTAATTTTCTTGTTACAGGAGTCGGTTTGGCTAGCTACACACCTAGCAAGCTGATACTGGCTAACACGTTTGAGCTGGGCGTCTCCAGAACGCTGGGTTCTTCTCCCCTCCCTCCAACATCTAAGAGACTTCCTCCTGAAGGTGGCGAAGAAGATGCCGTCGTCACCGACAAAGTCGCTCCTGTAACAGAGGATTATCTGAGGCCTGCTGGAGAAGAAGAAACTGTCAATTGGAGTGCTAGCGACACTTCTGATTTACTTTTCTGAATTTTTACTGCCTACTTTGTACCATTTTTTGTGTTCTCCCAAGCTTGGTCGATTTGTTTTAGCCCTTATCTTCCCACGTGTGCTCAAGCTCTGACTTTTTGTGCATCTGGCGAACTCCAAAGTGAAGTTTTTATTGTCTGTGACTTCGACGATTCTATTTTATTTTTTTTTTTTTCGATGACTTACGATGTGTGGCCAATAATAACTTTATCATGGAAATTTTTTTTCAATGCAGATAATTATGTGCGAAAATTTTCAACACTTTTTTCGATAAAAGTGTTATTATTTTCGTATTTTTTTTTTACTTTACGCTCAGTGCAAACTGATCATCGAGGCCAAATTTCACGGAATGCTTCCCTCCTAAGTTTTGCTATCATTATTCGTCTAGATTAAAGTTCTATTGTTTTGTGTACATGAGTGAGCGACCTAAATCTCCATAATTGGGACGACTGAAAAAATAATGTTTTTATGAGCTCCAAGGGGAATGGTTTGAAACATTTTTGTCCAATACGTCGTTTTAGCTCTGTTTCTCTCCTGCATATCTGGCGCTCTCAGTGTCCCGGGAGTAAGTTGCTAACATTAATGGTTGAGATGTACATAGTGAGGATTATTTTATGTGATTTCATTAGATCCTAGGATTTATTAAGTGAAGATATACACGCTTTGTACAGCAAATCATGCGAAAAGTTTAAGTAATTTTATCAAATTGAAGCGTCCAAATTTTTTACCACTTTTGCAAGACTTATAGTATTAATGCAAATAAACGATTACGTGTCTCGAACTTAAAAGTAGCTTTCTACTCTCCTTCCAATATTCTAGTGTTGATACCATGTGAGTTATTCTGAATGATTAGTATAGTGTAGTGACATTGTAGGGTCTGTGGCTACCATACTAAACTCAGACAATAAGCTTACATCTGACCAAGACCGTCTATTAGTGAATAGATTAAGTGAAGTCTTACTCGTTTCGTGGCCATTTTATGGGTAGTTGTGAATGAAATTTAATTGCGCAATTGTGCTTGTGACGGACCAATATAACGATTAACCTCTGTGTTACGTGGCGGCAAATTTGAGTATTTTAGATTCATTTCATGCAATATTTTTACCAATGTTTACCGTGGATAATACTCCATTGGCTGGTGTATAAAAGACGACCAGGGCTAAGACAACGTGTTGAATTTCTTCATTTAATCGATGATGATCACCCCGTCGTGCAATGTGTATGTAGTGATTTTATGTAACCTCTCATGAAGAAGTATCCAATTTTTACAAGCCTTTGTAAAACTCATAGTTGGCACATATTGTTTATTTCTATCCTTTACTTAATTTTAAAATCTTGCCTGGTTATTGCGACCAGACGTGAAAAAAGTGCGGATTATTTTGAACTTTATGTGGAAAATAAGGTCTATCGATTGTCATCTTGTGGTCGTATTATTTTTTACACATATATTAGTTAATTTGAGATGGTGGCGTATATCGATAGTGAATTATATTTTTACCTCTACTTGTATTGTTCGTCCTAACTACGTCCTTGTGATCAAGAAATGCTTTGCTGTTGTTGACTTCTGCGGCGTTTTTGTAAATTTTGTGTCTGCTGGACGTGAATTGAGAAATAATTTTTATAGAATTTTTGTACCATGAAGTTGAGTTGCGCTTTTATCGAGTGTTTTTCTATTGAATGAAAACTCGACGCTACATATCAAGTTCATCATAACTTTTCGTTTAAAAATTTAGTTTAATAGTCTTTTCGCAATAGCCATTTTTCCGTCATCGAAGGAGATTTCTTAACTTGCATGTTAAGCCTTTAAGTTAAGGTGCTCATGTGTTATAAGGAACGTCCTTGACGTCTCGTAATTGACTTGTCCTGTACGGAATTGTCCTTGAATGGTCCCTCGGACCGCCACGAGTTTCCAACTGGTGATACATTTTTTCATTGTATTGTTACCTTTATGGGTAATTTGGCCCTACGTGTTTGGGTTGATCTGTTTCGTGCTCCAGGGATGCGCTGTGTCAAGGTCGCCAAAGATGTTACTTGTATTGACGTAAGTCATTGGGACGAAGAATGAAATCCACTTCTAATCGTGTATCTCGGCTCTTAAGTGCGTTTTTTGAGATAATTTATTTAGAGTCGCGATTACTTGACGAACGTAATTGCCACCTGTCGCTTGGTGTTAAAATTGAAAGTCTCATGACGATTATTTTTCTTGTTTCCTTTCATGCTTGTTCTCGTCTGACCAACTGAGTTACGTGTGCTTTTGAACCAACTTCTTGACTTAAAATCTCCGTGGGACTTGATAATACTTGTTATTCTTGTACATTTTTTTTCTATTCATACGGTCATCGTTGGCTTCACCCGAGTTTTCCGAATCGTCAAACGCTGATAATAATCCAATGATCATCGTGACTTGAACGGCTGAATGACGAGAATTGTTCAGTCTTGATTGTCTAAAGGTTTTGAATTACCCAGCACGTGGAATGATTAGCCAGGTAATTGTGCGGAGATACAAGTGTATATAGGATTAACTGGCTCTGTTTATCAACTTAACTCGGGCTAAAAAAAATCGCGTTTGTTTGGAACAGTTTCCAAACAAACCGTGTGTGGGTGGGTGATGGTTCCTTCATTTTTATACGCCGTGTTGACTCAAATGTTCAAGTGATCAATAGCAATACGCCATTGTTTTGTGCATACTAAATGAAATACAATTTTACTCAAACACGCTGTTTTTTCTTAACACTATAGCTCACTCGCATAATTCTCGCCATCAAATCCCTTAAACGCTCCCTCGAATTATGAAGCCTTTCGTGCAGGGTGGCCCAGTGGTTGAAGTTCAGAGTACCAAGATTGGAGCAGATGGGTGTGGGTTAGTTCGCTGCTCTGTGCGCCGGTTTCTTGTCAGAATCGGCGAGGAGGCCGGGCGGTTAAGCAAAGCAAAATTGAAGCAGTGAGTTGCGAGTTCAAGCCCGCAACAAGCTGTGGATGTTCTTCAATGTTAAAGAATTGGCGGCGACAGGCTAAACTGTACGTTTAAGTTCGAAAGCAGAAGTGAAGTACTCTAGAAATAACAATTAAGAAAGTTAACTTACATATGAACTCAAATGCAACGATCAAATATGAAATGAAAAATAATACCGGTGAGAAATAGGATTAGTGTCACTTTCATGTTGAAATATTAGAAGAGTGTCCTCGAACACAACATTTTATATACCGTACGCCGAGTGGTTGATAACGCCATCTACCTGGACATGTACACACTGAAAAGCGGTGCAGGGTTAGCTACATAATGGCATATCTCGATAGATTCAGTAGATTATTCTTATTTTCAATATTACATTGAAATGATTAAAAAATAGCTCCGTTTATTTTGTTCCTTGCTGGCCAGAAATGCCGATACTTGCCATATAACTCAAAAATATCGCGAACTAAAAAAGAAGAACCCTTCTGCAACGTGTAAGAGCGGCCGAATACAAGATAGTGTTTTATATTGAGGTAATCCATCACATTCATCCCGCCCAGGCCAAGCTACTCTTTTTACGTCTCACCTGGTGCGGGATGGGGTTTTGATATTGAGCAGTTCCTCAGCAAGCGTCCTTGAGAAAGCATCCTCACGTGGCTGCTGGCGAGCTTTTGACTTGGAGTTCTGTTGTCCACTTGAAAAATGTCTGAAATGCTGTCGATAACTAAATTACAGCTTCCAAATATTTTAATGAGTTGGATTAAAAAAACAGCATGTTTAGTATTCGACATCATAGCTCACTTCTTCATTTAACTCATTCATTCCAGACGAGCTTCATTGCCGTCAACAGTTAGTGTACTCGCGGAATGTCAATTTGACCTTTTTTCTTTTGATGATTTAATGGTTAATTCTAATGGAATCCATACTTTTCTAATGAAATCTATCAACATTACCAAATTCGCATTACCAAATAGACGAATTTGTCGGGGCAATAATTTGTGAGCGTATTATCTCGGTGTAAACGAAGATTCAATATTCAATGGCCAATATTCATGCCAAGTACATTTATGTCTTCAAATTAATTCAATTATGATTCGTGTTAACGCCTAATTCGATATCACTGTGGTATAAGAATTTTTATCTTGAGGCATCAATAGACGGAAAATTTCTTCGGTCTGCCTAATTTTAGCAAACCTGTTTCGTTAAGCTGAAAAATGCGGCGATGACACGAGCAGGAGAGTCGACTTCAAAGGCAAGGTCCGCCAGTGCAGTCGAGTACATGAAGATTGTATCGTATAGCTCAGAATTTAACAATTTAACCTGTTCTTCCTTTGGCCCATGTTTGACGCGGACTGGCTGCATCTGTGAAGTATGAAGACTCGCAGCAAACCTTGGGGCGATAACGAGAAGACGAATTTCATAGTCTTTTTGTTCTGTGCTAATTATTTTTTTACTGCTAAAAGAATTTATCGTAAATGGAAAAGTTTTCCACACGCTGAAAGGTTGTTGATTGAATTAGTTAAAACTGAAAGCTTTGAAAAATATATTCAATACCTGGCTGGGCAATGCTTTTTCAACTTTAACGTTAAATTAAGAATGTGTTGTCAAGGAAAAAATAATATGCAGTCATCTTTTCCATTATTCATACATTAAATTGTTTGATTAACAAGAGATTTATGGTAATGTATAAAGCCTGCATACTCCTACAAAACTAATATAAACAATGTTTCCTGTAAATTGAAAATGAATGTTGATACATTCGAAATGTCGTTAAATATATAAGTACTTACGAGACCTGCCTTTTGATCTATTAATGTCATTTGAAGAATTTTTCGACTCCCTGAAAATTGGAATATAATGCATTCTCTTGTCAATCGATAGTACGTGTTTCAACAAGAACATTTTTCCTTTTAATACTAATTACTGTTGTAACTGTTCACGAAGCTCTTCTAGGGTAAGATTTTATCACTAACTGGAATACGAGCTTATTTACAATGACGGTTCGGAGTCTCTCTTGGCTGGATTACGTGGTCATCGGAGGCTACTTCGTTTTCGTATTAGCTGTGGGGCTAATTGTGAGTATTATTTATTCCTGCTTGAATGCTTATCCATAACAACACGTTGAATTTATATGTAATCATGCCACCAGTCTGCATTTGAAAATTATATCCGGACAGAATAATTACTAAGAAAGTTATTGTTGCTCATTTATTGGCAGGAATATCTAATTTCAGTTCACTTGGAATTCGAAAAAATTATTAATTATTACTGCAGTGATGATTTTTATCACCTACCTTGGCACTGAGGTGAAAATCACTAAAGCTTTTTCATGCAAATTTATTCCTTATAAACCGCAAATTTCTTTTAAATTCGCGTGTGAAATTATTTACTGCTCTCTATTATAACTTTAATAGAATAGAGTTTTTTTTGTTTAATGGTTTATGTAAATTTTTTGCCAAATATTCTGACAGAACTTCTTTAATTTCTTTTAAGATTTTTATGCGATTTAAGAAACTCTGAAGTATATCACTATTATCTACTTGTAAATAGTTTTGTTAGTGATAAACCGAGGGTCTTCATGAATAAATAATTTTGTTTAATTTCTTCGGTGGCTTGCGTTTCTGATTACAAACTCAAGATGACGGAGCATCGAAACTTGTCCCATTGACCGTTACTCAGACAGCTCGGACTGGGCTATAATCAGGCGGGCGAGATTAATGTGGATAACTGTTATTACTTATCGCTATATTTCTATTTTAATGATATTTTTTGAGAAATTCTGCTCAAGACTCTCAGAGTATTGTCTTCAACTATGCCAGATACTCCATAAACATTACAGAAGCTGCCAAGTCATGAGCGGGCATAAATCAATTCAAAATGATCAAGACTTTATAATTGTGCGAGACAAAAAAGATGATACCGCGAAAAGAAAAGACACACACTACAACACACACGCACGCGAAAAATTACACGCGGATATTTTCCTAAACAAGAAGGCCAAACGCCCAAAACAAACCAAAAAAAAAACCGAAAAAAAAAACCAATTGCCAAAAATAAACAAAAAAAAGAAAAAATCTTTAGAAAAAATTATTAATTTATGCTTACATTTATATTTTTCCTTTCAATTTTTACAGTCATCCCGACGAAGCAAGGGCGACAGCATCAGCGGGTACTTCCTGGCGTCGAGAAATATGCACTGGATTCCGGTCAGAAGTTCAATAATAATCCAGCTTTGCTTTGTTGAAACTAATGAAATACTTGAAACATATACACGCGCATGTCTGCACTGCACAAATAGTAATTCAGTTCGTAATATTTCACCTAAAGGTCACTCACCATTGCAAATCACATTTAACTGAAAATTTTATGATGGTTCGTACAACGAATTATCCATCAAATATTAAATTTCCCCATCATTTGTTCGCTCTCCAGGTAGGAGCGTCGCTGTTCGCAAGCAACATCGGCTCCGGTCACTTCATCGGCCTGGCAGGCTCCGGCGCCGCGTCCGGCATCGGCATCGCCGCCTTCGAGCTCAACGTAAATTTACCCACATTTAATTAAAGATTAGCGTAACATTTTTCGATATTATTTATTTAAGAAAAACTCATACTTGTGTATGGTTAAAACTTTTGAGAGAACGACTGTTTATTATCTTAATTTATTTATTCAGTTTCACATGACATGTTTTGGGTTAGCTAGCAAATTTACTCACAAGATCTTTAATTAGACTTCCTTTAATACCGAACTCTACGTAGATTTACCATCTTAAAGATCAAGGCCACAGAATAAAGTTTGAGTTGCAAATGTTGTGTAACATTTTTATTGATTTCATGATGTGGTAAGTTTTATATAATCACGACAGACACGTTAAGCATGACAGACTTTTAATGAAGCATTTACTTTACTATATCGATTTCGGCCTTTGACTATAGAATTGAACTGAATGCCGCTATTAAACTTGGGCAAACCTATCGACCGACCAGAGTCGCGGATGACGAGATGTGCGTAGCTCGGATGTGTTCCTTGTTGTACTTAATGTGTATACATTTCAATCACTTGTTCGGGAAGCCCCAGCCAGGAGTTGGCGGTGCCAACGAGTCTGATGAGTTCCATATAATATTTATGCTGTGAGCGGAAATGATGTGCTGCCCTAATACCGTTTCCGAGCGTCTGCCAACGGGCCCAACGATAAGTGGCAAATATCGGAAGACTTTCGTTAGTCTTGCTGGAACAAGAAATATATTTAAATACGTCAGCTCCTGAAGCTGTTTTACGATCTTCGGTCCTATTAACAATATGAAAGAACTTAATTATTCAAACAGGCAAAATATGAGATTAAACTTGATAATTTATATTTGATCTGACTGAAAGAATATCACTCCCAACTTAGAAAAATTTTGTTGTTATATCTTAAAATCGAACTCACTACTTTCCAGACTCAGCTAATAGTCGTGTAATGCTACCGAATATTTTCAGTAGGTAGCATTGAAAAAAAAATAGCATTGAATTGAACACCTTTAAGGCTCAAAATCTTTGTATTAATGTTTCACATGAACAAATTCTCATTTCAAAAGCTCGAAATTTTGTTTTCTCAACAACTGTCTCGCGTGAACTTTATTTCCAGCATGCTCCTTATCTTCAATATAGACTAATTTTTTCTACCTGAGCTACAGGTGTCATTAATTAGGCCTATTTTAAGGGTGCTTCAGCCTTCATACGATATATTTAAGCCCCTGAATGATTTTATGTTAATTTATCAAATTTATTATTTTTACAGAAAATGCCAAAAGTTTTAGCTAATGTGGCCTGAATATAAGATTATTTATCAATCACCATAGAACCAGTCATTATTAACTCAAAGATGTTCATAAATCTTNGTTCAGAGTACCAGGATTGGAGCAGAGAGGTGCGGGTTCGATCCCAGCTCTGTGCGCCAGTTTCTGGTCAGAATCGGCGAGTTAGGCCAGGCGGTTAAGCACAGCAGAAATTGAATCAGTGAGTTGCGAGTTCGAGACCGCAGCAAGCTGTAAATGTTCTGCGATGTTAAGAATAAGCGACAGGCCTACGGCCTAATAAACGCTGAAACCGCTATATATCAAATAAAATGATTCCTTCTAGGCAATTTATGCCCTGGTGCTTCTGGGATGGGTGTTCGTGCCAGTGTACATGAGCTCCGGCGTGTACACAATGCCGGAGTACCTAAGGGAGCGCTTCGGCGGACAGAGGATCAGAGTTTACCTCTCCGTCCTCGCTCTCCTTCTCTACGTCTTCACTAAAATATCGGTGAGAACAGAGAGCGTGACAAACGCAATTGATAATCCTAAACATAATAACGAAGACAGAAACACTCTAGTTGTCTTTATTAACTACAGAAACCAAAGAGAAAATCAACTCATTCATTCATTTTTATTTCGCCTTTATTTTACCGTAAAGTATACATTAGCAAAAAATATGTTGATTGAAACATTTTATTCAAAACAAGAAGTGCAGATGAGCTATTACTTTTAAAAAGTTTACAGTTTATTTTAATTTATCAACAGGCAGATCTATATGCCGGTGCTCTGTTCATACAAGAAGCTATCGGCAGAAACTCGCAGGAGTGGTTCTACCTGAGCGTCCTTATTCTGCTGGCGATATCCGCGCTCTTCACGATCACTGGTGGACTGACCGCCGTAATATGGACAGATTTCGTCCAAGTGGTCCTCATGGTCGTCGGGGCTTTCGTTCTCATGTTCAAATGTGGGTTCTACTGTTACGGGGTTTCAAGTAATACTCAAATACTGAGCTATTCATCTAAGTCATTATATAATTCAAAACGATTTGTTGTATAGGATGCCTATTACATATTTCAAATTTTACTGTTATATTAAACTAATTTCCTAGAATTCATTTTCCGTAAGAGAAATTTATTTACATCGCGTTGAATCTTTTATTCGACAATTCATATAATTTGTTAAATAAAAAAACAAGCATTCAATAAAATGCTTAATTAGAATGCTGAATAAACTATTTTTTCTCTGTACTTATCCAGCATTCGAAGCTGTTGGTGGCTACGAGAAACTACCAGATCAATTTTTGTACTCGTCTGCCGCAAACGTGAGCAAGCAGTACGATTCCTGCGCCTACCCCCCGTCCTATTCCATGAACTTCTTCCGGTCCGCTACTCCGGGGGAGAGCGACTTGCCCTGGACGGGCTCCATCTTCGGTGTCGCTATCGCTTGTGTATGGTACTTCTGCACGGACCAGGTGATGGTTCCAGGTTTTTCGAAGACCAATCGGCGTTCTATTACATACATTACTAACGTTAGTTACTTTATAAATACTATTCGACGTTTTCATGGTCGTTCACATCTTTGTGTAGGTAATGTTCGTTAAAGTTGGTATTTTGATATCGTTCAGGAGAATGTTCTCGATGCTCCATGATGTGTGGATCGCTGTCACTGTTTTCTAAACGACTGAGCCATAGGCGTTTTGATTCCATTGTAACTACACAGTCTATTATTCTGTCTTTCATGCTATAGGTCATCGTTCAGCGAACTCTAGCGAGCAAGACGATGGTGTACGCAAAGAGCGGCTGTTTGTTGGCAGCTGCGTTGAAGTTCCTGCCACTGTGGCTGCTGGTGTTCCCCGGGATGGCAGCTCGAGTTCTCTTCCCCGACGAAGTTGCTTGTGTTGAGCCTGAGAAGTGCAAGAGCATCTGCGGTAGCGAGGGCGGCTGTACTAACATCGCATACGTCAAGCTTGTCCTCGAACTTCTGCCGAACGGTAATGACTAATTCGCACACACAAAAAAATAAAAATAAAATGATTTAAAAAGAATCCGCCACATTCTTCTTTTAACTTCTGGAAACTTATGATTTTTGTTCATGACGGTGAAGCGTAACCAAGTTGTGGAGGAATTAGGCTCGTGTTCGATTGGAAGTTCATTTTGATGTTTACAATCATGTAACTTATGATTCACCGAAAAAATCTCCTAGAACCACTTTCAATTTTTATAAACTCATAATTATTTACCGAAAAGGAAGATTAGATAGATATTTTTACGTTTCTACCAATCAATATAAAATCTTTGCCTGCGGCACTTCTTAATCCCAGGTTTGCGCGGTATGATGCTGGCGGTGATGATGGCCGCTCTCATGTCCTCCCTGACGTCCATCTTCAACTCGGCGTCGACCATCTTCACCATGGACATTTGGATCAGAGTCCGCAGCAAGGCCTTCAAGAAGAAGAGCCTCCGAGACATCGAGGTGGAGCAGCTGATCGTTGGGCGCGTCTTCGTGCTGGCGCTCGTCGCCATCTCCGTCATCTGGATACCCGTCATTCAGTGAGTATGCTTCACAGATGTTATTCATATTGAATGATGAGTGACAATTTTTCAGGTTTCATGAGTAAGAAAATTGTTTTCGATTTTGTTGTTGCCCCTACTTGGAATTGAAATCACACACAAAAAAATAAAAATAAAATGATTTAAAAAGAATCCGCCACATTCTTCTTTTAACTTCTGGAAACTTATGATTTTTGTTCATGACGGTGAAGCGTAACCAAGTTGTGGAGGAATTAGGCTCGTGTTCGATTGGAAGTTCATTTTGATGTTTACAATCATGTAACTTATGATTCACCGAAAAAATCTCCTAGAACCACTTTCAATTTTTATAAACTCATAATTATTTACCGAAAAGGAAGATTAGATAGATATTTTTACGTTTCTACCAATCAATATAAAATCTTTGCCTGCGGCACTTCTTAATCCCAGGTTTGCGCGGTATGATGCTGGCGGTGATGATGGCCGCTCTCATGTCCTCCCTGACGTCCATCTTCAACTCGGCATCGACCATCTTCACCATGGACATTTGGATCAGAGTCCGCAGCAAGGCCTTCAAGAAGAAGAGCCTCCGAGACATCGAGGTGGAGCAGCTGATCGTTGGGCGCGTCTTCGTGCTGGCGCTCGTCGCCATCTCCGTCATCTGGATACCCGTCATTCAGTGAGTATGCTTCACAGATGTTATTCATATTGAATGATGAGTGACAATTTTTCAGGTTTCATGAGTAAGGAAATTGTTTTCGATTTTATTGTTGCCCCTACTTGGAATTGAAATCGTGGTGAGTTTAGCGAAAAACAAGATAAGGCTCTCTGATCAGTGCCGTTGCACATGACATTTTATTCGTTGTCGTAAACATTTTTTGAAGGTATTTAGCATTAGTTTAATTTATTGATTATGGATTATTGTGTTAAGATTTGCATGCCATTGTGCCCATATGATTCATGAAAAACTTTTTCAGAGGGTCGGCCAACTCGCAGTTGTTCATGTACATCCAAAGCATTTCTTCGTTCTTGTCACCACCCATCTGCGCCGTGTATCTCCTCGCCATATTCTGGAGGCGCACCACGGAACCTGTGAGTCTTCAGTGGCGAATGATATTCTGGTATTCAGTGGATGTAGCTAGTCAGTGCAACTAGTTAAATGAGAATGCAAGAAGAATATACTTAGCTTTGCAACATGTTTTATATAAATTTAATAAACATTAAATTGTGCTACAAAGAATTAATGATGAACGTTAATTGTCAGGGAGCATTCTGGGGACTCATGACGGGACTCGTGGTCGGAATCGTTCGATTTACGATGGAGTTTTCGTTTACGGTGCCTCCGTGTGGATCGAGTAAGTCCATGCATATAGAATTCTAAACTACAGGATTTTTCTTACAATTAAGTCTCTCGATGAGGATTTTTCCAAGTGTTTTGTTGACTTTTAAAAAATCCTTGTAGGTTTAGATTTGAGCTTGATGCAGACATGAATAAACTTATGTATTGTTATGCGTGGTATTATATAACAATTTAATTAGAATTGCATCATATGACCAACTAGTTCTTGTTCACAACCACTAATTATTTTTCTAATTTCCAGTTTTTTTGTTAATTTCCAGTTTATAATAAAATATATACATTATTGATGGCATACATAGGCTGCAACCACCTGGCAGGTTTATTTTACTATTTTGTGGAAAATTTCGCTTAATAAATGCAAAATAATTTTAAATTCATTTGCTGATTCGTGTGAAGCCTACACGGCATATTTAATTTGGTTCCTATCTGGGAACAAGACAAGTCATGGGAAGAGCACTCATTTAGAACTCTGACGTTTTTGTAGAACTATGGAAATCTTCTATGCAAAATCGGTTTCAGCTGAATTCATTGGGCTCTGAACGCCACTACCAAGCGATTCGAAAATTTTTTAAGATTAATGAAAAATCCAATGTCATCTGAGGAGACCCTCGGATGACTATTGGTACGTAGAAGTGTTCAAATATATAAGTCTAAATGTTATTTTCAGGGTCGCGCGAGCATTGTTATAAAAAACTCCAGCACTAATTTCCCTCCCTCTTAAGCCTGCGCAAATAAAAAACGACTCCTACTACCCAATAAAAACTGACGATAAATATTATTACTATATAATTAATAATATTAATATATGTTACTATACATATATTACTATATACATAGAATTCAATTTACCGCAGTGAAGCCTGACCTACGTCCGGAAATTATCAAGCTTCTTGTAGGAAACCTCCACTTCCTGAACTTCAGTATCCTACTGTGGGCGCTAACCATGGTGGTTACAATAGCTGTATCCTACCTCACGGAGCCCATCCCAGAAAAATGCGTGAGTCATAGTGCAGGTACCATAAAGAAAAATGAGTTATAAGTATAATAAACTAAATAACTTCTCAAAAAAGAAACGTTTACTCATACGAATATTGCCAACTGCAGGAGCCGAAAAATTTAAAATTGTTGTGAAACTCATATTATCAGTAACAAACTCATCCAATCTGCCACAACATAAAACAAGCATGATTTTCTTCAATTGAGCTTAATCCAAAAATATATTTTTGAGACTTTTTTCCATTTCGTCTGTCTTTAATGTAAGCAAGAAATTCTTTCCCTTTAAATTTTATCAGGAACTAGGGGAAAACAACACGCATTTTTTTCCACGGTTGAATTGTGATTAAAGAAGCTTTCAAATTCACACAGTATTTTCATCTTTTCCAATTTAAACTTCCCTTGAAGTATTTTCCTTGCATTTTTTTTTTGTTGAATCTAATTGAACATAAAAAAGTTACTAATCATATCCATATATAAATTAGAAAAAGCCAACATCTTGAAATTGAAAGTAATAATATACTCTCGCGTAGTAATAATATACTCTCTAATAATATACTCTTTTCCCGGCTAGTTGCCGCGCCTCACGTTCAGTACCCGACGCAGCACGGAGCCCAGGGTGTCCATAAGGATGGTCATGGATGAGGAGGATGCACAAGATAACGACCTGGCTGCGAAACTGTCGCAGACAGTTTCTCCGACACTTAAAAGTAAATTATTCTCCACCATTTGTCTTCACTGTCGTGAAGCTTGTGAACATAATTAGCATATAAATAGTTTCATCTTCTTTTCACGCAGACGACTCATTAATTATTAATTTGTGTACATTTTACCATTTACCATATTCAAAAAATAACGAGCAAAATAACTGAATGAAATCGAAAGCAAACATCTATGACGCTAACATACGTTTCATTGAAAGAAATACTGATTTTTTCAAGAAACGTATTGGGTATTTCAATATAAATACTTTATGAGCTTGTGACAAAGATTTTGGTATTTTATAATCCAAACAAAATGGGTTTGCTTTTTCAGAAGAATCTACGTTGAAGAAGTTACTCTACCGTATGTGCGGATATTCAGAAACAACGGCAGCCACGTTGGAAAACGATAACGTAAATTGTGAAAGCAAATCCGAAGCCGAGAGAATTTTGGAAGCCGTCAAATTTCTGGAAGAAGAACCTACTCAAAAATTGTGAGTTAGTTATTTTATGAAAAATATTTTAATAAATCTGTGCACCAGAATACATTTTAATGGTAAACAACATCTCTGATGAGTGTGAAAAGTACATGTTTTTTGACCGAATAAGAGGAACTAATGAATTAGAGAAAATATATCTTTTGAATGGCTTTGCGTTAGAGCATTAATCATTTCAAAAGTCTTCCATAATATTGGAAATTGCTGACAACCCTTCATCACTGCATGTCTTTGAAAGTAGCATCGAATGTTAGACACACACACACACATTATAATTTGCACTCTTGTCTCCAATAATGTTAAAGGCACATTGAATGCACATTCGAGGCTGAAGGTTATAGCAATCTGCATCTAAATTCAATTTTCTTTTCAGGATCGTGAATGGCTTGGCGATATTTTGCATGATGATGGCGTCGGGGGTTTTGGGCTACTACGCGTGATCCACGGCTGCAGATATTTTCTTCGATCTTATATTTTGATCTATTGTTAATTGCCATTCGCAAACGGACCTTACACACTAAGTAAATTCTTTTAGCTGTGTATACAGTGAGACTGTCATGGCTCCCGGTTTCACATCAGAGATTTAGAGTGTTTAACTTAGAAAGCTTAACGTTTTTGTAGCATATTCGTTTGCTTGTTGATGTTGGCTACCTACAGCATTGATGAAGAAGGTAGAGAAAAATACTGCACCTTTTCTGAGTGCACAGTTAACACCTTGTGAACGAAATATATATGTTTGGATATAATGGATATCACTCTTTAGAATTTTGAATTTGTGTATAGTTAATGCATACATTGAGTTAAAAAATTACAATCTCTTACACTATAGTTACCATTAGCTTTTACCTGATAAAGCTGGTCAGTAAAACCATTCTTAAGGAAGCGTTTCCAACTTATTATAACCTTCAATTTTTACTATTGGTTGCTATATTTATGGCCACATCGTCTGATACGAATTTCGTGGACGGTGCTTTATCAATCTATCCGTAGATAAAGGGTCAAATGGTCGGCCAACATCCGTTATAAATGCTTTATAATACTGGCACGAATGCGGTAAGCATTTGAATGTTAATGTAACTTGCATTTCAGTCTGCACAACATTTATGTGTATGACGTATTTATATTCTAACTCAATGAATATTTTGGAGCGAAAACGATAGTTAGATAGCCAGATTATTCCCACCACTGTTAGACGCGCTCTGTAGTAATGCACTATGTTTTAAAACTGACATGCAACGTTTCCATCTGGTCATTGCAAATCAATCACGTCGTAAACGACATTAAGAAAGCGGTACAGGAGTTGGTTATTAAAAGACATTGAACAACGAATTTATAAATATCATGCTCGCAATTTGTCTTTGAAGCTATCGATACCCTCAATTCTCTAATGAACCATTCTTTCCGTGAGTAAGTTTGATGAAACGAGCTCACCATAAAATTAATTTTCTAAAAATACAAGTAACGCATATTTCTTTGTTTGGATTTGTTCCTCTTTATCAGTATTTGCTTTTCAATATTTAAAAATTCCCAGTTTTAGATCCTCATCAATTATAGTTGTTCAAGCGTCGAAATCTTGAGAAGACGTAAATAAACACAAAGCTGCTAACTTGTTTTAGAAGAAAGTAAAAATCCGGTCTCCAAAAAAAATGTTTTTCATCATGAACCAACGAGCCAAGAAACCTTTTGATGGAATATATACTTTTGAAAAGCAATGCGTTCATAAAGCGTGTTAGCTTCTGCTCACTGAGCCCATCTCTCTTTTGATACTTTTTACTTGGCCAAAATGAAAATGAAACTTAGCAGTGATGCCAACACATCCAATAATACAAAATTTATAGAACTCGATGGAAAGGCAATAAAATACTGCGGGCCTGGCAGACAAAAGATATGTTGGCGTTAAATCGTTTACATGATAAAGCTCATTAAAATTTATGAGGTTACAGTCTGAGGCGTGAAGACCGAGGCGAACTGTATGATCGACGGTAGATTTAAAATCACTTCTAGATTTCACTTGGCCAATATACATAAAAGACGACAAAAATTAAACTTAACTGTGATGCAAACACATTCCATATTACAAAATTTATAGAACTCAATGGAAAGGCAATAAAATACTGCGGGCCTGGCAGACAAAAGATATGTTGGCGTTAAATCGTTTTCATGATAAAGCTCATTAAAATTTATGAGGTTACAGTCTGAGGCGTGAAGACCGAGGCGAACTGTATGATCGACTGCCACTTGTTCAGTAGCTCAGTGATGTGCACTACGGGACTTCCATCGTCTGACGTTTTCAAATATCATATCAGCAAATATAATAGAAGTAAATTCAATTTAAATAGAAATATTGTTTGGAATATGAGGCTAGAGTGAAAATATTGTAAATTCTGTCTCGGTGGAAGTCAAATTGCCACCGAAATTGATACTGAAACAAGTGATTGAAACCCATCTAATTTTCCACTCTAAAACATATAGTATTTGAAAAAAAATTACCAGCCGTGCCAAATGTGAGGCATGACTTTATTTCAAATTATATAATTACTCAAATTTTATTTTTTTTTGCATAATTGTAGTACCTACACAGTAAATAAATATTTTTACTTAATTTATCCCAGTTTCCATTCCTCGTCGACTTCTAATTGAACGAAACTCGAAAATCAGGCGTGCAGAATTAAGGCCTGCACTGGCGTGTTTCATTGAATTCGTTCGATTCAAAATAAATTGTGATCATGGCGATGTCTAGCCTGCGATGGCCCGATTACGTCGTGATCGGAGGATATTTTGCTTTTGTACTCGCTGTCGGCCTAATCGTGAGTATTAACCAATAATTTTGGTAAAAGTATCATATATTTATTTATCTCTGTAAGCTGTAATCTAGAACCCATAACAAGTATGAGGCTCCTGATGAGGGTATGTAGAGCAGTTGACTAGCCTTTATTCAATTTATTTATTTATATTTATTCAACTTTAATCTCCACTGTTAGGTTATTACGTTATTCACATGCTTTGTTTGCCTAAATATACATCAGAACTTGAACAAATGTAATACGATGATAGCATCGTCTGTTGACGATTCAACCGATAATGTCTATTATTTTGCACCAATAAAATTGATATAAAAATACCACTTGAAAGTGTATTAAGGACAATGAAAATACAAACAAGTCGGTATGAATGGTTGTGGTGGTCAACAGTATTGTTTCATCAGTCGAAGAGAAGTTTGAATTGTGGAAGCGTCCTCAATAATGCATTGGAAAAGGAACCCATAAATATTGTCAATGAATACAATGATTGAATCAATAATATATAATTACTTAGAGTAAGGTTTCAAGAGAAAAGCTTTAAGAAATGTCCTCAATGCCTGCCATTAACATCTACCTTGTTGTTGATCTTAGGCAGGCGTGCCCAGATTTTAATCATCACGAAACAAAAGATGGAAGTTGATACTCTGACAAATTTAGCTCCAGAGTCATGCGGTTGCATGACAGCGGTATTTAATTACGACCCATGAACTCACAAAACATTCTTATAGTAAACATTATCTTCATACATGCTTACAGAAATTAACTGTCAACTGAACCACGAAGAGAAAAAAGTTAATTCTCTCAGCGGATGTACATATGTGCACGCAAGATTTTTTCACTTGGGAAATAGGTCAGAACGTTCTTTTATGATTCATGATAACACTATCCATCTGCAAATACTTTCTACTTGAGAAAGTTATGATAGTAGAAGGAAGTTTGCCTAAGTGGTTTAAGTGTCTTACAATGTTTTCAACGAATGACTGCGTCACAGATCTTTGAAGCCAATAAATGCGGCAGATAAGACATATAGCAATAAATTATACATTACGTAAGAGTACAAAATAACTGCGCAATTGTTTCAAGGCATCGGAACACAACCTTTAAAAATATTCCTATGAATTGTAAGTTTATCACTATTCATTCAATGTGGCAAATAAAATTATTAACTATAGTTCCATGTAAATGATTGTAAACTATGTGTAAATATTGCAGGCCAATTATATATTTACATCAGATAATTGGCCGTACAATAATGATTGACTCTTACGGTACATTAATTTTCAGTCTTCCTGCCGAAGCAAAGGTGACAGCATCAGCGGATACTTCCTGGCCTCCAGAAATATGCACTGGATTCCTGTACGTAACTATTTCAATAAATCAGCATCGGCAAATTTAATTGCTTAGATTTTGTACTACTTGTACTAATTTGGTTAAGCGGCGGAGAAATGTCGTATCCATTTGCAGCGCAGTAAAATTTAACATTACAAATTTCAGAATAAGTTATAATAATTTGTAAACTGGATCATACATCAAAAATTAAATTTCTACATCATGTGTTCACTCTCCAGGTAGGAGCGTCGCTGTTCGCAAGCAACATCGGCTCCGGTCACTTCATCGGCCTGGCAGGCTCCGGCGCCGCGTCCGGCATCGGCATCAGAGTACCTGAGGGAGCGCTTCGGCGGACAGAGGATCAGAGTTTACCTCTCCGTCCTCGCTCTCCTTCTCTACGTCTTCACTAAAATATCGGTGTGTATCAACTACGAAAAAATATTTCTGAATAAATATGTGGGGGTCAACTGACGACTTTAGTATTATAGAATTTGAGGGGATTTTTTAATGCAACTAGCCAAGTAACCATGAAGTGAGGAAGATCGGCTGTTAACTTTGAGAAATTTGAAAACTGCTCATAATTCGACATTTACAGGATTGCGAATGTATGTGATTTGTAAGTCATCAATATTAATAACAAAAATATAATTAAAAGGAATAGTTTATGAAACTTCAATGAATTATCGAGTCATTAGGCTATCGAAAACTTTAAAAAAGTAGGATCTAAAGTACTTTTTCTCATAATTAAATTAATAAAACTTTGTGAAGCTATAACTTTAAGAAATAAAATTCTTGAAACAGTTTGTATCCTTGTGTAGGCTGATTTGTACGCCGGGGCGCTCTTCATCCAAGAAGCGATAGGACAAACCTCCCAACAGTGGATGTACCTGAGCGTCGTCATCCTGCTGGGCATCGCTGCACTTTTCACCGTCGCCGGGGGCTTGACTGCTGTCATTTGGACCGACTTCGTCCAGACCATCCTTATGATCGTTGGAGCCTTCATCCTCATGGCTAAATGTAAGGATTTGAGGACTATTAATACGTTTAAGTTCATAAAGTATACGTCTTTCTCACGTCTTTCTCTATTTCTTGTAGTATATACAGTAAGTTCACATGTTATTACTTACCAGAGTTGTTGCTCGGATTCCTAGCATTCAGCGCCGTCGGTGGGTACGACAAGTTGGTGGACGATTACTTCTACGCCACGGCCACCAACGTCTCGGAGCAGTACGAGTCCTGCGCGTATCCTCCACCGTACTCCATGAACCTCTTCCGTCCAGTGGGACCGGGAGAGAGCGACCTGCCCTGGACCGGCATGCTTACCGGGCTTACTATCAACGCCGTATGGTACTGGTGCACAGATCAGGTGAGGGGACTGGTGCACGGATCAGGTGAGGGGACTGGTGCACGGATCAGGTGAGGGGACTGGTGCACGGATCAGGTGAGGGGACTGGTGCACGGATCAGGTGAGGGGACTGGTGCACGGATCAGGTGAGGGGACTGGTGCACGGATCAGGTGAGGGGACTGGTGCACGGATCAGGTGAGGGGACTGGTGCACGGATCAGGTGAGGGGANCGTAGCAATTCAAAATGAATTATTGCTGAAATAATTGCACAGACCCGCTACTAGAGGCAGTCCAGCGCAGATCCTCAAGACGTATCCTTGGGGACTTCAGCTCACTGTCAAGCGCTTCATTGATGGTGTCAAAATTAGGCCTCGAGCCGCTCGTGCAGAGAAGAGTAGCAAATCATGCAAAAGCTGGTGGACATGAACGTCCCACCTGGCAGGCTTCAGCTCGCTGTCAGAATCACCAGAGATCACCATCAGAAGCTCATAGTGCCGGGCGCAAGAACGGATGTATACCGCCATTCATTCTTCACTTCCGGTACCAGACTGTGGAAATCCCTCGCCCAGGAGACCGTGGCAGCTCCTGACCTGACTGCCTTCAAAGCAGCAGCGAAGGCCTGGCAACAGCGGCAAGGACGGGAGCAAATACTTATTCAATTTTAAACCTTTTACTCTGTACTTATGAATCGAATGCATTATCTCATATATGTGGCAATGTATGTTTGTGTGTGTGTGTGTGTGTGTGTGTTTGTATGTATGAATGTATGTACGTATATATATATTTTTTTTTTAATTAAACGGGGAGCTTTTCCTCGAGTCATTAGGGTAATCACTTTTCTTCAATAAAAAATAAATAAATAAATAAATACAAGCACATTGAAATAATGATTAGAGTCTTTGGTAGCACATAGTATGACTCTGCTGCGAAACCAGAGGGAAGCTTTCCGTTGATGCAACTAATCGCTAATTTGCAGAGGTTCATCAAGCTCTCAGCTCTTCGTGTACATCCAAAGCATTTCTTCGTTCCTGTCACCACCCATCTGCGCCGTGTACCTCCTCGCCATGTTCTGGAAGCGCACCACGGAACCTGTGAGTCCCTGATATGAATAATCAGGTAGCCAGTTCAATAATATCAATCTAATAAATTCAAACAACCCATTATAGATATATAGACAAAATTCCTCTGCATATTTGCGGCGGATGCAGCTAAAACAGTTCTATAGTGTTGAAAAAAAGACTCAAACAAAAATCGGAAAATGCTTTGATGAAAATTTTTTGCGTGCAATGAGCTGTTAGAGGGTTTGGTTTCATGAAACGCGCGTGAGAAGATTCCTGAAGTCTGAATGAATTCCAATTATATTGTTAGCTTTTTAAATTTAAGTCCATGAAAGTTATGATTAATTTACATAACTTCTGTTCTTGAGATGGAAATAATCTTCTTGTATTCGTTGTAGGGCGCGTTCTGGGGCTTGATGATCGGCTTGATTATCGGACTCATACGCTTCGGGCTGGAGTTTGCCTACAGCATCCCACCTTGTGGATCATGTGAGTTAGAAATCATTATAACGATACTAAGAAACTTTCATAAAACATTGGGAGTACGCTAGTATTTACTGATGCACTAAAGAATTCAAGAAAATGACAGTCACTTAATGGGGTAGCAGGGAAGTTTAAGTATAAATCATTGAAGCAAAAGATCGTTTTAGCAATCTTGGAAGCTGCAAATTTACTACATATTGAAGGCAACGACGGAGATTGCAAACAAAAAGCAGTGGCCTCGAGCCACTCGTTAAGAGTTTCCATCGTTTAAACATCCCACTGAAATTCGTCTAACCATCCATTTATTTATAATAGCATTCAAAGTTACTGCTAAACGAGTCATTACTCGTCGACTTCAAGGTACAAAATTCCTCTTGCTGTGAGTAGTTATTGATCCTTCAAATGGACCATACAATTAAAGTTTTGATCTTTTTCGTGTACATTTCATTACATTTATTAATTTCCTGTGAACCTGGTCACCCACTGACTATTATCAGGCCGTTTGATGATTCCTGGCTGTATATCATGCTGTCAACCTTATTAGATTACATCAATAATATTAAATTATTCTTTAGTTCTTGATATTCTACAACATTAATGCTTGGACTAAAATAACAGCGGAGCCTGATCCACGTCCCCAAATCATCAAAACCCTCGTCGGTAACGTCCACTACCTGCACTTCGGCCTCCTGCTGTGGGTCATCTCGCTCGCCGTTGCCTTCTCCGTGTCATTCCTCACTCAGCCCATCCCTGAGCAATGCGTGAGCAACAATATTGCCCAACCCTTATTTCTGCAAATTAACAGAGCAACAATAACACAATAATAACCCCAATTACAGATATGTGATTATTAATTAAATTTGTATCAACAAGCATATACTGCCACAATTCTAATAACAGACCAGTGCACTTATTGCTGGGACCAGGCGATTGGGTCGGATTATTAATTTTCATTTATTAAGTTCATAAAATAAAGAAATTATTAAGAAAATCAATTATTTTATTACAATCATTGATAAAATTATTTATTAGCGTCATTTGTTTTGTTTATATTAACGTTTAAGTTATTGTTATATATAGTGTTTTACATTAATTCTGCCGTTTATTGGTTCTCTTTGATGAGATTCGTTATTCGTATAAACCGTCCCGTAAGTCCACACTAACTAAATGCGAATTTTTCGATTAAATTTTCTCATTGAATGAAACGGTCAAATTTTTTTAAACTCGTTGATTGCGTATGAACTAGAATTTGAAGTTTTAAACGTAAATGCTAAAGCGATGATCAATAGTCCACTCATACCCCCAACTCATGCTACGAATGTTTAATTTTAAATGAGGCCTTGACGAACTTTCATTGTTTTTGCATTAAAATTTATTCTCCCATTTCACAGATGAATTTTTCATGGCAGATCAAGACAACGCAACTCACAATTTATTTTTCAGAAATAATTTACATTACTAAAATATTAAAACCGCGAAAACTCTAACTGTGAAAAACCGAAACAAACCCAAGTTTCTTCCATTGCTTTCACAAAGTTGTTCGATTGCTCGGCAGTTACACCGTCTGATGTTCAGCACCCGACGCAGTCTCGAGCCCAGGGTGTCCATCAGGAAGATTACGACTGAGGTCGACGAAGACATCTTAGCCGAGAAACGTTCCCAGCGAAATCCTTCTGTTGTATCTTCTTCAGATAGTGAGTGGTTAATTGAAAAATTATACATCGACATTTTCTAATGTTTGATTTTCTTCAGTAAAAAATTAACAACTTTTACGAATCATTTGCAGTCCACAGCAACAGGTGTTAGGCTATTTTTAAGAATGTGCAATTAATAATGTTTCAGGCTTAAGTTTATTATACACAAATTTCATTCACGAATGGTGGTTGTTTATTCTTGTAGATAAGTCTTGCCTGAAGGAGCTTCTCTACCGCATATGTGGTTATTCTGAGACTGCACGCTCGGTGACTCAGGACCAACCAACAAACGTCGACGTTAGAACTGAAGCTGAACAAATACGAGACTCTGTCGAGTTCCTCAATGAAGACCCCAAGCAGAAACAGTCAGTGGTTTCAAATGCTACATTTGTCTTTGATATTTTCAACTTCAAAATTAAATATTTTAGATATTGACGCTAATATGCTGGAATTATTTAGAAATCTGTTCAATATATTTCACATTTTTTAAATTTCTGGTAAGTAATCTTTCAGTTTGTTACAGACAACTTTTTAGCATTGTGTCATCATTTACAGGTTGGTGAACGCACTGGCAGTGGTTGTCTTGGTGATTGCGACAACTTTCTTCGGATTTTACGCATAAATCAGGATTAACGCATTAGTTTTTAGAGTGTTGAACTTATGCAAGAGAATTGCACATTATATTTTCTTATCTATAATTTAGCATTAATATTAAACTTTGCAAATATGATATCATATGCATTAGAAATATTCCAGAAATAAGTTATATGTCATAAGCTATTTGTGCTGCATTCACCAGATATGAACCGAACTCCTCTCATCAGTAACGTGTTTAAAGAGCTTGAATTATGGACGTATGGTTTTCTATTACATTTAAAGCTTACTAATACGTTTCTTCAATTGTAAAGCTGATAAATTAATTTAAAAAATTTCGTGAGGCGGAAAAAGCACAGCGTTTCTTCAACCAAATTAGGTAAAACAAATTTAAACTAAGATAAATTAAAAATATACAAATGCATTGATTGAAATTTTTACGATCAATCCTAAAATCTCTTCCTTTACTAAGCACAAATGAACAAAACTTTTACTCCAACCAAAATTTTCCGCGAAACTGAGTTTCAGGGAATACGGGTACCTCTGAGCTATTAGACCGGTACGCTGTACATGGAGTTTTATTTTATTTATTATCAATCCAGTTATTGGAAAATGAAATCCCAGTGAATGTTTCCTTGAACATTAGACGATCTGGTTTGAGATAAATTTTGAAAATAAATAAATAAACGCGCTTTATTCTTTATTAGTAGAACTTTTTTTATATACGTTGGATTTTTTGCCGTAATTGCACTGTCCTGTATCTGTATAAAGCATTTGATTTTAAATCTAAATTTTACTACATTGTTTTCATATCAGCTGGGATATGAAACTGGAGACCGTGATATGTTTAGCGAAAGGGAATAAACTTATTTATAAAATTTGCTGGCGTACTAGAAATCAAAACGAAGGATTTGAAAGACCAGTCTTTTGTAAAATCGAGTTAACCTACTTTTACTTCGGGTTCGCTATGCACTAAATTCAAGAGAGCGAATTGAAATTTAGATTCTGCTTTGGGTCGACCCCGTTTTAATGTTGACCTGTCAAGCTATTGTTATTATGAGGAAGTCCTCTATAGACTATAAACATCTAAGCCTTCAGGAAGAAGCTTTGAACCATTGTTTCTTGTGAATAGAATATGCGTTGCTTCATCGATTTAGAATTTGAAATGAGGCTCTGCAGAAACTTCTTAGCCGGCGTAAAATTTAAAAAGATGCTACATAAATCTGCTGGGGCACAACACGGAAGGTGTTACGCCCTTGGATTCCTGCTAGTAAGTTTCGTCGATTTGTTCTTCTACGATAACAAATTCTCAGGTTATCATCAGAGCTGTAGACAAACCGGTGAAATATGGAACAAAATTTAAGTATTACAGTGACTCTTTATAAGTTTGCGTTGCGATGTGTTAAGAATTAATAGCGACGATAAATAAAGGCTAGGATGAGGGAATTACACAATTGACGGTAAAAATATGCAAATTGTTCAGGAACGCATTGAGTAAAGCGAAAATAATTAAATCGGTTCGTAGGAAAGCTAAAGTCATAATTTTTGAGCTCAGTACACCGGTCGTAAGCTTGTCGAAACTTTAAGTATTACTAGAGTATTAAAGATTTATCAATAATTTTCATATAAGGCAACTTTACGTTAATGATGCCGATAAAAATATAGTTATTTAGAGCACAAAAATGATTGAAGGATAGTGGTATCATGATTAAATTATTTAGTAGCTGCAATCGGTTCAATGGCTCAATTACATTGATTAATTCTTATCTTAGAATGTTATCATAAAATGTTTGAACAAATACATCTTCTCCTCATTGCTAACTGGAATCTTATCCTTATGAAATTTATATCTTCTTGAACTAAAAGAACTAGCTCCTATCCCAGTAGCAAAACACGATGACCTGACCGCTGCGTATGCCTGCACCTGATGCGCTCAGGTCAAACCCCGAGAGTGGCAGACGCGTACAGGTGCTCAGCCTTGGCGCTGCTCGCAGCCGCTGGAAGAAACAAACCTGCTGTGCTGCATCACGAGCAGTGTTGTGCGACGCTCTAGCGCGCCTGGTGGTTGTAACCTTGCACTTCAACATCAATATCTCTGTGGTGTCACACATGCACAGTGCTAGGGCATCTACCTAACGAATAATTACAAGTTTCAGTAAGCTGTTTGTGCCTTGAAAAGCATTAAGCATCGTCATGAGTGCGAAGAACTATTTAAGTTGGCCAGATTATGGAGTCATTATTGGGTACTTCGTTTTTGTACTTGCCGTTGGATTGGTGGTAAGTAGACACCAATCACTACTTTACTACTAACACTACTTCCGCAGTAGTGTTACTGCTGAAGTGTTGTTAATTCGTTTTATCTCCAAGATTCATTGCATTGTGTAACCACCATGTCCCTGTTTATTTTTAATGTAGTAATGCTTGAACTACGGATTGAATAAAATTCGGCTGGCGTTAGTTGCCAATTTAATTGTCCTTATACTCCCTCTTGTTTAGATTTTAGGCACTAAATAAAGCGATAGCCTAATACACGAAGCTATATTATATACTTGAAATTATCTCGGATCATATTTTCTCCGTATAGTTAAATTATCCTTATGTTAGCCGGAAAACAGAAAAAAACTTGGCGCATTTTTTTCCGGGCGCCAGTTCTCAGAAGTGCCCGGATGTGAGGATGTTCGTTTAACCAAGCACAGCGTGAACCTCTGAGCGACTCGATTTGACGAAGCTAATTTTACACAACATAAGTTCAGGGAAATTTTAGCGTATCAAGTTAACTTAAACTATATTTTTTCTATACCATTGGAATTGAAATTTAAGTGATTCTTATATCCGAAATCGGAAATGAGAATTACTTAATGGCCATGCTAAGCGTAGTAAGCGTACAGCAATTTTCGATAATTATAGTGTAAATACACTTATGAATACCAAATACAATGAAGTCAAAATCATCGATATTGTTGTTAGGGTACGTAGTGTAATAGCGAGTTTTTACAGTTAGACATTTGGATTTTTGGTTTTAAGTCACCTCGGACGTGACCTCGTTCTGATAAGCACCGAAACTTGTTCATTGCTATATGATCCACCACGGAGGTACGCGTTACTTTATCATTTGATCTTTTTATTTTGTGATAATTTTCTGTTGCAATTCAGTGATGATGTTTAGATTTGTTCATGATTATGATTATCAGTCTATAATTTATTTATCTGGCTTACGTAATATTCTTTTGTTGCTCAAATATTGCTAGTTCTAAATTTTCGCTTATTTCTTAATTTTAGAAAGGCTCCGAATCTTGAGACCGAAAGTAAGAACTTGAGCAAAGGGAACACACGGTTATATTTTGTCTTCATTTGTATTTGTCGTTTGCTTATTATAGTTTTCATTTATCGTTCTTATTAATCCTTTTTACCACTATACCCACGACATTGTTTAAAACTATAATAATTATAACAATGTTTATAATACTTCATTGGATTCATAACAACTCACTGAAATATCCGTGAAGTTATTCTGAAATACAAAAATTTGCGATGAGATACCATAATTTGAATGGTACGATCAAAGTATTTATTGATAAGATGCATGGTGTTCGAGATAATCCTTATACACGTTGATTCTCAAAAGAATCGAGACATTCAGTGTATTTTGCTGCGGATGCCAAGTGAATGAGATGCAAGGACACACGCGTGTCTATACGAGCTACCATCCCCCCATTGTTGCTCTATGTATTGTTTAAACGTGCACAGCTGCTGTAAAAAAAATTATTTTGAAGATGTCATATAAATTCAATCGGATATTAATTTTCAAGTCGGTCTCCGTAGTGCAAAGTAAGTTCTAACTCCGAAAAATTATGTCTAAGACAATATTCAGTTATGATTGAATTGTTGATACGCGCTGTATTCCAAAATACATACCTCTAATACTGTCTATTAAAAACGCCGAAATAAACAAATAAACTAAAATGCATGAAGTCTTACTTCTATTTTAACATCAAAGCTTATGCAGAAAGATGTGCTTCTATGGGATTATTGAGATATTAAACGGAAACATTCTACATTCGGTAATTTCACATTCAATAGCTAATTTCGAAAATCTTATTTGCAAGCACATAACGCAATTAAATTTTAAATTTGATATTTCCTTTTTTTTCTAGTCGTCAAGGAAGAGCAAAGGTGACGTCAGCAGTTTCTTCATGGCATCTCGAAATATGCACTGGATACCAGTGAGTAAATCACGAAAAAGGAAGTATTTTGGATTAAGCTATTTAAAAATTTCGGTTTTAAAAATAGCTTCTTAGGAACTTTTCATTAACTTGATCCAATGTTGGTTACAGCCGCACCTTGCCAGTTGCTCGATCGATAAGTTACACCTGTGCAATGACACTTTGTTCATGTTTTGACAAGTGTTTGTAGGCTTAAACATATTCAGAAGGAGCACTTGACTTACTGCCTGCGTCGAATGTAAAAGCTTGTACATTGAATGTCTCTATAAATCTGAAAGAAATTTCATCTTTTTAACATACGATGATGTCTAATTTTTTAAAGTATTTAACTTATTATGCAGGTCGGGGCGTCGCTGTTTGCGAGCAACGTCGGTTCCGGTCACTTCATTGGCCTAGCAGGCACTGGTGCCGCCTCCGGCATCGGCATCGCAGCCTTCGAAATAAATGTTAGAAAATTAATTAGAAACAACACTGTAATGTTCTTGTGTTTAATTATTAGTTTAATAATACTTTCGATTCTACAATGTCATTGGATTATATTCTGGACCTAAATTAATGAAGCGTGGTGAGCACAAACTCAGCAAAAATTTTGCCCTTGCAAATGCTTCCAATTTATCTCTTAATTGAAAAAGGAAGAATTCATAGTGACTAAATTCTTTAAAAGGGCGATGAATGTTAAAGAAAGTGATTTTTAAATCGCTTTGAATTAATTTTAAATACATATTTGGTTCAAAAATGAGTTGGGCAGAGCATAAAATTTGAAAAATTCGCAAGGAATAATATTCTGGAACTGTATATTACGGAACAACTAACTTTTTGTTTAATATTAGATACTGATTCAAGCAAATAACAATAAAGCATTTATTTATTGTTGCACAGGCAACATTTGTACTACTGCTCCTTGGATGGCTCTTCGTGCCAGTGTACATGAGCTCCGGCGTGTACACAATGCCGGAGTACCTGAGGGAGCGCTTCGGCGGACAGAGGATCAGAATATATTTATCAGTTCTCGCTCTCCTCCTCTACGTCTTCACTAAAATATCGGTGAGATATTAACAGATATAGATATGAGAAGGTAGTTCAAATCACAGTAATATTCTCCACAGATAAAACAGTACGTTAAATATAACCGGACGTGGATGTAAGAAACACATAATCGTATAAGAAGTCCCCTGAATGGGGAAGATGTGGAATAAAAGAATTATTTAACCAGAAGCTCTCAATGATGGCGCTAAGTAATTTGCGGTAAACAAATGCGGATGCTGCTTCTTGGGAAATTAGTTTTCTCTTACGGCAAGCAGTACGGAAATTTATTTATAATTTGAATTCAGCGATTGTTTCCTTTTCTGTCGTATTTTCTTAAAATGGGTTTTCTTAGGATGGGATTCACTCCTTCTTTTAACGAGTTACTGTTTAAGCAACTCTATAAAATTTATAAGGCATCATACCAATTATGGGCGTTTTTTACATAAACTATCAAACAGGATTCCCGTGCCGGTGCTCTCTCATAATAATAATATATAACATAATAGCGGTTTCAGCGTTTAGTATGCCGTAGGCTTGTCGCCGATTCTTGACATCGCAGAACATTCACAGCATTTTGCAGTCTCGAACTCGCAATTCACTAGCTGCTTCCCTTCCAATTCTGCTGTGCTTAACCGCCCGGCCTCCTCGCCGATTCTGACCATCAACTGGCGCACAGAGATGGGACCGAACCCGCGCCTCTCTGCACCAATCCTGGTACTCTGAACTGGAGCCACTGGGCCACCCTCATAAGCATTCAACACCATCTTCGAGCTTGACGCTGTCATTGAATGTGTGATTTAAAACGGTTAACAAACGTGCAGGCAGATCTGTTCGCTGGCGCTCTTTTCATCCAAGAGGCGATCGGGCAGTCGTCGCCTGAGTGGCTCTACTTCAGCGTGCTAATCCTGCTCGCCATCGCCGCCATCTTCACGATGGCGGGCGGTCTGACGGCCGTCATGTGGACGGACTTCGTGCAGACAATCCTTATGGTTCTCGGTGCGCTCGTCCTCACCGGCATCGGTACGAACACTCCTGCAATCCTCCTTTAATTGTTGTCGTCAATTAAATGAGTAATTTGTTTTTAAATGATACCAGACTTGGATGCATTAGTAAAAGCCGATAATATTTATGAAGAATTTGGGAGGATCTAGCAATTTTTTTTCCAAATCGATCTATCAGACGGAGCGTGCTGTTGATTTACCTCAGAATCTATAGGCAAGCAAATTGGAACATTTTCTTTCGATATGCGACATCTTGTTTCACATATCATTAATTTATTCAGGCATTAGGCGATGAAAATGTTAATAGATGATTATTTGTCTATGGCAGCATTCAGCAGAGTGGGCGGCTACGAGCAATTAGTGTACAAGTATCCGCTAGCGCTCCCTTCCAAACTTGCTTTCGATACCAACAACAAAACGTGCAACGCGCCTCCACCATACGCATTCAACCTAATGTGAGGAATACAGGACTCCTAGCGTTCTGCAATCTTCTTCTTCTTCTTCTTCTTCAATCTTCAAGAACATTGAAGAAGATTCAATCTTCTTCTTCTTCAATCTTCTCAGCTAATTTAAAGAACCAGAATTAGAATATTCAAATGAGGGCTCGAGAAACTTGAAAATATTTTACAACGCACGAAAATAGACAACGTGGAGTTATGTTTACTTAAAGTTTGGAATGCATTTTATAAATCACGATTTAGATTTTCAAAAAAATATGTATGCTTTGACGATTTGATATGCATATCTAGAAAAGCGAGCATTTATTTGTATGAATAAATTTATAATTGTGCCAAGAATGCAAATTTTCTTGTGATTGCAGGCGCCCCATCGTGGGTTCCGATCTACCGTGGACGGGAATCGTGTTTGGTCTCACGATCCTCGCCATCTGGTGCTGGTGCACAGACCAGGTATGTATAAGGCATTCTTATTTTATGTGAGTAATTAAGGCTTCGAGATATTGCAGAAATAGTTCAAAGATAACTAAAATGCTGGAGCTATAGAGCTATAGATACTTGATATTGGTTCTGATTATTTGTTATGATTATGAATATATAAATTCGCACATATTAATTCAAATGATTGTTATTAATTATTATTCATAAATTGTTTTAGAATATTGACTAATTCGTATGTGAAAGTAAATTCAGAAACGTAGATCATTTAACCGACCTCTTACGACCAGGTGATCGTTCAGCGAACACTGGCCAGTCGCAACATCATCCACGCGAAGGCAGGTTGCATCCTCGGCGGCTGGCTGAAGTTCCTGCCGCTGTGGCTGCTGGTGTTCCCGGGGATGATAGCGCGGGTGCTTTTCCCTGAAGAAGTTGGATGCGTCGACCCTGAGACCTGCAAGAAATTTTGCGGATCAGCTGCTGGCTGTACGAATAAAGCATACGTCAAGCTTGTGCTCGAACTCTTGCCTGACGGTGAGAAATCCTTAGAAATTTTAGCTGTTGTAAATAAATTAAACCGCCGCCTCGATGCTGAAGTTTCTTCTAAACTAAATGAAAATTTTGATAAACTAATCCGTATTTAAATTTCACAACCCTATGGGTATGTTTAAAATGTTTAAATAATTTTGCAGTGTTACCTGTAAAATTAAATCGAAATTTAATTTTGCTTTTTTTCAATTTTTTAGCTATTAAATACGAGGGTTTAATATTCATCTGACGGTGAACTCGAGGGTTATTTTAGACGAAGTATAAAAATTTTCTAATTAGAGTTTTTCGTTTACTATGACAACAGATAACTGAAAAAAGTTTTTTTGCGACAGGTTTGAGAGGACTGATGCTGGCTGTGATGATGGCGGCCCTCATGTCCTCCCTGACTTCCATTTTCAACTCATCGTCCACGATCTTCACGATGGACATCTGGGCGTGCGTGAGAAGGAACGCATGGAAGAAAAGAAGCCCGAGACTTGTTGAGATCGAACAACTGATCGTGGGCAGGATATCAGTCCTGGTGCTCGTGATCATCTCCGTAGTGTGGATACCGGTTATTCAGTGAGTTCACAGAGCTGAATTGGGATAAATTCGCCTGTTTGAACTGAAATTTCCAATCAGAACAACATTTTATCGCCATTTACAGGCAAATAGAGTAATGAAGACCATAGTAATTCAGTGAACAATAATAGCAATAATAATATTATTTGAATCGTTTTGTGAACAGATGTTTAGGGATTAGTTCAAAACATATAATGGTTCTAGCCTATAGTGTTGCCAATACTTGCAGAAACTCGACGAGCTCTCAGCTCTTTGTGTACATCCAGAGCATAACCTCCTTCCTGGCGCCTCCGCTCACCGCAGTCTACATCCTCGCCGTTTTCTGGACTCGTACTAACGAGCCGGTAAATAATTTCATTTAATTCCCATTCATATTTTCAAAAATTTTGCTTTCTCACCGTCCAAAATAAATGAATTATATGCATTATATAACTCTGTTAAAAGTATTCGTGATCGGCATAAATTCTGTATGCTTTTTTAACTTAAATATCATATTGTACTTCGATGAGGGCGGCGTTAAGTTAGTGTTTTCATTATTTTTGACTTCTTTACGCAATTTTTCTCTATCAATTTTCGATCTACATTCATTCAGTTGTTCTATCACCGCACTCCTGCTTGTATCGCAGGAATTATTGCTTTTCAAAACAGGAATTGAACGCGTTCCTGAGTGTGCATTAAGGCTATGGTTCTTGATGATGATTGATAGATGAACGAGCTTGGCACAATATCGCTGCGTAGAATCAGGGAAGTTATCCTATAGAGATGCCCCTGTACTCTTCGACCTTGGAAATACTGCAGTGGGATCAATAGTGCAGTAGTGTTCTTTGGATGATATGATCAGTGTAGAGAATAATTACTCAACTATATGCAATCAGCAACTTAGTTTCCTCACGTGTTATTATTGAATTTTAGGGTGCCTTCTGGGGCCTCATGATCGGCCTGGTCGTCGGTCTGCTGAGATTTGTGCTGGAGTTTGCCTACGTCATCCCTCCCTGTGGCTCAGGTGGGCAGTGCGCATGCTCGAGTATAAATCTATCTTGATGCATTCGAAAAAACATTTTATAATAAATTATTATAAAGTATTGGTTGTTTGCAAACATTTTCATGTGTAAATGTCCAATTTTACGAGAAAAATTAACATGAGATGCCACAAAATCTTACGTCTTAGTGTGAGTGGAACAATTTTTGGGTGTTGAAAAAGACATTGAATAAAAATAAGTCTCTGCATGCTCTCGAAAATTAAATATGTGCACAAAATACATTTCAGCTGAACCCGATCCTCGTCCCGAGATCATCAAGAGGCTGGTGGGCGACGTGCACTTCCTACACTTCAGCATCTTGCTGTGCGTCTTCACCGCCATCGTCACCGTGTCGGTCTCGCTCCTCACGCAGCCTATACCGGATAAATGCGTCAGTAGAATGATGCCCGTAATACTTGATATATTTCTTAGATTAAACACGCCTAGTTTGCCAACAAAATTTCTACGACAAATAACTCTATCAAAAATAATTTGATTGAACAGCCACTTCGAGTGCTTGCACTTGATGAATCGTTCTTTTAAGTTAACGATTTTTTCAAACAAATTTCAATGTTTAGATTAACTTATCAATTTTAATAATAAAATATTTATCTCGCTCAATGAATGTTTTGTTCTTAATGATTATATTTCAGTGGACAACTAAGCCATTAGTTGCTAAATCTTCTCTCATGGGGGCACACCTTACTAGTTACTACATAATGTAATTTTTCTCCGTTTTGTAAACGAAATACACCTGATTCTACTACCTAATAATATTTATCAAAAATATTGCAAATTTCATGCATCAGCTTCACCGTCTGACGTACTGGACGCGATTCAGCGACGTGCCCCGCGTGACGACCCGGGAGTGGCGGGACGAAGAGCGACTGAACGCGTCCCACGAACCTGCGGTCAGCTACACCTGCAGTAGCGGCGAGGCGGTCAAGATCAACGCCAAGTGCGCTGAGAACCTGCAGGGTCAGGCGCTTCCTGGTGAGACAATTTCATGTGGTTGTGCGTGATGATCTTGCCACTGAAGATCTCAGTCGTTAAATCGAAAGTAACATTCTATCACATGTCTCACTTATGATACGAAAAGTATTTGTATGAATGATTTATTTGAATTAAAATGGGCGTTTACTCGGAAATCGTAAGTAAAAATTAGCAATCTTTCGAGTAAGCGTGCAAGGGAAGTCCATAGTGCACTATTTAAAAAAAATTTCAAATGAAAGTATTTTAAATTAATAAAATAACCTACTAACAAAATTATGAATTTAAGGTTGAAAATTATTCGAACCAGCAACTAACATGGCATTCCTAAAATCTCCCTGAAACAAATTTAGCAGTTATGGCAGAAGTGAGAAGTATATTTCAGGTTTGGAAATATGGCTACAGTTATTCATAGTTTCTCACGGTTTTCCATGAGTTTCAGTAGAGCTGCAAGGCATCGTGAACTCGTTCCTAATAGCAAATGCTGTCAATCATGGCATCACAATTCGATTGTTGCGTGCAGCGAACTTCCTGTGAGCTCGAGTACTCGTGCTTCCGGATAAATCCGAATGCAGTGGCTCGAAAATATCGTCGCTTCGCTCGCTATGTTAGCTTACATGCGGATAGAACAAAGCTTGATTAGTAAAATGGGAAACTAAACAAGCCATTACTTAAGTTAGTAATTTTACTTTTTCCGTAATCTATCATAACATAGTGATCTCGGCGCTGCAGTGTAGGCCTGATGTGGCCTGTAAATGAATACCATACCAACCATATTCATATAAAATGAATATGGTTGAAATGCAAGCTCTGCAAACATTCCAGGCGGTGACGCTCAAGAAAATTTTAACAATAATTTTAAAATAAGCTTTATTGCTGTCGTTTCGATGAATTTTAAAATTCGTCTGTTTCACGACTTGTAATTTTAATGCAAATAGTACCTACTGCAATTTTCTACTCAAATGACACATTTATGGAAATTCTTCATGTATATTAGAATCCTTGAAATTCTAAATTTCGAAGGAGTGATCACAACGTGCAATGGCATCCGACTAACCGAATCGAGTTTCAGAGGACACACCGCGTTGGCTGCAAGTGTTGGGCAGACTCTGCGGTGCAGGCGCCAAGGAGGCCGCAGAAAACGGTAACTTTCCGGCCACAGAAGCACCCGAAAAGGTCAAAAATGCACAGCAACAGCAGATAGAAGACGCGCTAAAGTCCATTAGAGAAGAGCCAAGACAAAAAGAGTAAGTGGAAAAAGTTCTATGGTAACGTATTTTAACCGAAGCGTAAAAAATAATTGTCTGAATAATTGTTATCAAATTGTAATCGTGAATCAGCTTCAGTGAATAGTTGTAGGTTAACTTAAAGGCTGCAAAAGTGGCACTTATTTATTAATAATCCAGTATTTAAATGCATGAATGAATCAAATTCTGTGTTAATAAGCTTTGAGTCAAACAAAGTATTAGAATTTCTTATTATATTTTTCGCTTCACTCATTGAGTTTCAAAAGCATGTACTAATGTTAAATTAATCCTTCTCTTTCTTTAATGCAGATACGTGAACTTTGCCGCCGTGCTGTGCATCGTGGGAGCAACTTTCCTATGGGGTTTCTATGCATAATTTCTGAAAAATATAGTTTTTTAATGCCTACAACTGAATTAATTTCAAATTTTATTTTATATTTCTACTTCTGTGCATAAGTCTTATGTTATTTAAAGCATTGTGTAACATCTACTTAAAATATCCAGAATTTTATGTTAGAAAAACTCACGTGAGTTTTTTCGTTGCCAGATGCACTCAGGGTATAAAAAGGTTTAATTCTGTCACAAATTTATTTGTATGGTATTCGTATTGGACCAGTATTATATTCTTAGATCGTTCATGAGTACGCGACTCAATTACAACTTATACCTTAGAAAAGCGATTTATCAGCAAGAACGCAAGCATTAAAAGTTTCATAGCGGTTCATTTGGTTCATAGCAATGCCCGAAACCAAAGTGAAAGTAGATTAAGATTTCTTATACTAATTTACACAGATGAAACCATATTAAACATTTTTGAATAACATAACATTGTTTTAGTATCGAATGCATCATGTTCGTCACGAGCAATTATATACTTATGATGGCGTTAAAAGCTTGCTACTTCATCGAAGCATACATTCCAGTGCGAAAATCTTGCTGAAGTTGACAGCCATGAGCTACGTAATTGGATTTAGGCATCATGAATCGACAAAAAAATCTTCTTTTCATGTTATTGAATAAGTAAAATCACCCAAATGATTTAATATTGTGATGGAACTCCAAAAATTCCCAAATTAAAAATCGAGACTCTCTGTTAAGATTGTAACTTTTGTCGACGGTCTGCTTCTCGAGTCTCCTGACGATGACGGAAGAACGATGCACGATCCTTTTGCGAATAAATAAAATTGTTGAACTTTATAAACGAAGCAAGGTTGGAACTCGAGTTTATGTTAATGACATATTCTCAAGATGTGTTTCAAAGTTACTGATAATAAAAAGTCAATATATACGTGCAATAGTCTTACTTTCCACGCGCCCAAATACTCACAAAGTATTGATAGACTAGAATGATCTAATTTCATTGCTTCTTCGAAATAAAATAAATAGATCTAATGTATTTATACTACGACAGTATAATAATTCATAGTTCCGAAAATGGGAAGTCTACTATGCATTGAATGACTGATTGAATGACTGACCAGTTTCATATGCCAGTTTCAGACTGGCATATGAAAGTGCTACTCATTCATTCAAGTGTCTCAACTATACCACGATGGAAGGCGCTACGCATATTCTTTCATTAGATATTCATTAATAACGTAAATGACTTATGAAAGAAAAAAAATTACCTGCTTTAATCAAACGAGAACTCACTAACGAACAGCTCATAGATCAAACTAGACACTCATTGCTCGTGACTCAAGCTTGAAAGCTATGCTTATTTCAAAAGCGCTCGTAGTATCGAAACAGGTTCAGCCTGCAAGTAGATTAAACAATTTCCCGCAAACGTAGATTATTATTAAATTTCATTTTGAATTTTTATTGTACACAAATTTTTCGACTAAACTGATGCACTGGCAGCATGATCGTGACAATTTTCCACAGTATTGATATGACTTTATACGAGAATAAGAGAATACTGAGAATATGACGAAGCTCAGAGATAGAATGACCTCTCGGGATTCTATTCAATACATCAGAGATTGAAAGATTCAAGTGCTAGTTTATAGTTCTTTGAACGACATGCGTACGTGTTGCTCGAACAGTACTATGAATAAGACATTGTAACTCAATGACAGATGATGCGTGGCACAGAAGCCGTCTTTCTTCGATCTAGACCTCGGACCAGGACTTGTACGCAGTCTAGACCATCGCACGCAACTCTTCCTTCTGGAGCTGCCCAGTCAGCACGCACTATCCAAACATCCTGAGATCAGAGTTGTTCACATAGCGGAATATGTCGTTATATGTATATTAATAACACTAATAGAAATTTTTCGTAAAAGTGAGAATTCTATTGTTAACAGCTGCCCGTAAGTGAGTCAACTGGGTGTGTCAGAACAATAGCAGCCATCTTTTCGACTAGTTCGAGTGGGTAAAAGTCAGCAAGAAATTATTGCTACAATTGTAAGTGCAAAGTTATCGGTATCTCTAGCTTAACATCTACGGTTATCTGGCTTACTTAGATTACATTTTATTGGCATATGAGCTCGTACGTGACATCCTTAGGTCATTGAAAATTTCGTCCCGGATCTAATGCTTTTTCGTTGCGATGTTGTTCTTCCATAACTATAAAATTTGAACATTCGAGCGATGTTCACGTTGTTTTTAACAACTAGAACGGTAATAAAATTGTCCTCGTCAGTCTACTTCAGCATATTATTACGAAATTAGGATAAAAACTTCCATTGAATTTATAAAATCTGATTTAGAAAATTTGGAGTAAAAAAATTCTCTATAGGAGAAGAAATAACATTTTCGTGGTCATTGTAGCCTATATTTGTTCTAGTTACTACTAATTTACTCAGAATGCACCATTACTTCAGAGTTATGTTAAAAAACTTGACAAAATTATCCTGTGAATTTAAATTTTAATTCAAGAAAAGAACATTTAAATGATTCCTTAGATTTATGTTTCAGGCAACTAGAAAATATTATTCGTGTCTCATACCGCTAACCCGCGTCAAAAATGCTTAATGAAAAACATCCCTGTGCTCAGTTTCATTGTGATTAAAAAATTTTAGTCGTTTATTCGAATGCTTTATATCGGATGTGGACATTTGTTGCATCGTCGCTCATGAGGACGCATGTTTTGCAACGCGTTCAAAGGACAGAAACTATGCATGGCAATATCAACATTATTTCATTTATCAGAAGAACACATTAACATGAAATGTGTAAAATTTTCATCATTTATATGAATATGCGGCGCTATAGGCATTCCGCCATTCTACCTGCTAAGTCATTGCTGCTTAGAGGTACCTCGAGAACAGGTTTCACACGTTCAGAGCCTGCAGGGTTACGGGATGTGAACGTTCGTAGTGAGTGGCGAACATCCTACGTTCAAGGTTGTGGGATTGACGAGCGGTTTTTCTTATTCTCGCTGAAGAACAGATTTTTTTGTGACGGGAAAAGCACTGCTGCAGATTATAACACATTTAACGCCTTAAGCGTATTTTCATGTAACTAATCTCTATTTGTGCTTGCCATGTCAGATAGCTTAGAGGATGAACGAATAAGCTACACTTCTTGCAAATGAAATTCTGAGCTAATATATGAAATTTTTTGCCAAGTTTAGACATTAAGACGAGAGTACTCGTAGTGACAGCCTTATTCGTTTGTGAATTGAACATGATAAACACAATATATATATTTACACTTCATATATTTTCTGTTGGTTATTTTTAACTTCACACGGACATTTTCTGTCAAAATCAACATAACGTGGAAATGTTGTCGCACGGCGCCACCTGGTCTGAGCGGCCGTCCATTAAATCCTTACATATTATGCCAAAGATGTTTGTCACTGCAGCCTGGCACCTCATATATATTGGGGCTAGGGGGGCGCAAACCCTCGATACATATCGAGTCGGGGTTTTGCCTGGGCCTGAAAATCAATTTTTTAATGAGAGATTAGTAAGGATTGCAAAATTTCAGCGGAGAGTTCTATATACCATGTGGCTTTTAATTGATTGGCTTGTATTAGTTATATTATTAATAACGGGAATCGGGAAGATGAAATTCGGGACAAGAAAAATATAAAATTGCAGGGATTATTGATCTCGAGCAACTTGTGATTTCCATGTCGCAATCAGGAGTCTTAACAAGCTGATTGATGTAGTAGTAAGTCCGATGTGATGGAAATATCGGTGCGTATTAGCGACACAAAATGTTTGCGAGCCCATGCTATATGATACACTTTAACTAGAATAAAGTCTGACTAATATTCGTAATCGTTAAGTTCTTTCAAATATAGTTTTCTCTCATTCGAATATTTAGCAAACTTTAACTAAATAACAGTTCGTTGCAAAATACCGCATCAAATAAATAAAAACTTGATCTTTTTTTACTAAAGTCTGAACTATTTTTACTAGTAAAAGTCTGAACTATATTAAGAAACCAAAAAAACTTGCGCCATGACGACGCTAGTCTGGCAAGACTACCTCGCCATCGTCATCTTCGTCATCTTCGTCCTGGGCGTGGGACTCTTCGTAAGTATTCATTTCAATTATTATATCAAAAATTATTTGTTATAATTATTTTCAATGTTATAGAAGCATGATTACAATTCTCGCAAAAACATTTTATCCTTTCGAATTTTTGATCATATGATAATACATGAACACCGAGGTAGCTAAGGCAAATAAACATAGTAAGACAAATAAACATAAGTAATTATAATTCCTTATGTTTATTTGCCTTACTACGTTTAATATTTACAAAATATTTCTTTATATTTAATATATTTAATAAAAATAATTCTTTGAAATATGTAAATAATAGATGCATAATGAAAAACAGAATAGATGATAAATTTTACGCAAGATGAATATAGTATCTAGACTCAGCTTTTAATTTAATTTCATTCGATGATTTTCACGAGGAACCAGTGATTTAGTAAACATTTTGGTTCTTCGATATTTTCTTTCAGTCTTCGCGCCGCAGCAAAGCTGATCTCAGCGGTTATTTTCTGGCGTCAAGAAGCATGCACTGGCTGCCCGTGAGAGATGTTTCCTGATTAGTTATTATGAAATTAAATGATTTATTATTAATCGAATATAGTATTAATTAACAAACAACGGAATTTAATGTGAGCTGAGTAAAGAGAATTGTGTTTAGTTATATGAATTTAATTCACTCCAGATTAATAATTCTCCAACCTTATATAATATAGAGTTTTTTACTTTTTGAATCCTATATACGTAATTCTAAATTCCTAACTTTGAGGTCGGGGCATCGATGTTCGCGAGCAACGTCGGGTCTAGCCTCTTCCTTGGCGTCGCTGGGAGTGGGGCCGCTGGTGGAGTTGGAGTCGCAGCTTACGAACTCAGCGTAAGTCAAAACTTTATTCAAATCAAATGCGTTAAAGTGAAATGCACGACAGGAAAATTCGGATTATGAATCAATTAACAGGATTTTTTGTAGGGACTAAACTTTTGAAATGAAATATTTCTGCATATTGCCGTTTCAAATTATAAATAATATATATTCAGGAAGGATGTATGTACCAGTTTTATCGTTTTTCAGTCACTTTATGTAGAATGAAATTGGAAAATTAGTGAGCATGTGCTCAAATTTGAATTCCTATTATTATTACCTATGCCATGACATCGTTCATCGGAGATAAGTCATTATCTTTCTAGCACTATCATGCGGCTTTAACTCACTTGTTGACTCAATTAACTGTTGACTTGAGCAGGCAATCTACGTGCTGATTTTTCTCGGGTGGTTTTTCGTGCCTGTGTACCTGAGCTCCGGAGTGTTCACCATGCCCGAGTATCTCCGGCAGAGGTTCGGAGGTCAAAGAATCAGGGTGTACTTGGCAGTGCTTTCGCTGCTACTCTACATCTTCACTAAAATATCTGTGAGTTACGTGATTAGGTAGGTGTTGTGATGTTTTTTTTCTATTTTAAACTGTTTATAAAAGATAAGCTGTTATAAACTATTTTATTTTTATGAACAATTTTTATCTATTTTAAATTGTTTAAACAGGTAACTGTATCTTATCTATTTTATACTGTTTGATTGAAACAGTAAAGAACCCACTGAGGCATGAGTTTAATATACATCCGATCATTAGGTGCTGCCGACCGTCACAAGAGAACGTAATTCTAAATAACAAGTGGACTTTACAGTGCATTTAGAAATGGAACATCAAGACAAATTTGATTCAAGAAAATGTCATTTTTATTAAAAAAAATTCAGAGTTTAGTTTCCCTCTTGTCTAATAAGTAAAAATGGCATTAATTTGAATCAAACTTGTCTAAATAAAGGACTCCGCCCTTATTATACGAATGGAACTTTTATATACCTTCATTTCAGAGTGACATATTATTTATTGGAGGCTTTTACATTCTCAGTATTCGAATTCGAATTTCAAAGGAAGCATTGAAACTTTAAAGGCAAATCATTTGTTACCGTACGTCAAAGCAGGATCGTAACTTGTTAACAGGTATTTGAGTAAATGTCTTTGTCGTATTTTGCTTTATACCGGATTTGTTCACATATGATTGAATTAGAATATGAAATTATCACTCCAGAAAGTTATTAATTTTGATACAGTTTATGCTTAAACGTGCTTGACGTTTGACAGCCATTCTGCACATTTTTGTGGGTGACTAGTACAATGAGTAAACTTCATCACACAATGTCCACAATATGAAAATTCAACGACGTTCATGTTCGGTTCAGTTGATATCATGAAACTAATCTAATATTTGTTGAATCTCCCTCTATAATAGATGATTTTTATACGCTATTCATGATGCTCGAAAACGATTACTGGTGAATAAGACGATGCAAACCGAAACTTATTGACAGGGTTCAATTATTTGTAAAATAACTATTTTCTTTACAAGTATTTCATTTCTGGGTAGTGAATGGTCACTTTTTGGCGTTTGCCGCACAAATATTTTGCGATGGCAATGATTACTTGGCTCCGCTTTGGTGTATATTATCTGTGGTTGAACTGGAGCGCCAGGAATTTGTTACACATCAGTGTCCCTCGGAGAATTTTTTTGTGCCCAGTCATGGAGAATGCAGGTCCGACCGAGACATTAATAGCTAGAATAGATGAAATAATCGATAATAAATCAATTAAAAGAATACCCTCAATGGGGCGGCAAATCACTGCATTCCGTTGTGGTTGACCTTTGGGTATGCCCGAATGAGGTTTACTCGTGAAGATAATAATTGATAGGTAGTAAAGGACTGTTTGCGCTATCCCACTTATAAAACAAAACTATATTCTTAAATTTCAGAGGATTCGAGATTAGCTAAATCGTTGAGTTGTTTATCGTGTTGGAGAGTTTACTAGAAGCGTTCATGGTCGCGGTATAATATCTTTCGCAGTATCGCTCCGTCGAAATTTCCTTTCACTGTCATTTCCAAACTTAATGTAATTACGATTATTCTGAGTAAGCGTCGTCCTATCAAATGAGGTTTCTTTGATACTTGATGCCTAATGACATCATATTTTTTTTCTGACAAATTAAATTCAGCTTTTTTGAAATAGATTAATGCTGTTGAGAATACGACCTTTGTTATGCTCTCCCCAAAAATTTCTGATAAGAGGAGAGCATGCAAAATAAAGAAGAAAACTCAATTTGAAGATGGGTCAAAAATAGACTTTTGCAATTTTTCGACCAGAGAAGTTGACTCTATTCTATGTTTATTGCTTGGTCTTCATACCCGAGCTTTAAGATGAGTGAAAACGTACGAAAAAATTACTGAAAAAGAATCAGGTTCTGAAGACATTAGGTGATGATTCCTACGTTATTCTGCTATTATTATAATTTTCTACTTGCTGCAATGTTAGATGATCACACTCAAGACCACGAAATATCGATATCAGTTTTGACAAGGTTTTACCACGATACCAGTATAACATATTAAAGGGAAGAGTAAAACTTAATTCTCTGATATCCTACGCTACTGTGGCGGGAGTGACACTTTGAGGCGGGATCGCAACTTGTTAACAAATGCTCGAGTAGAATTCCACAACTTATTTTGCTTTAAAACGATTCATTCAGAGCCAAATTAGATTGTAATCTGAATTTTCCATTACAGAAAATTATTTATTTTGATACATTTCATTCTCATACACGCATGACATCTTACAACATCACCGCATATTTTTGTGGGTGACTATAACAGTTGAAAACTCCATTCCAAAATATTTTGATAATAATTCAACGACGTCCATGTTCGTTTCAGGGGAAATCATGAACCTAATCTAATAAACGTTGAATCATCTGTCATAACATTATATCTATGCATTATTTATGATGCTCGAAAACTATAGCCGTTGATTAAAACGGTGAAAGCCGAAACTTATTTAGAGGGTTCAACGTTTCTGAAGTATTCGAGGAATACCGGATATTATCTGCTATATTGGCCGTACGAATCTTAACTGTATAAAGAAAACGAGGCATAAATTTAATTACAGAGCACACACATACGTGATGTATGTGCTCTTTGTGATGACGGTTAATGAATATATTTACTGTCGACAATGATGGCTGGAGTTTGGCTGCTATTGTGAAATAGTTTAGTCATTGCTCAAAAACACTCGACAGCGCGCATGCTCAGTCCTGGTGGGTCGGGGTGCACGCAGCTGCAAGCTGCGTATGTTAAGCGATCGTACCGCAGCATACCATGTCGTAAAATATTTTTTAAGCTCACTGCACCTATAACTGAAATGATAGGTGGGGAGCTGCAGAAAAGTATTCTGTAACTTGATAAAAGTGCATGAGCGTGACCTTGGACTACGAAGTCCTAAACTCGTCATAAGGTCATCATTTGCTCTAAATTATGAAGCGTAGAACTATTTATTGAGGCAAATGTATCAAAAACACATGAAATCTTGTCATAATATATAATGGTAATTCACGGAGATGTCCAAGCTGCTCACCTGCATAAAATGTGACGTGCTTGCTAAGTTTTCTCACAGTCACAATAATGATCTGTTTTATCCATGTAGTATAATAAGAAAGACTTGGCAATCCAGGCTATGTTTGAACAAATGACCAAATATCTGGAATAAGAGTAACAGATATCAAATACTAATTAACTAATTGCAACTTAAATATAATCAACAACAGAAACAATATAAGACTGACTTATAATCAGTAATGTACGTGGCAGGGAACTTACATTACATGACGGCAGTGGTTAGAACCTTTCAGCTCGACGGAAACATTGTGACTGATACGGTGTTGAAGCCAGACCATCTAACGTCTCACGGTCATCTGAATATGAACTTTATTAACTAATTGCAACTTAAATATAATCAACAACAAGTGTTGAAGCCAGACCATCTAACGTCTCACGGTCATCTGAATATGAACTTTATTCATGTAGAAATAAGGCGTGTATTACAACATTCATCCCACCCAAAATTTGTCGCTTACTTTAACTGGATATGACTTGATACACATAAAAATCATCAGACACCATAAAAATACAGATCATCATCAGATACATCATAAAAATACAGATACCATACAATATACCGAATTTGTCAGAATTTGAGTTGGTTTCCGCAATAATTTTTGGGCTCCAATTTTCGACCATTAGCTTTTTTATATGATTTTGTACTTATGTCCATCCAAATTCCATCATTCAATGCGTCTTGCACCTTAATGCTGAATGTTTATACATTTGAAACGTCATTAAAATATCATTCGGAAACCTGAATTTCAATTTTCAATCAACCGCTTACGAAAAATTAAGTTCGATTTATTTGAAAATTCCGAAAAGAGCCGTAAAAGATTAAAAGGAAGAAAATTAAATTTGAAGACTGGACAGAAATAGATGGTTTATAACCTTTCAAGATGAGATATCTTTAATCAGTGCACTCGTGATTACAGAGTGGCCCAGTGGTTACAGTTCAGAATACCAAGATTAGAGCAGAGAGGTGCGAGTTCGATCCCAGCTCTGTGCGCGTTTCTGGTTAGAATCGGCAAGGAGGCCGGGTGGTTAAGCAAAGAAAATTTGAAGCAGTGAGTTGCGAGCTCAAGCCCGCAACAAGCTGGGGATGTTCTGCAATGTTAGGAATCGGTGACAGGCCTACGACAGGCCTAATAAACGCTGAAACGGCTTTATTATATATTGTAACTAAGACTTCATAACGAAGCTTTATTATGAGTGAAAACATGTACGGAAAATTTACTGGAAACGATTCAGGTTCCCACGGCATTCAGTAATTCCTATGTTATTCTGGTAATCTGAATAGTTTCTCCATTCTGACATGTTCGATGGCACCATTAAGACCACAATACATCGATATCAATTATAACATGGCTTTACAAACTATACCTTTTCCAGGATAGTTGAGTGACGTTACATTTACTACCTTGAAGTTAACTGTGGGCTTGCCAGGGCGACCTTTTCGCCGGGGCGTTGTTCATCCAAGAGGTGGTGGGCGAGTCGTCGCCCACGGTGCTCTACTCAAGTGCTTTGGGCATCCTCGCCATGTCAGGCCTCTTCACTATTGTAGGGGGACTCACTGCCGTCATGTGGACTGACTTCGTGCAGACCATCCTTATCCTCATCGGAGCGGTTGTCATCATGATTCTTTGTGAGTCTCATCCACGTGTTTTATTTATCTACTATTCACTTAATTCTGTGATCTTCTGAGATATGTTCATCAGACGTGGAGACCAATAGAAGCTCAGTAGGTACTGTTTTGTAAATGTGTCATAAATATCCAAAAAAGAATTTGTTTCAATGGTGCAAAGTTGCTTGACAGCTCAAGGGTAAAAGCAGCCAAAACACTAGAAAAAAGTCTTAATTAAAACTCCTGCAACTCTTCTTTCATAAAACATCTGACGATCGAATGCCTTTTTCAATCTGCTAGCGTACATCCGCATCGGAGGTTTTGGAGCGATCGTCGATCAGTTCCCGTACGCAATGCCCAGCAAGTTGGTCTACAACTCTGAGAACCGCACTTGCGGTCTTCCGACACCGTATGCTTTTCATCTGCTGTGAGTGTTGTGACTTCATCTAATAAAGCCATTGCAAGGGACGGAAGTTGAAGAAATCAACTACAAAAAAGTTATTGCAATTCAATGTTTTTTTATATCAACCAAAAAAGAAATTAAGTACTTTAATCGATTTGATTTTAAACTTTAATTAATAGGATTATTTTATTTTCAAAGCGAAAAAAATATATTTTCTACTCTCTCTTTTGTTGTGTGACTAGGTTTGCTTCGATTAGTTTTTCTTAATTTATAACGATTTAATAAGATTTTGTATGATCTAATAAATTATTATATAGCAGTCTGGATTCGAAGCAAGATCCGAGAACCTACTTATTTTGCAGTCAAAATAATTTGGTATAACTATTTATTACTGTTACAATAAATGCTCGACCAACCTCATTCCGATATTTCCCACAAGCTCAAAATTATTTATTGATGTAATCAATGCCTCTTATTGATGTAATCAAGTGACAAATCAAGGCTCCTCTCGTTGGATATTTGCTCTGACGTCAAATGTCCCGTATAACGTGTTATTTTCTGCTGGGATTAGGATCCAATTGCATGAATCCGAAAACGAGTTTACTCGTTCCTGAAGAATCCCATGCATTAGTCATCTGACGTCGATCATGAGTTGATTGAAACAAGTAATCAGTTATATTTTGGCGTCAAATGATTGGTAGGATAGCATATCAAACCTAAACTGTAAATAAGATGCTTTTTATTGGCCCTGTAGTTTGCGCTAATAACGTGTGGTCCCATTTTTTAGACGGCCAGCTTCTGATTCGGACTATCCGTGGACTGGAACAATTTTTGGTATCGCTATATTGGGTACCTGGCATTGGTGCACCGATCAGGTAGGTTTATCGGTCGTGTTCCTTTTGCAACAACCTACCGTAACTAACGCAAACATTTGCTGGCTCAAATTTTTAGGATAATATATATGTTATAAGATAACATCATGCGAACTACTTGCAAACCTAAAATATAAACAAATTTTGTAATGTTGTTATAGAACAAAGTACATTTCCATTTCTTGTGTTATCTAATATTTTCTTCAGATTCAAGTTGTAATGTTTGAGTGACTTCACTTATGACACAGCACTTTTTGTTAAATTCCAAAGCTATGAACCTGGAACTTATGTCCTTATAATTCAGGTGATCGTTCAACGAACTCTAACGAGTCGCAACATCATCCACGCGAAAGCTGGATGCGTCTTTACGAGTTGGTTGAAAATTCTGCCGATCTGGCTGCTGGTTTTCCCGGGCATGGCCGCTCGAATTCTCTTCCCCGACGAAGTGGCTTGTGTCGATCCTGAGGAGTGCAAGAAAATTTGTGGGAGTCCAGCAGGCTGCAGTAATCTTGCCTTCATCAAGTTGGTCATGAATCTTCTTCCAATTGGTAAACTGAATAATATATGTGAAAAAGCGTGTTTAATGCTTCAGGACAATTAAATTGCAATAATTTTTTAATTTTAAGTTTGCTTATTCTAGTTTGTAAAATGGTGTTCAGTTCTAAAAGTGAAAATATATTTACTTCACAATCGTGTTCAACTGAATACCAATCGAGAAGATTTCGTTATCAAGTAGAAACTGAGATCAGAATTGCATTTATTATACCAGGGTAAAAAAAATCCTATTGTAAATCATTTTCCAGGCTTCCGAGGCTGTATCCTGGCCGTGATTCTGGCAGCAATCATGTCCTCGTTGACGTCCGTATTCAACTCCGCTTCAACGATTTTCACAATCGACATTTGGGCGACGCTGAGGCGCGGCGCTTGGAAGAACAAACCGTCCCGGCAGGTCGAGATCGAGCAAGTCATCGTTGGAAGAATGTCCGTCTTCGTCGTGGTTGTGGTGTCGGTTCTCTGGATTCCTATAATTCAGTGAGAATAATACTGATGAACCGGTCTTCATTCGTGTAATAATATCTATTTAGCTTTGGAATAACCATTTGGGAGTATTCTAAACTTGTGCTGATTTGGAACAATCCACAAGATATCCGTTGATTATGAATGGATCGCAATTACAGTGTGCAGTGAGCAGAAATATTCATATGTAATACAACGTGTCTCAAAGTAAATGTTTTTTATTTGTCAAGATGGTTAAAATAAAATGATTCTCTTCGACAGAAATTTCTCCAACTCGCAGCTGTACGTGTACGCGCAGAGCATCACATCGTTCCTGGTGCCGCCCATCACAGCGGTGTTCTTGCTGGCCGTCTTCTGGAGTCGCGCTAATGAGCCTGTGATGATGAAATCTAAATAATTTGATGATTTCCTACTCTCATTTTCAGATAGAGGAGACATTTGCCTTAAATTCAGTAACGATTAATTATTGTATGATTACAGTAATGATCATTTCATTGGGAGTTATTGACAGAAAATTTTGCAAATTATTGTAAAACAGATTTTGAAGAAATCTAAATAAGCGTGTTGTTTAAATGAAAAATTCTGATTTATGAAATGAAAAAAAAAATCGATTTCATTGTTCTTTAATGTTGATTTATTTTGTAACAGATTAGCAAATTACGGTAGCTATTATTTAGTTGGGAAAACATATACAAATGTTCAAGTGAATTAAAGAGCATTTTTATAAACGTGATTTTGATGCTAGGGAGCGTTCTGGGGCCTTATGTTGGGGCTGGTCGTGGGGATGACTCGCTTCATCATGGAGTTCGGCTACGTCATCCCGCCTTGTGGTTCAGGTATTCATTTTTCATTAGAAATTTGTAAGCAAATGAAATTCCACAAAAAATCACCATTTCTTAAAAAATAGCGTATGGTGAATTTTTGTGAAATTTGCTTTACTTTCTTTTAACTTTCTTATACATACGCGATTCATCCAATCGAGTGACGTTTATATTTGTTTTTCATTCATTGCTTACGTAGGATCAATATACATCATAAAATGAAGGTATTCACCAAAACCTACCCCAAGACGAAATGTTGCTACAAGGCAGCATATTCATCTTCTTCTGTTCGCTTACAACACTTTTTATAATTAAAAAAGTTCACATAATAAAGTTTGTACGCGGAGTTGAAATTAGTATTGAATTTCATTTCAAGAAAACCCTTCAAATTTCTCATCTCAAAATTAATGCTGCGAAGCCGCATTAAATCCATTTTTGTGTTTGCAGGGCTTCCCGACCCTCGGCCAGACTTCATAAAAATTATTGTGGGAAATTTTAATTTCCTGAACTTCAGTATTTTGTTATTTTTCTTAACGCTGCTCACCAACATCGCCGTATCCTACATCACAGCGCCAATTCCTGCGAGCTGCGTGAGTTTTATTCCATGGTTAATATATGATAAATACTATAGATAACCATGACTCAAAATGAGCTATATTTTTCAACAGAAATGACCGTGCGTAAATGATGCTAGAAAAATCAATCGACAAAAATTTTAGTTCTTTATACTTCTGTTCCGATTCATAATAACATTTGAATTATACTAAATTTACAAGTAAGTTACATACCTAAAAACGAGCAATACTTCATGCAGTTGCACCGACTGACGTACCAAACAAGGAATAGTCTCGAGCTCCGAGTTCCCATTCAGAATCTGCGAGACGGGGCTGAAGAAAGTTCGGACATTACTAACAACCAAACACCAGATTACGACAATCAGGGTAAGGCGTATACTAACTATCTACTTTTACTAAGAAGATATTATCACTGTGCATTTGTCGAGATGGCTTTTAGATAACAAGCTAGTAGGGTAGTAGCTCACACTGACAAGACTAAGTTGATGCTTTTTACTCCTAGACCCGTTTCCGTCCTACGTGATATAACCTTTAATGGCACAATTTTACAATGGTCGACGAATTTAGATATCTTGGTTTAATCCTCGACAATAAGATTTCCTTCAATAAGCATATCAACTACGTCTGTCAGGGGCTGAGTAAAGCCCACGGAGTTTTGCGTGCATTATCGAGCGTCCTACCTTTTACTTCGTTAAAAACGCTTTTCTGCGCATTGTCTGTTTCTAAACTAGCAAACACTCTGGTAATCTGGGGGGTGTACCTTTTAATACAAAGAAGCGGGTCATAACGCTAGTTAATAAAACATTGCGTTCCATGCTTAGGGTTAAGTATGGTGTCAATAATATTCCTTTGACTCGCACTAGCGTATTATATAAGCAGTCTAAAATCTTGAAACTCGACGATATGTATAAATTTGAGCTTTTAAAATTCATGCATAGGGCACTTTTCCATGATGATCGTCTTTTTGAGTCTGCCTTCGCCTCTCTCGTCCCTCAACATTCCCATAATACCAGGGGCGTAGGATTTATGTTGCCAGCGGTTCATCTGGAAGTAGAAAAAAGCGGTACTGTTTTTAACTGCGTCAAATATTTTAATGAATTGCATGAAGATTTTAAAAAAGATTGTTCCTAGTTACTTTTAAAAACTAAATTCTGTAACTTTATTCTTGACCAGTATTAATTCGACTCCGTTTAATGTCATGCAGGTTCTGAATATTTTTGACTCTATGTTTCAAGTTTTTACCCGTCTTTAATCACTGTTATATTGATATTGCTTTGTTACGCTTTATTTTAGTGACATCCGGTTAACTGTTTTCTTGAGTTTTTTTCCTTGTATGCGTTTAATTTAGAAACTTTCTGTTGCTCTTAACTTCTTTGACTTATCATTGGAATAGAGTTTTAAATCACCTCTGTTGCCTGCGAAGCCTATCTGCTTATGGGCATTCACTTGGATGTCTCTATTATTTTATAAATGTTTTTCTTTTCTCTTTTGAATTTTAACTAGAGCTTTTTTGTGAATAAAAATCAATCAATCTACTCTTACTAAAAAGATACTATCTACTCTCTTACTAAAAAGATCGCTCGTTCCTTGTACATTATTTGCTATGTTGGCCTATGATGGAATCCAATTGCGAGCTGTTTTGCTCAACTACTCGTGAAATGACATAATGAAGGAAAATTATGTTGCGAATTTTAATATTGTTGTAATAAACAGAATATCATTCTTCGTAGGCACCTTATGATCAAGGCTATGATTAATTATCGACAAATATCAAGTGAAGGCTAATCAAACAGTTACGTTTACTGTGCACTTCTCACGCAGGAGAGACGTCTGCCATGACCAGCGCGTTCGTTCGGCTATGTTGCATGCATAAGGAATCAAACGCGCAGGCAAAAACAGTCGCTGTGGAGACTCACGAAGAGCACATGACTAGAGTAAAAACATTCATGACTGAGGATCCAAAAGAAAAAAGGTGAGAAATGTTAACATTTATTTCCTGTGCTCTTTCAGTTTCTGTCACCGTACGTGATTTATTTCGTAGATTTTTAGCTTCTATTAGAGATTAGGGAAAGTTTGCGTGTTTAAGATTTGAATGCTGGAAAAATTTAGATGTAGATCGAACACATCTATTCGATGCCTATCGGTTATAAATAATACTTTGGAATAAAGTGTTAGGTCTGAAATTTAAATATGAGTTTGAAATTGGTTACCATATAATTGTACATAATGATAAATTAAAATTTCAAAACAGGACTTTAATCGAGTTCTTGCTCTATAAGGCTTTAACCATGTCTTTTCAATTAATGATCTTTGTTTTCAATTTAATAATTGGATTCAGTGCAAAGGAGCTAGCGATTCAAAGTTGCAGAGATAATCTATCTTCGTGAATCTCAAGCGAACATCACTTACGTATATGTTAACATTTAATTCATATATTTTCAAGTTGGGAGAATATAAAATATTCAAGAACGTTATTTTCCAGCTTCATTTATTTAAAAAAATTTTAGAAATCGTTCCAAAATGTGTTTGTACTTATTTATTGAATAATGAGTCTTAGAGACTTTTTTCGATACGTATTAATGTTAAAAAAATCGTCGATTAAATTCATCCCTGTGATATGAAATATAAGATTCGGCAAAACATGAATAAATAAAAATAAATTCCATTTCATTTCAGGCTCGTGGATATATCGGCCGCGGCCGTTGTGCTCACGTGTACGTTCGTCTACGGATTTTATGGCTGAATTATTCACAACCTGCCAGCCATATAACCCTGCCTTTAACTTTATCAATTCTCTCGATAGATTCTTTTTTTGAATGAAGAATCTATCTAATATCTATTCCCTTAACCCGTAGAATTTGAAATCGAAGAAAGATGATGTAGAGTGATTGTTATTTTGTCCATAGGATGAACATGGAAACTTCGGGTAATAGTTGCAAGAAAATTAAAGCGAAAATTACAATAGTAGCCAATGTAATGGTTTGATGTATTGAGGGCATTCAAGTTAAAAGAGCTGGGAGAGAAATTCTCGTCGAATAATAAATGTGCATTAGTCCATGCTATTAACAACTTAATACAACTACTTTGTGAATCAAAATACCTAATTTGACCGGTACGTCGATCTTTTTGAAATTTATAACAATATTTTAACGTTATTGTTCAAACTGAATTATGAGAATGTTGTTTAATTGACATCAAACCTACAAACGAAAATGTAAAAAGATTGAAGTAAAGATATATTCATTACATTAGATTAAATTAAATATATAAATATCGAGAGTTACTTCGTCGGCTAATGGATTTCAGAGGGAGATCAAATAAAATTAAAAGTATTCAGCCTTTGACCCACAACATAAATATATGCACAGCTGAAAAGTTACTCGCTTCGAAGAATTATTTAACACATGGAAAATAAGTTCCATACAATATCTCGTCCATAAACGGGAGTTGAAAGCAAAATTTAAAACTGAGAACACCTCTGCATGCGGAGCTTATGGCTGGACAAGATAAGGCCCTAATTAATAAAACTGCCATTTCTGAATACACGTACGTTGCGTCAAATTAAAATAAATGCTACACCAGTTTTGATAACAATGAAGAAAACAGTTATAGACAGGAAACTGTGTTAAAAATAAAGAAGACGTGTTGGAAATGACATAACAAGTACATTACATCATAGTTACTGTGTTACTGTGACATAACAAATACTGTTGAAGTTGAAATACATTACATCATAGTGTTATATGCTTCGGTTTTAACTGTACGAGATCTTGATGATAAATTCTTCGTCAAGCATTCTAAAACGAACGCACATATTGTAGGTTAGATTTTAAGTATGGCAGAAACAATGAGACATGCAATTGTTTAATTGAAATGAGCAAATGAAGCTGAGGTACACTATTGCACAACCTTTTATAAAGTTTTCTTAGGTTAGATCATATATATTGAAGCAACTACAAAACTCTCTTCAAGCAATTATATTTATTTATTATGCATTAACTATATTAAATCGTTACTAAATAAAAAATAATTACGAATAAAAAACAAAATAATGATTTTAATGAGAAATTCTGCATCGTAATTCTTCTTTGGCTTAGCCTTAATTCAGTAGCAAAAGACTGAACTTTATTATAAACGCCACATGAGTTCAATATGAACACTGCCTGGTACATCCTAAAGAAACCATGAGGTAGCCTAATAATCATAAAAACCTCATAGCAATGATGCAGCCTCATATTTAATCAGGTTATCCACATAATCAATGGGGTAGCCTCCTGATTATATAATCAATGGAGACAGTCTCAAAAGGAACAGTCTCATTATCAATGGCTTCGGAAGCCTCGTATTCAAAAGGGGCATATCTCATATCACTGGGGCATCCTCATAATCAATGAGGTTCCCTCATAACGGAGCCACCTCATTATTAATCAATGTAACCCGTTTCATTATCAACGCGGCCGCCTCGTTGCACATGCAGAGGTGGCAGCCGTGGCAGTTATCCATTTAGGCGTAGAAAGCGTAGAGGAACGTTGAGAGGGTCAGGCAAATAACAGCGTTGATGTTGACGAACCTGGAAAATAGAAGCATTTAGGTTATTTTATTATATATCCATTAAATTCGGGGAACATTGTTTGAAAATTGATTATACGGTGTGAATGAATTTCCAAGAACAATCGAAATTGCAATTAGACTTATGGGCTCATTTAAATGATAAAAACTCTCGATTTTCGTAAGTATATCAATCCAAGCTAAGAAACGTGAAAACCTGCTTTAACCGTATGTATTTATGAAGTTTAATTACGCTCTTCAACGGCTTCTAAGGTAAAATTCGTAGTCTGCTCCAGTAGAAGTTGTGATCATCAATGGATTTTTAAGTTAACTAATGCAATCAGCTACGAGCGACACAGACAGATCTAGCGATGTTTTTGGGCTCACTTTTTCCAGAAAGGCTCTTCATTTAGAAACTCGGCAGCATCAACGGCCTTCTGCACGTCGCTGACTTGGGCCTCTGAGGGACCGCCGCTGTTCTCGACGTCCCCGGTCCTCACGCAGCACAACTTTTTCAAGATGTTCGGAAGTGCAAGTTCTTCTGGAGAGAGAAAAAAAATTCATTTTATTTACAGTTTTTTCTTTCAAATGCATATAGTGAGGAAACACGTCATTTTAATAGCAAGAAATATAACTGTGCTCAGGGAAAATATACCAAATAATCTTATGGTTTGTTAACAAACAACGTAATTTACAAGAATAAATGGTTTACAATGTAAAATGATCTCTGATAGAATAAATTTTGGATTTAATAGACAATACATAGGGTTGTTGGATCATATGTAAACACTCACGCTGTGAGTCCTGAATATCCAAATCTGAATAATTCTCTCTGATCGGCTGGCCCTCGCTCGCTGCCCTCAGTTTTGAGATGCTCGTCCTGACGCGAGTGTCCTTCCGACTCGACCAGGTCAAGCGGTATAGCTGAGAATGTACATATTATTTAATATATTTCTTATGACTTAGCAGCAGATGACTGAATTTATAAGCTTATTTTATTCATGCGTAGTTTTTATGAGAATTTTAAAAGATAATACTGGTGCTACGGTGCAAAAAGGACGAAATTGTGAGTAATTTTGTCTAATGCGCGTTTATATGCTTTTAATTATTAATCTACTAAAGTCGCAAGACAATCAATAATTTCCAAGCAAAGAAAAAAAAACAATTAAATTCATTATAAATTTATCGCAAACGTTTTGGAGACCAGCTGAAGTTTTTGAACTGACAATGTAGCTGGTCTCTGAAAGGTTTTTGTTATGGAGAATTTACATGACGTTTACTAATCTTATAATTTTTCGGAACATTAGTTCAACAGACTTACACTTGAGATATCATTAATGCCTGCTGCTTATCAAAGGTACAATAGATCATAGGGAAACGTACACATTGCGAAGGTATTGGTGGCGTGAGCAGCGACACTGCGATCGTCACGCCCAGTGTGATGAGCCACAAGAAGCAACTGAAGTGAAGGAAGTGAACGTTCCCGACGAGCTGCTTCACTATTTCAGGTCTAGGGTCTGGGAGACCTGCGACCAGACAATCGGAATCAGTAAAATGATATACAGATGATGCGAACTCCGGTCCTGAATTTGAATGAAGCCAGACTACCGCGACTTGAAAACCGATAACATCAATGTCCAAGAAATTCTGACGCTCGCGAGAATTCTTGTCAATGTAACTCCAAAATCAATAAATAATTTTACGGATGACGTTGGTTTGCAAAATTTGTAATTCGTAGGTTTGTTAATTCGTACGGTAAAAGAAGAATCATGAAAAAGATGGCATCGCGCTCGTACTATACAACATAAGGGTTTCATCACTTCATTGAGTCTGTTATGTAAAGAGTAATGTGTGTGTAAGTATTGCTTTCTTCATCTTACACCAAAAATTACTTATTATTTATTATAAATTACTATTAAAAATTACTTATTATTATAATTACTACAAATTACTTATTTACAAACATAAAGTAATATCTGCTTTTTACTCATAAGGTGAAGTTAACCTAAACAATAGATCACCTGCCCCACACGCAGGCAGCAAATAGGCGAACTCGATGCCGAACCTGATGAGTCCCACCACCAGACCCACCATCAAGCCCCAGAAGGCACCCTGTGTTGGGACAGATACAAATAAAGAACCATGTTTGACCAGACAAAAACAACAAATATTGACAAAATAATTGTATTATTGGCAGTAACAACAAATTTTTAACGCACGTGTTTAAGGGCTTCATGAAGTATGACGTTAATTCGGCGCATACCTTGCAAAATCGAAAGTTTCATTACTTCATGAACTGAATTTTTCAGGTATTTCAGGCTCATGCTGCGAACCGTCCACATCAAATTTTGTCAACAAGGCCCAGCATTAACACTAAGCTCATAAATTTGTGAAAAATGTAATAAAAAAATTATCACTTTTGACTTTCAAATACTGATATTGGTATTTTACAAATACCTAACTAATAGGCCTTAATTAAGCTAAACAAACAGTACATGAATAAATATCTGTTCTAACCGCTTCGTTGGTTCTGTCCCAAAATAGAGCCAATAAATAGACAGCACAGATCGGAGGAGCCAAGAAGGAAGAGATGCTCTGGATGTACTCGAACAGCTGTGACGTCCCCGAATTCCTGTACAAATAATGCTATTAACTGAAATTTCATTAAAAATTACATTAAATATTTTTAAATTCGTGCTTCTATTTGTATTGATTTAATGATAGAAACTTTTATTTTAAAAAAAGATGAGCCGTCCTTTTTTAATCGTAAACTTACTGTATGACAGGAATCCAGATGACAGAAATAACGACGAGCACCAAGACGAAGCAGCGCCCGACGATAATTTTTTCAGTTTCTGAGGCCCGTGAACGGAACTTCGACCAGACATCGATGGTGAAGATGGTGGACGCCGAGTTGAAGATGGACGTCAGGGAGGACATTAAGGCCGCCAGCATCACCGCCAGCATCATTCCCGCCAATCCTTTATAGGCATGGATATTTGTATGAATTTAAACGAAAGAAAGCAGAATTTATGACTGGAACGATTCAAGTTCCGGTCTTGATTCGAAACGGTGCGTCAGATTTTAAAAATCTCACGAAATTGATGAAAGAGGAAAAAATATGCGCATGTACTCAGGTTTATTGACACAAAATGCACATCTCACCGGTCGGTAGGAGTTTAATAACCAGCTCGGCGTAGGCAATGTTGGTGCAGCCTTTTTCACTGCCGCAGATGCTTTTGCAGGCCACAGGATCCGCACACGCGATTCTGTCAGGGAAGAGCACTCGCGCAGCCATGCCGGGAAACACAAGCAGCCACAGCGGCAGGAACTTTAGCCACGCGGCAAGTATGCAGCCACCCTTGGCGTGGATCATGTTCTTGCTGGCTAGGGTGCGTTGCACGATAACCTATCGGAGGGGAGAGATATGGAATGAAGAATGAAAACCTAATTTGAAAAAAGTTTCCAAAGAAAATGCAACATCCTTCCATTTAGTCGTTATTAATTTAGAGATGCTTCAGAGCAGTTCAAAACTAAAATCATCAAACTGCTTTGAGCAGCTGCTATAAGCTATTTTTCCACTTCTTTGTAATAACTATTACTTTTTGTAGGTTAAATTTTTTATAGACACGCAAGCGTCCTCACCTGGTCGGTGCACCAGTACCAGATAGAATTAATGGTAAGTCCAAAGACCATGCCGGTCCAGGGCAGGTCCGACACTCCAGGTTCTACTGAGCGCATGAGGTGCATGTAATCCGACGGCGGTTCCCCGCATTCGTTGCCTTGCAAGTCTCGTGCCCGGATCTTTGCCGTCGCGTAAGGGTAATCTTCCACTAATTTATTGTAGCCACCAACTTCTTTGAGCGCTATAGAAGTGCAAACAATGTTATGTGCTAAACATTGACGTAAAGTAAGCGGAAAATGAGCTATTTTGTAGTGCAGAGGCAAATTTTATATATGGGTGGCTAAACGAACACATCGGATCGAGATAGACAAGAGACATTAAAACGTATAATCGTACAATAAATATTAGAACTAATCTTTATCTTCTTACATATGATCATGAGAACTAAGGAGCCCAGGATCATGAGGATGGTTTGGACGAAGTCAGTCCAAATGACGGCAGAGAGTCCTCCAGCGATGGTGAAGAGCGCCGCCACCGCTAGCAGGATGAGGATGCTCAGGTACAACCACTCCGACGACAGACGGTTCAGAGACAGCTGGATGAACAGGGCACCCGCGTACAGATCCGCCTGCGAATTTATTGAACAAAATGAAATTAGTATTGTCTAATCTGTTGAACGCGTATAAGCGTTATTAATCAATATCGTCAACCACCCCTGAAAACATGAGATTATGAAGGTTCGAAGCATGGCTGAAAACAAATGGTTATTAATGATGCAGGTTGGTGAAGAATTAGTGTTGAATTTCTGAGTTGTAATTTTAAGAAGCGAAGCATCAAATTCTCATTATAGCTAAGGAATGATGCAATAATTCATTCAATATCTCAAAATTTTGTATCTGAAAATACAATGGTTTTATTTTCATTCGAGATCGCCCGTATTAATAATAATATTCAAAGATCAGTCAAAATACGAAATACTCTCGAGTCTCATAAAGTTGACATTCCATTGCAAGACCTTAGATCTATATATTCTGCTAGACTTCGCATGGAGACGGCGCAGTGAATCAAATAAGACTCTAGGGCCAGTTTTCTGGTTTCTAAATTTGGCACTTTATATCTTGAATTGAACTGTTGAATTGCAACCAAAGAATATAATCACAGCAGAGAAGGACTTCATCGTTCAACCATTTCATACACAGACAAGGCGCCCGTATCATTAAGAAGGGAGAGCTCCTTCTCGCACAGATAGACTGAATAACTTTTGAATAAACTTGTATCACATGCGTGAAATAAAAGCATAGAAAAAGCAAGTATCGAACGATATTGAAAACATATAAATAGTTATCGTAAGTTTTTCATTTATTCAATTTCTTCAACTGCTTCGGATAGAACCCCGAAGCATTTATTGTTTTCCGAAATAACAGTCGCTCCTACACAGGGATGGTTTCAATAATTGTTTCCGCTCATTTGACCCATTAAATTTGTTACTTATTTGTAAGCGAGTGCAGTAGCTGATAACAATATTTACGTTGAGCTCGAAACCCGCAACGCCGATGCCGGACGCGGCGCCGGAGCCTGCCAGGCCGATGAAGTGACCGGAGCCGATGTTGCTTGCGAACAGCGACGCTCCTACCTGCGGTCGACGTAAAATTAATGTTAACCATGCGATACAATCAGATTCATGTTAAAAATAGGCTGATTTTGTTGAAGAATTAAATAAATATATTTTAATTCTTTACTATTTTAACCTTCAACATTATTGTTCGTATGTGAGTGAAATAAACGCGAAATATGTAAAGCTAACAAATGGGTTCAAAAATATTCTCAATACAGAAAATTAGGCAGAATTTTCAAAACTCATATATAACATTCTTAAAGTCAGCCTCATTTTTACAACATTTCTCTTTAACTTCACTTCTTGTTTGTTTGTTTGTCTTTCTGCTGCAAACTTATAATCGATATTTAACAAACTTATACCTCTCAAGTCGGAGACAATGCATGAATCAATTGACAGAATATATAATTAAAAAAAATTTAATTTAAAATATTTGAAAAAATAATTTTGTCTTCTACAAATCTTATAATCGATATTCAACACACTTCTACCTGTTCAATCGATCTGCAATTTTGCACGCTCGCGTAAAGTCGGAGAAAATGCATGTCTCAATTGCCGCAATAAATAACTTTGAAAATTTAAAATTTTCTCTTATATAAAAAAATTTAAAAATTAATTTTTTTATATGTGAAAATAAAATTAGAAATTCATTGTAGATGTGTAACATCGGAGACACTGTATTCTTTAGGAGTGTTGTCTTTAAAAAGTAATTTTTAAAAGCATAATATTATTAAAATTTACCTCATAAATTGGGATCGTTTATTGCACTATTTAAAACGCAACAACAAATGACTGAGGTAGAAACGCCACAAAAAGGCCTTATATTGGCGTTATTACGGCATAAAATCGGCATATAAACAACATAAAAACAGCATAAAATGGCATTATAACGTCATAAAAATGGCCTTGTAATCAGTGGACAAAGTTAAAATCTACAGCGAAGGTGGGTGGATGACCAGGCTACTAGGAAATGCTCTCCGTCCTAACTAAAAGGCGGAAAACTTGTGCAGTGTATGTATGTAATGAAGTGTTGCTGCAAATTTCCCACTACTGTATGTCAGACTACGAAGTTTAAGTAGGACCGACTCTGACGTCGGTGTTAAGTTCAGTATAGCCGTCAGATACTATGCCGATCCCGACTTGCGTCCTGGTTGTAGGATTTTGACTCGGACGCCAGGGTAAGTTGCTGCTTTGGTGGTGAAATTTAGATTGGAATATTTGATGGAATATCGTGATATTTGTGTATATAACGACTTGTCATGCGTAAATATTTACTTTCTGTTTTCTGTTGTAGAAACGTGCGTTTTCTCAGATCTCAATGCTCCAGCTCTCTCCTCGCATTTTGCTCCTCGCACTTTAGCTTCCTCCGCATTTAATTTGTTAGCGTTAAATTCATATGCCGCACCTGTTTGATTTGTTTAGTTCCAATTTGCCGTTTATCTTTAATAAACAAATTTAAGAAAGTTTGAGTTAATATCCGCTCGGTCCAAGCTTATTGCTGATTAGGCCAATAGGGAAGTTGCATTCAATTTCCGGTCATTGGTGGACTTGACAATTAGACCATCCGAACTTTGAGGTGACGCGATTAATTAGCTATTATTCAAGATTAGTTCGTCACAATGTATATATATATGTCACTCACGGGCATCCAGTGCATGTTTCTTGATGCCAGGAAATACCCGCTCACTGAGGTTCCTTTGCTGCGACGCGATGACTGCAAATAGAGAAAAATATTCAAATATTACATTGGATTTTAGCAGACAAATTAGTGCCAAAGTTTGGCCTCTTTAAATTTTGCAATTATTTCAATTTTTGGTATCACGGAACTCAGTAATCCAATTATACGATAAGAAAGATCATAGGCTGGGCAAATTTGTGGAATCCAATTTTTATGCGCGAAAAGGCTTTGTGATTAACATCAGTAAAAGCTTCTTCCATAAGTAGGAATGGATATTGAACAGAAAAAATTAATTACGTTTCAAATTGATTGTTCGTTACTTGAAGAAACGCGTTATTTTTTATTTGCTTGCTGAGAAGATAAAAATCTGTACAAATACTTGCCACAGAAAATACCAAATCATAAATGCCATCTGAACTCAATACTGACATACCATCGCGTAGTTCAAGAGATGAATGGAAATTCTGAAGCTAGACTCACACTCACAGTAATACTCAGGCATTTGAATTCCTAATGAAGTTCGTGTTGTGATTCAAGTCACGTAACGACCAAGGTCAGAGTAGTTACCCACAAACAACAAAATTTCTATCACTATAAATTTAAGATGTAACCATGTTACATCATAGATAAAGTTAAAAAAGCACAGGAAGAATCACTAGTACTAAGACTGACTGTATATCGTTGTCTTTGCACCCATGTTTTTTACGAAAATTCGAGTTAGCAAACCTTTTCTGTACGAGCCGAACAAACTCTTCAGAGCTCCGTTGCAGCAACTCACCCAAATACCGACGCCGATCACGAAGCTGAAGTATAGCAATACGACGACGAGATCAGGCCATCCCAAGCCTGCGTATTTCTCTGTGTCGTCTTCGAAGGGGGGAACTGTGGTCGTGGCTGCGCTGCCTGACATGTTAGATGACGAGCGAAGGAATGTTCGCGGTAAAGTCTCGAATAAATAATGAGAGCGGCACAAATGTAATTAGATTTCGTCCTGATTTTGATATAACTTTAGAGTATCATTGTTTTCTGGTATGATACGGATGCCAATTTTTAATATAACCAAATTGCTATCGACGTAGTAGGTCACAAGCTACGAAATGAACATGAATAATTAATATTTGATTTCATCAATACTCTCATTGTGCTAGCACTACCAACTAGTATACTGTCCCTTTGTTTGAAATGAAAAATACAATTTGAGTTTCGTTTGCGTAAAGCAAGACAGCTCATAAATTTTTGATAGGCTTAAATTCTCTACAAAAAAATTGTCGCACGTCGAGTTGTGTCTAAAATCACATGAGATTCGACACTGGACATCGCAGTCAGCGGACAGTCCGAGTTAAATGTATGGTACGCTCAACGTCGGATTTCCGCTGTCGCACGCTAAGTACAGCTGCGGCTGGTTTTTCCGTCCTGCCTTGTATGAGAATTGTAAATTTGCTACTCAAGTCTCGAAAGATGAAGCGAAATATCGCTGTGTCTTATCGGTTGCTCACGAACAACCCCAACGTGAGAAAACACTCCTTCATCTCGGGTGTGTGAATTAATTGCCTTCTCAAAACTTGAGCGCAGCTTCTTCTAAGGAAACGGGCAGGAGTTGAGCGTGGGTACGATAAGCGGTTTTCAGTAACATCTTTAAATTCTCTGGAATGAGTTGTTATATTTTATGCACGGAGATATCATCGTTGTCTTTACCATTGTAATCAAAATGGTTGTTTTTGTAGTAAGTAACTGAATTAAATCGAAATATTTACGCGCAAATTCGAGTTATAACGTATAAAATAAAAATAATGTGAGGAAACATCTGATATCAAGTTTTTCTTTATATTCAGAAAGCAAAGTCCAGAAAAAAATGCAATAGTACGTTGAGCTGCCATCACTTTCACTACGACTGTGGGAGACGGGCTTCCAAACTCGGAGTCAAAGATGCTGGTAGCATTTGGCAAGAATTCCTGATGCGATATGAATATTGTTGTTTTCTCACACAAGCTTAGTGACTTTAGAAAAGAAGATAATTATTAAAACTTTTTTCGAGCTCAGTATGATACTTAGCATTTACACGAGAACAATTATATTAACTGATAGAACGGAATTCTAAAAATTTGTTAATAAAAAATTTCAAAGGTTAGATTTTGGGACGGGAGTTCCCTAGTAAAATAGCAACAGTATTAAAAAAAGTTAATCAAATCGCCCGACAGTTCCCTTAAATTAATCGTAACCTGTGTAGCCACAGGCACGTCATCGTAATTGCAGAGTTCCATGAAATTTGTTGTCCTCTGCGATCCACTCAAGGTCATACGCATTCCGGCAGGCAGAATGCATTGCCGAATGGCCGTAGTAATTGCGGTTGGTTCCAGTCACAGCAAACGCATTTGGTAACATCAGCCATTGAATTGCCTACTTCACAAACAATCAGTATGCCTAGATACATGCGAAAACTTCTTGCATTTTAAAGCAATACATGAGAGTAAACAAAAAGAGATTTAAATACAGTTTTTCTAACATCGTATTTGACACACTGGAAAAAATCTTGCATCGATCGGCTCATTCATATACGAGATATTCAATAATAAAAAATATTAAATGAGGTTAAGACTTTGTCATAAAATAGCTAAAGTACTCAATTGGAAAATTATCGTTTATGATGCTTTAAACGATAAGCATTAGGTACTTTGACAGCTGAATGACACCCTTCATGACGCAACACACGCAATTTGTTATAAATTCGTTCACTTCATCGAAAAGTAAAATAAACAGGATAAATATAGTTTAATTCGTACGATACATAAGTAATTAATTCGACTTTCGCTATTTGAATCGTACTTCTATGAAAGAGTATCTTGAAGTCTACGGGCAGTGACAAACAGAGAACTTCAATGCGACGCACGACCTCTCACTCAGCCGCCAGGAGGTCAACTGACCAAACAGGCTTGGGTCCTTGGGTTAACGTTATGATCGGCATTATGGGCTCCAGCAATGCATTTGATTACGCAATTCTGCAGGTGAAAAAAGCAAGTAATTCTTCTTCAATGGTACTGTTTAACGCAATGCGCTTCTATCAAGAGTGTTTAAAGACATGACACTGGAAGTGAAGTAAAAAATACGCACTGATGTTCCGTTTATAACGCACACTTGAGTACGGTAAGCGAGTCAACACAGGTGTGCTTATTGCACCGCACGGAACATCGTAGGCAAACTACATCGACACACAGAAGGCGGCAATAAACACGAACATGGCAAGGGATATTTGACAATAATGCTGGTTTCCTGCAATCGTTTCCAACTATTTGACATAATATTCACCGTTTATGAGGAGTTCTATTTTATATATACATTACAAGTAAACGTTGTGTGCGAATGATGTAATGAGGGAGATGATAGTGATGGATGTGCACATCATGTATTGGACTATGTAGTCAATGGCTGATGATAGTGTTTGATTTAGCTGCTATAACGTAAAAAATAGGAAAATTTATCGAATAATTAAATATGAGAGCGCAAGTGAATGTTTTGAAAGTGAGGAAGCAATAAATAAGAAGAAAGCAGCGCTCGAAAGTTGTAAAAAAATTAAATCTAATTTAAATGTATTGTAGCAGTGATGAGTGAACTATATTCTGTGTGAGAAGAACGAATGCCAAAATTTACATGGTCCTTTCGCTCTTAAATCTTAATATTTTTATTAATCGCCCATAATTTATTGTTGTACCGATACCTGTAGCGTATACGCATCTCATGACGATGCTGATGAGACCGCATGATGATGCTTCCAGTGCACGACGGGTGATTCATACTGTAGGTTACAGCTTCAAGTAGTACAAGTTGTACTCGATCAAAAGCAGTTTTAATATGTTTCCGCGAAATGTGCATTCTTCTTGCGTTCTTGGAAGAAAATTTAAAGAAGACGCTGCTTTCTTGTAAGAGTCCCAATTTCCCCCGCCGATTATTTTTCATGACAAGGTTTCATATTTTCGGCTTATTTTAGTAGATCAAAAGTTTGATTTGGTTAGCTACAGTTATGATATTTTCACAATTGACTGTAGGAGTCGTTCGTCTGTGACGTTCCCGTTTGATGCTGTGTCAGCTCGGTTCAGGCGCGATCACTCCTAGCACGAGGGCGCTGTTAGGGTTCGTTCAATAGCGCTGCAAAATTTGCTTATTTTGTATAGAACCTTTCTGAAATTTGTAGTTTTCACATATAAACTTTATTGATAAGCAAATTATCTCCTACTTGCACCAGTACTTGAGGGAAAATGCGACTTCATTCAATTTCATAAATGAACTGGAAAACTGAGAAGCCGCTAATAGTCCCGAACTGCGAAAAAAATATACCGTCGCCTTACCTGTAACAAAGCTCAAGCTTGTAAGAAGCTGTAAAAATTAAATATTTCTCGAATTTTATGTACATCCAACACATGTTTTTTGGATTTCCAACAAACTTTGAATGCGTAGTAATGAAGTGCTCGTGCGTGTGTATCAACGCTGGATTGAAATCTTGCTTTCCATTAGAAAACCTCACAAAATGCAAGAAATTCGAGAAAATCGTGATAAAGCAAAACTAGAGTGACCCGTCGTCTGAAATAGGAGAAAAAAGTGCAGGTTTCACTTGCAGGTCCGTACACGAATACAATTAGCTGAGTCATAGGTACTAAAAACCCAGTTTCATGCAAGAATTTGCAACGGCGCTAAAAAGAATTTACTAGAATCTTTCATTCCTGGGCTGTCGATATTTCAGTAGAATCACCGAATTTCGAAAAGAACCGACAAAACTACTCATCCGTAGTAACCGTTTTTAGGTGTGGCGGTTACTGGCGGATGCACATGTTTTCGCCAAAAGATGCGCCCTAAATGCGCACGCAGATGATGGTTTGGCTCTGAGGTCGGGGTTGATTGCGGTCTAGCTGTGCAGTTCTAGTCCGGACATCACGAAGAAGAGTGTGGTTGTGGTGCGGCGTGCTGTTAAACGCCATTTCGAAGTGTGTGGACGTGTATTCTTTAATTTGTAGTGACCATTTAATAGTGGAGGAAATTTAAACGATTGATTACTGCTCATAGAAACTTAAAATACAGGCGTATTAGTTACTGAAGATCTCGTTGAGGTTTTAGCTCGAGTAAAGCACGCAATGCAGTTTAAATATTATTATACCCTCGTATTAAATATCATTTGCTGTCACATTACTTCTGCTTCTGCCGACTCCTTCGGGCACTCGCTTCCAATCAATGCTCAAGGTAAACCATCAGGTCTGAATGAACTCAAAGGGAACATAGTGATGATTTCACCAGCATCTCACGAGTTTATCAAAGTGCCAACAATAAAAACAGAGCACACAAAGGGATTGAAGAGCGGTGTTAATTACGGTTGGTACTCGAGGCCTTTTAACCGACGCCGACCAAACTCAAAATTTAGAAAGATGATTTTGCAAGATGCAAACTATCGCTCACTGCCTAATCATTATCACGTCCATAGTTTCTGGCAAGATATAGAAATGGACAATCACTCAAGCGTAGATTTCGATAAATTTATAAATAATTTGCCAATAGCCAGAGTGAAGAGAGACGCAATAAACTATTCAGCTGCAGATTCTTCGCTACACGGCGTTCGTCATTCATATCGAACAGTAAATAGAAATGACGGGCGCGTTCTCATTGACAGGAGATGGGTTCCTCTTTTTTCTGACGCACGGGAGAGGCTACATCAAAAACAAAGTCTGGAATTACGTCCGAAGAAGTTTCCAAATTCACAAAATTTGAACTTCAACAACGGAAATTCAATGTCACAACACCGGCTAGAGAGCAACCCTATACCATATAAACATTTCGTGGGACATCAATCATCATACATTGGAAACTATAAGGACAAAAGTTCAAATATTTCTTTTAATGGTTTGGAAAATGTTACATCTAGCGCTGACGCCGACAAGCTTCTCAATGAAACAAATTCGGATAAAAACTCTTTTTTCGTTCATCGAACACCGGAACGAAGTCCTGGCTTTACGAATAAAGCGCAATATATTCCTCCCAAAAGTGTTTTTAAAATTTATCGCTCAGAAAGCTTGAGCCGCCCACTCGATAATGTTCGAGCACAACTCAAGGAAGGTAAGCGAAACAGTTCGGATTTCAATTATTCTAGTCACCTCGTTGCGTCACCGTATGATGATACTACTTACAACGAAGCGGTAAACCAAGTGAAACCCATCGACGATTCCATCACTAATGTTAGGCTTCAAAACGACTTGGATACGCATCCGCGAGTCGAATCTTTTCATGCCATAGATGACGCCAATGCTCCCAAAATAATTGTTGATATTCTTAGGTCTCCTGTTACAAAATCTGATAATTTTAAAAGCAGACAAAACCACATTGCAGCTCATGACAACAAATTCAGCTATGGGGATATTTTGGCAAAAGTCTACAGAGATTTTGGAACCATTAATAAACAATTTCAGAACAAAATTAAAGAAAAAAATAAGGCTGAGAAGAAGACAGAAAACCTCGCACTACTCCATACATTTCCTGTAGTCGGCAAAACGAACAAAGGTGACGGATCACTTGTGGAGAGTTACGATGAAAATAAATCTCACGAATTCAATGAAGCAGTTTATTTTAGTCCCAAATATATCATCAAAAGAATGGGGAAGCCAGGAGAAACTGCTCACGACCGCATGCTGTGGGAAAGCGTTAAATCTTCTAAATATGGTCAACATTCTTCTGAAGAATGTGACTGTCATGACAGAGGGTTATTGGGTTCTCTTCGTGGTTTGCAGAAGCTCAGAGCAATTGGAGAGATAATTTTGAAAAAAATTGAGTTGGGAAATTTTGATGATGAATTTCGAAGGACTTTTACTATGGAACAGAAGCTTTCAGTTTCAGAAAAAAATAAAACTTACCAGAGTTTTATTGATAACGCAAACGAAATTGATTCCTTCTCTAACGAACTTTCAGGACAAGTGGATGAAAAACTAGAAGATAACTTCATCAAGGACGATAGCAATGCCAGAAAACACATCGGAGACGATAAAGATTCTCGTATATCTTACGCAATTGAACTCGACATAGACGAGACATTCGATGGAAATATAAGGCCATGCAATGCAGAAGTGAACGCGACCCGGAAACAAATTCCGTTCTATCGAATTAAACGATCGAATGATGTCTTTTTCCCATCTAGATTCAGCGAAAACCCACAGATAACGATTGAAAATATTTTAATGGGTAAACAAAACGAAGAAAATGATGACGTAATCAATACAGATGCGAGCTCAGAGCACACAAATGAAGATCGTGCTTTCAAAAACGAGTTTAACGAGATCGTTCCTGATACTACTTTTCAGAAAACGGTGCCGAATCCTTTGAAGGTCGACTATAACGGGAGATCGTTGCACCTCAATGCCACTACGTTAACGCCGAATGTGCCGGCAACGTTGCAAATGCATCCCGACCCGCTACTCGCACCAGAAACTCGGCACCCACAACAGAATTACTCCCACGCACGCCTGGTTCCTGTAAAAAACGCTTCTATGAAACCCTCAGCGCGGAACAACGATGGAAAAATCACAAAGGAAAATATAAATGGAGAGCGTAGAGTGTCCAATGTATTTGAAAAATTTCTCGAAGAAAACCGGAAAGAAGTTGCAATGCTTGAGAAGACACATACCGGAAACATGGAGGCGTACGCTTTTATGCTGAGCTCGCCGACAAGAAAATTCACTTTGAAACCTCAGGAAGCACTCAGCTTTAAGCGTATCAATTCGGAAATTAAAGCCGCCCTTTATTTCTTTGAATTTTACTTGCTCATCTCGTCAGAAAAGTCATACGAACTGGCAACTTTCTATAACTTTTGGAAATTTTTTGACACCTCTGTTACCAGTGACATAAAAACAGGTAATTGGCTTTCAACTTGAGAATACTTGGATGATTTGTTGTTTAATATAAATAATTAACTTAAATTAGACAGATAAATAATTGAATCTGTTCTAATTATTAACAAGTAAAAATGAAAACATTTCATAATTTTTTATTGAACTTATCTACGTTGCACCGAATGCAAATCATTTCAATACTTCAATGTCACGTGAATAAATTGAACGTTCCAGATGATGGCTTTGAGTATCGGACTAGTGAGAGGTCTTCGTTGCCTCCGTCAGACGACTCGACCAACACGTCGCGTCAAGTCTGCGACTGCAGGGCGTTCACGCTGGGGTGAGTGAGACCGAGGAAGACGCGAAATTAGTTAGGATGTTATATATTTGTAAAATTTTTGATGCTTCGTATACCGCAAATTTTGATGCTTCATATAGAAAAGTACAAATAAAAAGAATATTTTCCGTTGCACTCCGGATATTGAAATTCCATCGCTTTTAAAGCCTTCACTCTAGCTGTGAGTTCTACAGAAGCTATTTAGGATATTAATGTCGATTTTCATTTAAAGGCGTTAACTGTTGACTTACTATCCCACCTAAACAAAAATTACAAGCAAATTCATTCCATTTATAACTATGCCTACCTACTGCAATCGAACTCGACAATGTGAATGAGTTCGAAGCGTGCAATTCAGCTCCGAATAGAAGCCTAGAAATTCAAACGCATTGTAGTCATTTTTTCCGAAGGAAATGGAGCTGGGCTTTGTTTTCGAAATATCATGAGTAAATTAAAATCAGGGATCAGAATTAATTACAACTGAATACCCGAACGGCTCATAGTTCCTAGCAATACAGGGTTATTCTAAATGATGGACCCAATTTAATAAGTTCGTATTTATTTAGGTATAAATTCAAAATGAATAATTTATACGCCAATATAAAGAGAAAGCTTCAATTTTTAACCTATTCGAATGCGTTATTTCTTATGGGGTTATGTCCCATACGGTTAGGTACGGTTTGCTAGTTACGTTTACGTCTCGTCTCTACGAGCAACTCTGTTTACGTCCCGCCTCTACGAGCAACTCTGTTTACGTCTCGCCTCTACCAGCAACTCTGTTTACGTCCCGCCTCTACGAGCAACTCTGTTTACGTCCCGCCTCTACCAGCAACTCTGTTTACGTCCCGCCTCTACGAGCAACTCTGTTTACGTCCCGCCTCTACGAGCAACTCTGTTTACGTCCCGCCTCTACGAGCAACTCTGTTTACGTCCCGCCTCTACCAGCAACTCTGTTTACGTCCTGCCTCTACCAGCAATCTGTTTACGTCCCGCATCTACCAGCAACTCTGTTTACGTCCCGCCTCTACCAACAACTTTGTTTACGCCCCTACTCTACCAGCAACTCTGGTTGATCTGAAAAACCGTATCACTGCTACGGTGCACTCAGTAACAGAAGATGTGCCTTCTCGTGTGTGGGACGAGTTTGGCTGCCGTTTAGATGTTTGTCGTGCAGCAAAAAGGGGACAAAATGAAGATTAAGAAAAAATGAAGATTAAGAAATATGTAAAAAATGAATCATTCTCTTTCCATTGGTGTATTAATCATTCATTTTGAATTCATACTTGAATAATTACGAATTTATTAAATTGGGTCCATCATTTAGAGTAACCCCATAAAAGCATCGTGGAAATAATGTCAAGGTCAATAAAATAGAGGTCACGTAATTTGATAAATAGTCGCATAATAATGAGAGATGAAATGATGCCAATGGGTTTTCAAATTTTATTTTTCTATCAGTAAATGCCATCAATTTGACAGTCTTGTAATTTAGCCGTTTATAATAACACCTTTCACCTCTGCTCCGCCAGGATCATCGCTGGCTTCTCTACCCTGACCACGCTGCTGGGATACGCGCTGAGCTTCACTGCGGCATAGAATGCCGGTGCAATTGCTGTGGAGCACGCGACTTTCAGCACCTAAATGAGACTGCTTTACACTTAAGATATCAGTTCCTTCTTTTGCTGCACATACCTTTTGTTTTTAGCATAATTCTGATAGAGAAAGTCAAGGTAAACAGTGAAATGATGTGCGTTTCAGCAATCGCACTGTAGTTGTCTCCGCATAATCCTGCTCGGCAAATTAAAGGGAAAAAGTGAAAAATCATGCGTTTCAGCAATTACACTGAAATTTAGTTTAAACACAATTCTGCTAGAAAAATTCTTCTAAAGCAGTAAAGAAATTTCGGAAAATATCATAAAATTCAAATTTTTGAAGAGACACATGTTAAGTTGGATAAAGGTCCCGTCGTTGTCCCACATAGTGAGATTTTTCTCGAGAAAAGATATCTTTTCTATAAGTACCGTAAGCCTAGAAGAATTTTGAGTTCATAAAAGTAAAAAGAATGTAACTAATTTGTTCGTTAAGGCTAACTAACCCAATGAATCCCTACTTCAATAGCGAATGAAATTTTTTTCACAACTGGTTTAGGATACTAAATTAAATACAAGTTTGTGAACAAGGTTTAATAAAATATGGTATTTACACTCACAAAATATACTACTGAATAGTGAATAATTCCTAGCCGTCAGAAATGACGTACTAGCAATACTTATTTACAACGAAGACTTCTTAAACCCGAAAATGCTTACTCCGAGAAAAAGTTTACGCTAGTCAAAATCAAATTTGGCTTTCCAGCGCAGATACAACTGATCAACATCAACGGAAATGGGAAAAGCATAAATTTCAGTACTACGGTGCTAGGGATGGAAGCTGACCACAGATGATAAATATATTTTTCCATTAAAAAAACTGATAATGTCATGTCATAACGGGTCATGACAAGCTAGGGGTAACTCACGATAGCACATTTACTAATGTATATATACTCTACTAAGTTTAAAACATGGTAAATAATGAAAATATTTCTCAAAATATAATTTACAGTTATAGTGCGACTGTTCAAAAGGATTGCTTTGTTCGACACGATCGGTGCTGAGCAAATTTCAGAAGCGTCTCAACCAATGCAATGGTTTTCGAGACACAACGTCATACATCATTGCTGCCAGGAAAGGCTAGATTGGACAGACAGCTAACAGAGGAAGAGCACTCTGTTCAAAACAGCTTTTCTCGGTGCAATGTAAGCTCAACATCAACACAAGTCGAAACGTCCATCAAGAGACTGCCATCAATACAATAGTTCAATATACGTGGCGGTGACGTCTCTTGATGAAGGCAGTCCGACGTATTGTCAAGGCGATACAAAACGCACGGACCACAAGGAATGGGGAGACAAGCCTAGCTCACCACTACCACTGCTCTAAAGCCACAGAAGTTCTCCTTGACCCGTCCATTGCCTGTCATGCTTTAGTCAACTGTCTTCATCCTATTTGAAGGCAGTAACCTTTCACAATGAAACTGCTGTAAAAAGTAAAACACTATCTAGATAGGTTTTAAAATATATTTATTACGGTCCGATTGGTATTTTTATCATTTTAAGTTGAAGCAAAATGCTTCTCGAAAGCAGAAAGGTTTGGAGCAAGCTCATGAAATATGAACTTTGTAAAAAATGAAGCATAAATTTGCGTTAAAAATGGTTTATGTATTGTAGGATATTCTCCCTGCAACAGGCATGGCACTAGGTCATTCCCAAGAACTCCAAGCTAGGACAGTGGTGGAGGAACTAGGCTAGGATGACTCCCCATTTACCTTCCTCATCCTCCTCCAGCCATGGGAGGGGGCCCCGCACCGCCCATGCGATGTAAGCCCCCCATTCGTCTACGTGGCGGTCCAGGAGGCCTAGAAAACAATGAAAAAAAAACTTCAATCCTCAAGCAAAGTGAAAACTTCTTCAAAAATTAAGTCATAGCAAAGAAAAGAAAGATAATGCAATAAATAGAAAATAGAAAGATAATTTGCAAAGCCAACTTACAATTAGGCCGATATTGTATATTAGAGTTACAAGAAAAATAAAACAAATAAAAAACTTTTAAAAACCACGTTTTCTCAACGGACAAAAAAGAAAAACATTAACTATTACATAACATTAGAGTTATGTAAAATGTTATGTAATGTTATGCAAGAGTAAATGTTTTTTTTTTTGTCCGTTAAGAAAACGTGTTTTTTAACATATTTTTTATTTGTTTTATTTCATTGTTTTTAGTTTTGTAAATACCAGAAAAACGTGGTTTTTAAAAATGGTTTATTATTATATTTATTTATTTTCTACTTTTTAGTTTAGCAATTTTAGCAATTCAAATAATTTTCCACGGTTGGCAACTCTGGTTTTCTGACAAAAAAAAAACTCGATTCCCCCAGCCCCCACCGTGAATTTTTAGTTTTTTTTATTTATTTTTTTTTAATTTTTATTTATTTATTACTACTTCTGATGATCAAATATTGAATTGTTAGGCAGCATAAGCATGCATACCAAATTTCAAGTTTCTAGGATCTTCAGAAGCGCTCTAAATTAAGGTTTGAATTTTTGATGACAGACGGACATGAAGCGAAGAGAAGAATAACGTAGTAACATAAGGTATTAACTTACGGTCCTCTGCCTGGTGCTCTGTAGTCAGAGATGTAGCTGTTGCCTCTGCGACTAAGCTGTGGATTCACGAGGGTCTGAAAACTATCAAGAAAAAAATATGAGATTAAGAAGCATCAAACTATTTTCATACACTACCCATTTCAGAGAAAAAGTCAATGCAGTTGGTAGTTGCTAAATATAAGTCCCAAAAAACCTAAATTTTGAGTTATCATAAATTATGGTTACCCATTGATATGGCCTTGCTACTTTCATTAGTCAGAAAACAATAATGCAAATGAATAATATTTATGATGTTGCCAATCTAAGGAGGTAATAGCTGATAAGCTGTCAAATGCACCAAAGCAAAACTCTTAAAAGGTCATACTTTACTAAGTTGGGAGATTTGTATTGGGGAAGAAGAGGACAGTTGGAACGTTTTCTGCCTGCCGTGATTCATAATAAATCCAGGTGACTGTAAACTTAACTTAATTATGTACTTCACTGTGAACAAAATATCTGGCAGGTTGGAATACCAGATATGTTGATTCAAATATTAAATGATGACCAAGTTAAGTCCCTTGTTCCAAAGTGCAGATAGTGTGTGAATATCAGAAAATCTTTGGCAACACATCAGCATTTAAATTTATGTCTTCAGAAGATTTTGCCAACACACTTCTTTTTAAATTCCTCTTCATGAAAATCTAAAAGGTTTAGGTAGATCTGGCATCAAATTGTTTTTAATACAGGCTCAAACCTTTGGCCTCAAACCTGATCTTGGCTTCTTGCTAAACACAATTGCTAAGCTCTGCACAGTGGCTTTGCTTGATAAAAAATATATAAAATAAAGAGCCAGTCAGTTATCAGTCATGTGACATAAGTGTCCCTCTAAACTCATCTATCCCAAAATTGCAACATGATGTCAGATGAGTTTATAAGATTGTACCTCCAGGTACAAAATTTTGCTACTTGCCAGTATGATCGAGTTTAACCCTAATTTAAAAGGTTTAACACCCTTCGTTTCTAATAACCACTATAAGAAAATAACCATAAATATCACAGCCTTTTCTTTCAAGAGACTCTTTAACTGGGATCTATTCTTGGTGTCAGATCAATAATATTTTAGCTGCTGAGACCTAGAATAATTAGGTAGGTTATCTAGCAAACTACATATAAACTTTTACCACCCAATGAACTGCTCCACGTGTTGGCAGGTACTCAAGCTTTTCAATGCGCACATGTGTCTTAAATCATGTGGTTTTTGCAACAGCTAGCAATGAACACACAGACAATGAGATTAAATGAATTGGAGAAAGAAGCCAATGATAAATATGATATCAATTTTATCATTAGTGTTAATGGTAAGAAGTCATCAATATTTGACAGCTGGCAGCTGTTGTTCTCAGGCACATGCACATTTGAATCACCTCACCATAAGTAAACATCACCAAAATATGGATTAGTTGCTGTTGTCCTACATGGAAATGCTTTTTCTTGAGAATAGAAATTTGGTTGTTTTACTTGAATAATTTTTGAAATGGTTTTGCATTTAAAAATTGTGTGTTTGAGGAGTTGATTTGATAGGAAACAATCAATATTAATGTCTGTCAAAAAATCAAATGGCAAGATGGAAGGCATCTAAAACATACTACACAGAATTGAGGGCATGAATCATTGCATACAAGGTTATAGCAGGACATGGAAACCCAAGGCAATTAGAGTCAAGTAAACAAAAGCCCCTTAGCCATCAAAAAACACCAAGAATTACTTATAAATGCTGAAGCATTCACAGAATTATTTATGAAAATATGATACTATAACCATAAATTTAAATCTGGCCTTTCAACTACAATGGTATGTTCCATGGCCCATGTTTTCAGTACTTATTAGCAAATAAGATATTTTTAGACAATTTATACATATTATAAATACTTCCCAGGCCTATGCAGCTGCATTGGTATAGCCTAGGCCCTTGAGAGTTGAGAGTATAAGTAGCAAGAAAAATAGTTGTTATACAAGTCATCAATAAGGAACTAGCTCCAAGATTTGAATTTTTATGCTAGAATTTTTTTTTTTTCAAAGTGCAAGGCAATCAGGATCAAAACTACAGGCAGAAACATTTCAACACTTACAATAAGACGATGAAGTTTGTCAGGCCCCAAAACAGATTTGGTATGCGTGATAAGCTCCATCCTTCAGAGCCCTGACCCAAACTCCCATCTGAAAAATAAAACAAATTTCAAGTAGTCATAGAATATGAGTTATACAGCTTAGCATGTTAGCAGCTATATTATTAATAAAAACTACACTAGACTGTAGACACATTAACAGATAAAAATCTAATTGTAAACAAAAGCAAAACAATGTGTAATAATTTTATAGATGCAAAATTTCCAATATTCATTTCCATGTACCTACCAAGCATACTGACAAACCAGAGATTTTTTAGAATCAGTTCATTTTCAATTTCCTCATTTACCAAGATTTAAACTAATTCCTTAAATATGATACTGCTGGTATCCAGGATACTTCACTGGTCTACTTACAGGACTCAAAAATGAACTTGAGGGAGAGTCTAAAAAAACTCTCTGCTTTGGCCCACTATGCTACCCATGCTGCCGAGCATAAAATAAAACAATTAAAAAAAAAATTTAAAAACCACATTTTCTTAACGGCCAAAAAAGAAAAACATTTATTCCTACATAACATTTAAGTTACCTATGTAAAATGTTATGTAATGTTATGCAAGAGTAAATCTTTGTCTTTTTTGGCTGTTACGAAAACGTGGTTTTTTAAAAAAATTTTATTTGTTTCATTTCACTATTTTTAGTTTTGTAACAACCAGAAAAACGTGGTTTTTAAAAATATTTTTTATATTTATTCATTTTCTACTTTTTAGTTAGCAATGTTAGCAATTCAAATCAATTTCCAGGGTTGGCAAGTGTGGATGTTTGAGAAAAATTCAATTCCAAACAGTGAATTTTTAGTGTTTTTTTATTTAAAAAATTTTCTTTTTTCAAACATTTTTTTCCAAAATTATCATTTCTAATAATCAAATCTTAAATTGTTAGGCAGCATGAGCATGCATGCCAAATTTCAACTTACTAGAATGTTTAGAAGTGATCTAAATTAAGGTTTGAATTTTTGATGACAGACACGCACAAAACGAAGTCAAGAAAAACGTGGTAATAAATCGACCTTCCAAGCCATGAACAGCTGACTACTGACAACAGATTTCCTGCATAGTGGAAAAGCAGACTGCAGAGATTTTTTGGACAGAACCTCAAGTTCATTTTTGAATCCTACAAGTAGACCAGTAAAATATCATGGTTACCAGCAACACATACTGACAAACCAGAGATTTTTTAGAATCAGTTCATTTTCAATTTCCTCATTTACCATACCAAGATGTAAACTAATTCCTTAGACCTTAAGTATGATAATGATGATAACATGGTATCCAGGATACTTCACTGGGTGACTGGTCTACTTACAGGACTCAAAAATGAAGTTGAGGGAGAGTCTAAAAAACTCTCTGCTTTGGCCCCAGGCCCACTATGCTACCCAGGCTGCCGAGCATAAAATAAATTCACCTTCCAAGCCATGAATAGCTGACTACTGAGTACTGACAACAGATTTCCTGCATAGTGGCAAAGCAGACTGCAGAGATTTTTTGGACAGAACCTCAAGTTCATTTTTGAATCCTACAACTTACAAGTAGACCAGTAAAATATCATGGTTACCAGCAACAATTCACTGAATTCAGCATTATCATAGTAGCCTATATAAGATATTGGTTTAAATTCCAAGTGGATACAAGAGTTAAAAATGAACTGATTCTAAAAAATTTACATACCTACTCTGGAAAATTTAAGGAAAATTACTACGTACTCTGAAGTCTGAACCGTGACTAGATTTTACAAGCCGTAATTTTATGGAATTGCAATGCAAGCTGCGATGCCATTTTTTTTTAGCCACAATTCCATATCACAGCCATAAAGAGCCATTTATGAGCTGCAAACTCATTTGCAAAGTTCTGTCACTTCTGTGCAACAGTGCAAGAATTACCCCAAATCTCTAATTTGACCATAGAAACAGCAACAAAAAGTAAGTATCTAAAATAATAAGATTGAAAAATAATAGGCACCACACTCAGACACAGACCACACCACACACACACAGCAGTGACAGCACCAGTAAAATATTTCTATATTTTATTCATGTAAAATCTTTTTATTGGGCATTTGAATTTAAAATTTAGAATACATAAGATAATATTTTAAATCTTGAGTAAATGTGGAAATTGAACATGAACTGATTCTGAAAAATCACTGGTTTGCCAATTAGAAATTGCCATTATCACTATCATGACGACATGACTATGCCTAGCCAAATGGCAAATTCCTTTCAGTAAAAAAATTCACATTAATAATAAAGAATTCGGTCAACTCACTTGCAGAAATGTAAACCATTCTGTCATCCTGTAAGCTTACAGATAGGAAAAAAATGTTATAAGGCTGCTGATATGAAGCTTGCAATGGACAAGGTTGTTGTAAATGCTCAATGGCATGTTCATGGATAAGGTAATATCACATCAATAATACCATAATGTCACATCAATAATACGGTAATTAATGTATATGGCAATATCATATCAATAAAGGAAAAACAAGTAAAAATCACAGAAAATGTCATTTATTCTACCTCTACATCATCTACAATGAAAGAGGAGGACTTCAGAGTCCTGTTAGTAATGGATGAGTATGCTCTGCATGCTTCAAATGTTTTGAAATGAAGTTTTATTCCCGTTGTCCTGAGTAGCCCCAACCAACGGGGCTACTCGGGACAATCTCTATTTTGCGTCTGGCACTTTACGAATAGCATATGGAATTTTTTTGACAACGCCATTCGATAGCCCTGCCCAATCAGCTATAAAATGAGACTAAACTTGTTTATGAAATGTTTTATCGTAAGAAGTTATTAACTGTTATTTAAAACTAATCGTTCAAATCTGTCCCGAGTAGCCCCGCTTGACGGCACTTAATTACGCTTTTAATTAACAACTATTAAGCTTTTAATTAAGCAAATATTAATTTTTGTACATAGCTTGGAACGATCTGTGTGTGTCCAATTCAAGTTGTGACGGATTTAGTTTTCATGTGTCTAAATCCATTTCTCAACTTAATCATCTATTAATTTATTTACCACTTGAAATCAGCAAATACAAGTATACCTACTTAAAGGATTCCTAATATATTCACAGACGTATTTAAAAGTCTCAAACCATAATATTCTTCCTATACAAACAGTTATTCACTACTTGGGAGAGCAAGGTCAACTGTCAAATCAAATTTGACACATTTTTGATGATCTCACCGGGTAGCGTGCATTGTCTTTCTTTGGATCTCAATATTTTCCCGCTAGATGGCCAAGACCTAGTGTCTTGGCAGTAATTTGACGCGCAAATGTATGACGTCACCATTTCAACCATCAACCAACGCATGGAACTAAAACAAAGCTTAATATAAAGGAAAAACTAGAGAGGTGACGGAATTACCCACGATGTTGGAATATACTGCGTTTACCCTAGTTTTATGGAATTGCAAGCTGCGATGCCATTTTTTTAGACACAATTCCATATCACAGCCACAAAGAGCCATTTATGAGCTGCAAACTCATTTGCAATGTTCTGTGCAACAGGGCAAGCTGCAATAATTACCCCAAGCCCAAATCTCTTATTTGCCCATAGAAACAGCAACAAAAAGTAAGTATCTAAAATAATAAGATTGAAAAATAATAGGCACCACACCACACAGCAGTGACAACACCAGTAAAATATTAAATATTTCTATATTTTATTCATGTAAAATCAGGATGGAATTCTAATTTTGACCATTCATATATTATTCCCGATACACCTACACCAGTTTTTCTATACAACATTATTTGAGGCAAAAAAATGAACTTCTTATAGACTTAAAACACATATGGGTATGCTAAATTTCTATAAGGTAATTCACTTGGAAATGTTGCATGCCAGCAAGGCTGCAGGCGCAGCTTTCACTCAACAATTAAAATTATACAAAGTATTAGTTTGTTAAAGATTTGTCTCTTAATATGACTGCAAAGAAGTAAACTTAATAAAGTAATTACAGCTNATCGAAAAATGTGTCAAATTTGACAGTTGACCTTGCTCTACCAAATAGTGAATAACTGTTTTTATAGGAAGAATATTATGGTTTGAGACTTTTAAATACGTCTGTGAATATATTAGGAATCCTTTAAGTAAACTTGTATTCGCTGATTCTAAGTCGTAAATAAATTAGTAGATGATTAAGTTGAGTGATGGATTTAGACCCATCAAAACTAATTCCAACACAACTTGAATTGGACACACACAGATCGTTCCAAGCTTTGGACAAAAATTGAAATTTGCTTAATTAAAAGCCTAATAGCTGTTAATTAAAATGTAATTAAGTAGTGTTCAATATTCGTTAGTGTTCTAATTCAAAGCCGTGTTGTATCCCAATACAGCTCACACAGCAAACAGAATTCAAATACGTTGATGTCGGCATTACGTATCAGTTAAATTTGAAGCACTGACGCAATACGACTCACCACGTGTCGAATATTGCCACACACAGTTACGGAATATAGGGATTTGGTAGGTTTCCATTCTAAAGGCTTTTTAATAAATATGGCAACATTTTGTGATGTTTCATCGTTGCTGACGCGTAGTGAAGCGTTTTGAGTCACGTAAAGGCAACAGAACTTACGTAATGCATACGGTTTTTTTATAGTTTTTCATTTCGATGCGTCCTTAATGTGTCGGAATATACCGCGTTTACCCTATCCATGATACTTTACTGGCCTACTTATATGACTCAAAAATGAACTTGAGGGAGAGTCTAAAAAACTCTCTGCTTTGCCACTATGCTTTACTTGTCTACTTATAGGACTCAAAAATGAACTTGAGGGAGAGTCTAAAAAACTCTCTGCTTTGCCACTATGATCCCATCATTCCGTGTGGATTTGAGAACTTTGTTGGTATTAGTGAAATTGTGAGAATTTTCTGCGAAAGTTTACGTAATTTTTATTTTGGAACATATTCATTACAAAATTTGTCGATACGGATACGCGACTAGTGATGTATTGGAATTTGGAAGGAAGAGTCACCTACTTTTTATCGGTTTTCAAACCACACGCAACTTGACGCAAGCGAGTTAGAGGACGTCATAGTGGCAAAGCACAGAGTGTTTAGAATCAGTTCATTTTTAATTTCCTTGTGTACTCAAGATTGAAGCCAATTTCTTAAGTATGATTAAGCTGGTATCCATGATACTTTACTGGTCTACTTATAAGACTTGAAAATGAACTTGAGTGAGAGTCTAAAAAACTCTCTGCTTTGCCACTATGGAGGACGTGCAGCTGTCTGGGTGTCCGCAGTTTCTGACGAGCTCAGTGTAAGAGTATGAGTAATTGAGTATCAATTGTCACTTCGGTGGAAGGTGTAAGGTCACTAAGGTGGTAAATTTTTCGATACATTTTTTTTGTTAACATGATAATATATTACCTATACAGAATTCCAATAGGATTTTACTAATTTAATTATTAAATAAGTAAAATCCTATTTGGGCATTTGAATTTAGAATCAATATTCTTGATAGTACTGTTAAGATACATAAGATAATATTTTTAAAGCTTGAGTAAATGAGGAAATTGAACATGAACTCATTCTGAAAAATCACCGGTTTGCCAATTGGAAATTACCACTATCACATATCACTAACCTATGCCTATAAAGTAGGTAAGGCTATAGAGCCAAATAAATTCCTTTCAGTAAAAAAATTCACATTAATAATAAAGAATTCGGTCAACTCACTTGCAGAAATGTAAACCATTCTGTCTACTTCCTTACAGCCTCAGTTACAGGCTTACACAAAGCTTTGGTTTTTGTCCTTTCGTCATAGACTGCAGACGGGTCCCAGCCTCGCCCTAAACTTTACTTCTCTAGCCTAAAGTGACGCAGCATACCGAAAACGATGCAATGAGAAGTTTCTAGTTGATTTTGTGACATTCATGTACACAAGAGAAGAACATCACAGAGATCAAACTAGTCATGGATGAACTAGAACCTGGGCATTAGAAGCCAATGATTAATAAAAAATTTGACCCTAACGCGATTTAATATTATCGAATTCTTGATGAAAAGTATTCAATACCTGCTAATTTCAAAGACTTTTAACCTAACAGTATGCTAAAATGTATAGTTTACGATGAATCCATGAGAAATTTTTTACATTTGTTGAAATAAATTAGTATTTTAATGTTTTACAACGAAAAAGTTTGGATATGAGATAGGCTGGTACAAAGCATTTGATTCCCTGCCACATCAAGTAATTGGTTCAGTTCATTTACCTCTCTTTCCTACCTTACAATAACTTACGCGAAATCTGTACTCCATTTGTTGTAATTGAAAACGAAATAATGTAATTATTACTAACGCAGGGCATTGATACTAGATACTTATATACCAAATTTCAAGGAGATCCGTTCAGTATTGAAAGACATACCGAGTTGTTCGGATGCCCTAAAAATTCGTGCATTCGTTTTAATGTAAAACGAAAAATTCTGAAATATGTAATTATTACCATCGCAGAAAATTGATAGTATATACTTATATTCAAAATTTCAAGCAGATCCGTTCAGTATTGAAGGACTTACGATTGCTTCGGTTGAGCGAAAAGTTAGGTTTGGCATTTAAAGCAGGCCGTAGGCCAGTCGCCGATTCTCAACATCGCAGAACATTAACAGCATTTTGTGGTCTCGAACTCGCAACTCACTGCTACAATTCTGCTGTGCTTAACCGCCCGGCCTCCTTGCCGATTCTGGCCAGAAACTGGCGCACAGAGCTGGGATCGAACCCGCACCTCTCTGCTCCAATCGTGGTATTCTGAACTTTGACCACTGGGTAGGCGAGTTCGGAAAAGTGTCGATTCAGTTACAAATAATCAAAAGAATTATCTAGGTAGAATGAAACAGTCTTGTCTCCCTAGGGGTTTGTTCTACTAGAGTGTATGGCTGGTTGCGACTGAGCACGATTGGTCATTTAAGAATAGAATAGAAGTGTCGGCACTGAAGAAATAGGCCCCTGGCCTGTTGACGATTCATGAATTTTTCGTGACTTGATTCACAAGGGATCCGGCCTTTGGAACCCGATCTTTCCATATCTGACGATTGATTGAGATAGCTGCTGGACTTATTGCCTGGTCCGTAATTTTTGACATTATTTTAAATATTTTATGATAGCGAGTTATAAAATTTTCATAGTATTATTAGAAAGTGAATTTATTGTCCCTCGTCATAAACCAAGTAAGCTGTGCAAATACGAATTCCATCCAATACTGGATGTATTTTACTCACAGCCATTGTGTTCGTTGATAGTACCTAAATTTACATTTCTATGTTTTTTTAATTACCTATTAATTATTTTTACCTGTGATTCTTAGAATTGTAGTCAGAAAATAGCACTTAAAGATCTTGAACAGTCACCGTGGGTCACTTCGCACTTCACCGCGAATAAGTGGACGAAGAGCGCAGCAGGTTGAAATTGTCTCCCGACTATCTCGTGTTGAGTAGTCAACATTTTTGTTGAACACAAATTAACTAACTAAAATCATTCACGACAGTGAAGCGTTCAACCACCAACTGGAATGACCACGCAAACCAGTTGTGGTACGTACAGCACAGTTTCGTAGCCGCTACTACAGAACAGCCATCGATGAAGAAGATACAATGCAAAAACACTCCGCTACAGAGATATTTACCAGTCAGAATATAATGCAAAATGAAAAAGGAAAAATTAAAGTCAGTTGTACGAAAATCACTGATTTGTACACAGAAATAATTGTAACAAAAATGAAAGTGTAACAAGTCACGTACACTACTTGCGCACGACTCAAATGACGTATTTATTAAACTCATCGAGTTTCACGTCAAAAATAATTGAACATGCTTTCGAACTAGCCATAGAAAATGTTTTAAATTATCCTTAGAGGATGACAAGCCAATCACAAGAAAATTGAAAAGCGCAATTGAGCCAGAATTTGTCCATTCTTTACAAGTGACTAATGGGGAAATTCTCATGACGAGACGAGCATGATTCTCCGACAGAGAGCAATTAAACGCGCGAGAGTCTAGGTAAAGAAAATTTCGCTTTCGGCATATGCTATTAGGCTTAATTCACTCGACCACGAAGAATGACATATTGAAATGAATAAATATTATTGAAGGGCATTTTAAAAACAAGCGACTTACTTTCGTACATTTTGAAGACAGGAAGACATTATATTTGAATTTAATTTCACAGAACAAGTGAGACTATCAGAGTTATTGACGTTTTGAAGCTTACTGTTCAAAATATATGAATAAATAATGTATTATGTACATTACATGATGAGGAATGTAAGCCATTTGATATAAACAAGACGCAATATAAAAATCGAAGTGAAAGAATTACCTTAAAAAGCGCTGAAACGCAAAAGCGGTGCAATATGAAATGAAGTTGTTCCTCATATTCCTGCTAAAGAAACGTCAGAGGGAATTGTGAGATTTTCCACTAAAACAATGAGCTTCGTTTACAAACTGACAAAATATAGCTGGAGAAGTATGAGGATAAGTAAGTGAATTACTTCTACATGACATAGATGAACCGAAGTTTTCTAGCACCAATACGTGGATAATAAATATAGTTTCGTAATTTGCAAATTAGCTATGTAATCTTCCAACCATTTTCAAATTACGAACTGTCCCCAATTTATCGTTGGAACATGTCCATATACGATCCCTTCAGGAATTAGTGAAATTTTTTCAGTTCCCCGTTGAATAGAAAAATATCAACACAAGACCTACTGCAAAAATAACGAGCAACGTTCAAGGACCTTCGCGTACATTGTGTACAACCACCGCAAAACAAATGACTTTCGGCTCAGCTTCCTTGAACACGTGACTGCACCCTCTGCATTAGCGAGCTGTGACCTGTTCAAACCTCGCGTTTCCAAACTCTATAAGAGAATGGAGTCGTCATAGAAGTCTTCCTTCTCATTGGACTCGAATAGTACGTACAATAACTACAACAATGTGAGCTAAAACAGAGGAATAATAACCGAGGCATTTTGAAAGCCTATTTATTCTAGCCGATGGAAAAGCCAACTCCGAGCTTGAATTTGTTTTTGGGGTGGTTGTGCATCGCGGAGAGAGTAAGACAGAACGGCAGAGGGGTCAGTTTCTTCTCCATGACGGCCCCTACCGTACCGTTGCTGTCGATTTTACCTGACATGTGGAATAGAAGTGATTAGAGAAAAATGATAAAAATCAGAGTTAAATAAGATGCTGGACCTCTATCGTAAGGCACAAAAACCTCACGTACCACTAATAGGATAACTTTATTTCCATCATCCTATTCGTATCAGAGTAGAAGAAAACAGAAATCCGAATGAATGAATTCTACATGACATAAAGTCCACCTTAAAGGAGTCCCACTAGAAAGTGATAACCTTGGTCTTGGAAGAGAGACCTGCCAAATAACACATTATAATTCAATTCTAGTACTAAAATAAACCACAAACAGATATTTTATTTTGAGTTAGGAAATTGATGGACAACTCATAAATCGATAGGAAGATAACGTTACCAAATTTCCATTCATGATACACACTTCTGCACGCAAAAATCCAAGTACAATGAAAGAAGTAAATTTAGAAATACTTACACAGCGAAGCGTTACTCACCCCTGAAAGTGCAATTGGCTTTAGGGATTTCCACTTGGAAGCCCGAAGTGGCGACAGACTCTTGCATCCTGAGGCTCGTCTCGAGCTCAGTGGCAATTTGCAAGTTTTCGCTGCATTTTTGATGGTAACACAAATGCAGACCGGCGCCACCTAGCGTGCCCGTGGCTGTGAAGTTGCTCCCTGTAATAGTAGTTTATAAATACGTTGCAAAATGGGAAATATATGCAAAGCATTTGCATAAAATGGCGAATTTCAGTTATTTTATACTTTGACTAGAAATAGTGCCGGTAATTGTACAGATAAAATCTTTCGTCTGAGATGTGAAAATTCACAGGAAAAAATATGAAACAGCTGTGAAGTACACAAATTACACAGCCAACTCATACCTTTACTGAAGAAAAACAAACAACTGTAGATGATAACTACAAGTTTTGAATAAAAAAATGAAGACAAAAGAGAATGAGATAAAAGATAACAAGAAGTATCCTTCGTTCGGCTGATGAGGCACAAGCATACAACAGTAACTACACTAGGTATCGTTGTAAAATTATATAGGATGACAAAGGTTAAGAAGTAATACGGCCAATCACGGACAAATTTCAGGAGTTCATTTTGACGTTATAGTTGTACCTGAATACCGGGCTGCGATAGAGTGCAAGGCGATCTGCCCGCCTGGAATTTGTGGTCCATATTGATATGCAAGCTCTGACCCTAGAGCAACTTTCGCCGTAACCTGAGAAATGTAAATGCTATTATAAACGTAAAACAAAGACAGTGATGTCTCAAGTAAGTAGTGGAGCAGTAACATATCTAATAGAGCAGTGATAGTATTTAACAATAGAGCAGATTTAATCAAGAGTTAAGGTAAGAAGAGTTCTCATATCTTTTCCTTTCACTTAAAATAATAGTTAGAAAAATTTAATAGGTGTTATGAAGGAAACTACTACTGCTATTGATTTCAGATTGATGTGCAAATTGTGTTTGGTCGATTTGTGTGACTGAATACTGAGTTTACGATTGCTGAATGAACCATGCACTCACTTTTCAGAAGCTAAATTTTAATATCAAGGTCATCCAAGTATTTAAATCTAGTAACAAGAGGTGATCAACCGTTATTCACTGTTATTCAGTTAACATAGTTTAAACCTTAGCAGACAGTTACTTATGCATAAATGGGTCGTCTGAACACAATTTTTCGAGCACCACAAAATAAAATTAATCCAATTAATCCTTAATACTTTGAAAAAGCATATTAGAATCATTTGAAATTGCTTCGAAAAGAACTGAAATATTTGTGCATGACAGAAGCCTGGCTTGTTTATACCTGCTGTAAGTAATGGGCAACGGCCAGACCAGTGCCGTTGAGGACATCTATGTTGCCGAGAGTGAGGGACGAAGTGCTTGTCCTTCCTTTATAGTCAGTTGTGAGCTGAGTGGCCTGCCACTTCCCTCCATCAATCTGCAATTTCAGAAGCAATCAATGACCTACTTAAAGATTTATGATAGGAAAGTAGAATGATGGCAATCATGTAAAGATGAAAATAGTTAAAATATAGTTGAAATACCTATAGGTATACCACCAAAATTAATTAATAACGGTGGGTAAAATAGAGAATTGAATTTAACACTAGTACGGTAAGTAAAATCAAAAATAGAATCAAATGAAAAGGACATTCGAATATTTTCATGCTTAGTGGAGAACAGACACAAAATTTGTAATCATAACGGCGAGTTTTTCATATAACTTGAAAGCAGGAAATATTCAAATTAGAATAGGTTAGTGGGAAATGGTATAAGCCTGAACTCATGGCTCACAGGCCACCAATGGACAGTTTTTGTCAACCTTCAGAAATTGTCCACGTTCCTAGGAGTGCAATAATGGAGTATCATGAATGCCATAAACAACATTAAAAATGTTCATTTATTCCACTAAATGTCAAAGAATTTAGCAAGTTACAGAGAGCGCTTCAGGCAACGAAATTGACCTTAGCCAATGATTTGCACATTCTCAACCGTGAATCATAGTAAAAAAACGTTTAATTCGAAAACAAATCAATAGATATAATTGCAAATTTTATTAACCAGCAATTGCCATTTATACTTTTACTTTAATGTACATATTTCAGCTTCTTCATATACATTATTAAAGCATATAGGATTCCCATAACCATCATGTAAAAATTACATGTAGAACTAATCCTCCTGGACCCTTAAAAATAATATAAATGAACTGACCTGAGCAACAAATTTTGTCCTGATATTTGGACTTAATTGATGTATAATGTTGGCGTTGAGGTTTCCAGATGGGTCAATATCCCCCACCAATATAGGGTAAACTTCAGTAGGGGAGACCTGATCACCCAGGTAAGTTGCACCAAATCTGGAAATGAAAATGGATTATTTCCTTCTAGCATACAACATAATTCTGAGAACTGCGGTCAAACTGCAAAAATGCTTTCCCAATTAAAAACTTTATTGCAATAAATATTTTTAAAAATGAAAAAATCATGATAATGTGAAGGATTGAGCTTCAGTGAAGGAAGAAAAATGGTTACAAACAGGATTCCAACCTAAACCATTTATAACTGGCCATTACATAAGATACAATCACACAATGTAAGGTATGCCATTTACCATTTTGTCACAAAAAAGTTCTAGCCAATCTAGAACCAGAGAACTTTAAGAAATGAATAAGCTGTTGCATAATATGGTGCAAGTACCACATTCATTTTGCAAAATGAACCTTTGCCAATGGAAGAAGTAATTAAAGTTATTATAAGCTTTTACAGGTTACATTTGACCATTACTGGATCTTTGCAATTGATTGAGAGTTCTCAGAAGACAAAGAACATAAGAACCTTCAAGAAACTCATTTCATAGTATTGCAGATATTTGTTCAAATTTTCATTATATCAATTACAAATTGATAAACAAGACATTTTAATTATTATACTGGAATAGATTAATATTTAAGGAATGATTGCTATAATTTAAGGTGGAATAGCATGCCTAAATATTTTCCCATGAATGCATAAGCAGCTATGTTCTGGTGGTGAAGGATATTGGGTAGAACAGACAGTTGCAAACAAATATTTGCTAATCGAGAATTAAATAACAAAGAAAAAGGCCAAAAAAAATCTTATACAAAAAAAGATTTTGGATTCCAACTCCATAGTCATTTCAAAAACCTAAAACACAAGTACTAATAATTAGCAAACTAAAATACACATTGAAAATATTATAACGTAAATTGTCAAATTAAAACAAAAAAGAAGGAAGTAAACATGAGCAGACAAACCTATTTATATACAATTTTGTGGGAATATGAACTGTAAGCAGCATTTAAACTAGGCTTTTTTTTAAAACGTACAAGGACTTTAAAATTTGCAGGTCAAAATAACCAGTCGTGAAGGTTGAAACTCTAAAATCACTATCAAACACTGGGAAGTTGTGCTGCTCAGCATGAATGCATACTACTGAATGGGGGGGGATGCGCAAAAGGGTTTACAGTTCTAAAACATTTTCCTTTATGCTCTGCCAGCCTAGTACAAAAATTGAGTGATGTTATACCAACATACACAAATGCACACAACTATACTGATGAATTAGGGACAATTGCATAGAAACAGGGAGTGCATGTTTAGACTCGAAAAAAAACACTAATTTTAAAAAATTAGTACTTTCAGCCATTGTCTCCAAAGCCAAACCATAGAAAAGAACAATGAACAACATTCCTATTATCATGTTCAGGAACAACCTCAGAATATGGCTTAGACAAAAATTTTTTAATTTGAGTATGTACCAATAGCGACGGAAACCCATTTAGTGAAAAGATGCTGAGTAAAAATTCAAGTTTGGAATGTTTGGCAAGGAAAGTAAGAGCAAATACACAAGTGGCAATTTATTGACATTTGGATCCCAATTAATTTGAAACAAAAAGTACAAAACCTAAGAAAGTTGGTGCTTAAGCCAGCAAATATCAATTTGCTGGCTTAAATTTGCACCAGCTTTTTCATTTTTTTTTCACTCAAATTAGATGGGATTCAAATGTTAATACACTGCAGCTTTAAAACTTTAATATTTGCTCTACTTTCCATGCCATGCACTCAGAACTTGAATTTTTATGCAGTATCTTTTCACTAAATGGGTTACTGAACTGCAATTGGTAAATACATTCATGTCTGAGCAATATTCTGAGGTTCACGAATGTGACAATAGGAATGCTGTTTATTGTTCATTTCCTTTCTTTGGTCTGGCTTCGGAGACTATGGCTGACATTTTGTTCTCTCTAAATACCTCCCAAATGTAAATCTTCATACATGGGTGAATAATTTTTTTATCAGTTCCTTTTTCAATTATCAAGATAACACTCCCTGTTCCTATGTGATCACCCCAAGTTTATCAATATAGTTGTAAGCATCTGCGTTTGTTGGCATGACATCACCAAATTTTTATACTAGGCTGGCAGAGCATAAAGGAAGGAGTTTTAGAAGAAGGTTTTTTTTAGAGGAAGGAGGTTAAAAAAAACCTGCTTGCGCATCCCCCTCCTTCACCAGTGTGCGTTTGTGCCAAACAGTGCAACATACCCGTGTCCAATAGTGATTTCAAATTTTCAGCCTCCACAACCAGTTTTTCTAACCAGGAAATTTTAGAAGCCCATATAAATTTTTAAACAAAACTAACAAAAGCTTTGTTTAAATGCTACCTACAGTTCATAACTCATTGAAATTGTAAATACATAGATTTGTATGCTCATATTACCTCATTTTTATTCATTTTCATTAAAAAATTTATGTATTATAATATCTTCAGTGTGAATTTTAGCTTGCCAATTGTTTAGTTGCTAATTGTTTGCTGCCCTCTGAAACATTTTATGGCATAAGAAATGGTGAATTTTGGCCATTTTGGCTTTTACATCCTTGATAAACAGGCAATTTAAGCAATCAAGTGACTTAATTCTTATACTTGCTAATGAAGTACCTGTAGCCTGGAGGCTGCACTGTTGAGAAGTTAACTGTGTGTGACACTTGGAAGTGATTACTGAGTGCTTTATTGAGGAGGAATTTGCCTCCTTCAAACACCATGGGGAAGACATCTGTAACAAACAAGGTTCATTAGCCAGCAGTCCAGCTGCTGAATTGCTCAGCATCTACATATTTTACAAAGAATTCTATATTAACAGATCTTTGCAGTGCAATTTGAAATTGAAGACAATCAAATATTTATGAGGACCTAAGCAAGTATATACTTTTAAAGCCACTTACAGTTTTTTAAAAGTACTCATCAAGAACAAATAAGAATACCTAGGTACCTGGGGGTGTGTGTGGATCAGAAGGGATGTGAGAAAACAAAGGATGCAAATTTAAGACTGGCAAATCAATGGTTGGGTGCGGTATACTTGGAAGTGCAGCAAAAGTGAGAGCAAGTAAGCATGAAGTATTGAGGGAAGTGAGGAAGAGTGTGGCAGTTCCTACTTGCCAGAATTATGAATAAATTGGATGTGATAGCATAAGGTGATGGTGAGCTAGGTAAACTATAAATGGTAGAAAACAGAGTACATAAGATTGGCATTAGGAGCCCCCAGGTGGACTGCAGTGGAGGCCATGAGAGGGGACATGGGATGGAGTACCTTTAACCCATTAATGACGAGAATTATTTTCTGATTTTTTTTTCGGTTCCTTGTGAGAATATTATCATTTGTGATGGAAATAAGCAAAAAGTATGTTCATATTTTTATTTTTCGTTGTATGTGAAAAATTATAGCTTGGTTCCATATGGAACCGCTCGGCATTAACATAACGTTTCTTCAAACAACACTTTTTCCGATAATAAATCAAGCAAGGTTGTTCATCTGTCTCTTATACACATCTTGAGCAACAAATTTTGTCCTGATATTTGGACTTAATTGATGTATAATGTTGGCNTTCTCTCGAAATCTTAATTATTTCATGTGATGATTTGCCAAAAATACAACTAGAAAAAAGTGACTCGGATGAAAAATCGTATAGTGTTCTACGTACGTACCTAATTCCAAATATATCAACTTTCGGGATATATACTCCTAACAGCTCTAAAGATAATAGTTCACTAATAAATAAAAGAAAAACTGTAGATCTAAGATCTAAATAAATAATTTCTAAATACAAACAAGTTTTTGAAATACAATGCGTAACTACATGTATATCACAAAATAATCTACTGGGAAAATGAGATGACCGGAATGCTTACACTACTGCTGAGAGGTTCCATTTGGAACCAGGCAAAATATTTCATGATCTAAATGACTTTAGAAACATTAAATCACGTAATGCCATATACAGCATTAAAAGTACTATCTTTATCGATAAAATTCTGCATCTAACTTATAAATAATATATTCTTAGAACGAACTACTTACCTTTCTCTGCAATGATGTCAAGCCCTTCTGTCTGACACCCGGTACTTACAATCTTTTAATGTTAACTGAGCAGGGAGTAGTCGGCGCAGCTGAACTAAACGTTGCCAGATCACTTACAAGATGTGTATCAAACCTACGCATCCACTAGTATATTGATTTCACCATACAATTTTATTATGAATCCATTTTTTTCCGCTGGTTCCAAATGGAACCGCTCGGCATTAATGGGTTAAGGAGAGAAGAATGATAGTATCAGTTTTGAGGTATAAAGTGAAAATAAAAAGTGAGACTGGAGCAAATGGACCATGAATGTTGGGCACAAAAGATGCATATGTGGAACATAATGGTGAGCAAATAAGCATGTAGATGTCATACATTGAAATGTAAGTATGGTATGCATGAAGCATGGGTGCGTCAAGGGCCTACTGGGCCAAAGGATAAATGGGTAGTGATAGTATGGGGTAACATTGGCATAGAGTGGGATGAAAAAAAGTGGAAAAGAGAAATAAATAAGTGAGTGAAAGACTATGAGCTAAAGGTGTAGAGGCAAGGAATGGAGGGAAAGAACACTTTTAAATTGTCTCAGATGACAGCGATGCCAAAATATGAATGTATGTTTGATGGTAGTAGAGGTGGGGACCTTCCATTTTGTGTTAGGGCAGGGGCACTTGGTGTGAATAAGACAGGTGGAATGTGTGAGCGGACAGGTGTTCCACCTGTATGTGTGATACAGGTGGAATGAGAGGGGAGAAGACAAATGTTTTATGTGTGATGCCAGGGTGCAGAGGGTGCAAGCAGCATCACCAATATATGGATATTTAGCCCAAAGCATTGCCAGCCATTTTCAAGATGTGTCGCTGAGTAATATTTAATAAGAAAAAACTGCTAACAACTTTGATAGTATATCCCATACTCTCCACGCACTGCAACACTTATAACTCAACACGTATACCTCAGCAGGTATCTGGCAGTCAGATGAGTGGTGCCATCTACTGAGAGATCAGCAAAGAAGAGTGAGGCTTGCACAATTCTGTCACCCAGACCACCAAGAGCTGTGCTCATATCAACAAAGCTATTGTGAACCCTACATCCTAGCAGCTGCTGCTTAGTACTAAAATTATTATAGTTCTCTTTATTTACTGTATCTGATGCTTGCAGTTTTTCAGATTTTCAACTATTTTCTAAATAGTTGGCTGACAACAGGTGAATATCTGGAATGCACTAATTTAAATCCAAATGTGTCAGCAAGATCTTCTGAAGGCATAAATTTTTCTGCTGATGCGTTGCCAAAGATCTTGCTACATTCACCCACTTTCTGCACCCTGGGCGAGATGGGGATGAGAAAACTTTGGAACACATGTTGATAGGATGTGGAGCATATGATCAGTCTATAATGGAGACATTCACCCACTTTCTGCACCCTGGGTGAGATGGGGATGAGAAAACTTTGGAGCACGTGTTGATAGGATGTGGATCAGTCTATAATGGAGACAATCTGTCTATAATAATAGACAGATGTGGATGGAGGTGATTCTGTCTATTATAATGGAGGTGAGATGGTGATTCTGAACAAAGGAGGTGAGATTAACAAAGTGGGGTGTGAGAGAACAAGAGAAGAGTGGATGGCAATGACTGTAAGTCTGTCTGAGGGCACAATAATATCTAAGTTTGAGAGTGTGAAGAATTTGAAGAAATATTTGGAGAACATGTCACACGTAAGGTAGAGGAGGATGACAGGAGAGGGGTCTTGATGAGTGGAGGGTTAAGAGAAGAGAGGGTGTAAAGGCAAAAGTGAGAGGGGCCAAATATTTTATACTTTTATTACATTGTTTCTGATTTCTGTTCAGATGATGACATCATGACATGCGTAACAGAATGTTTTAGTCTGTTAGGAATCAGAATTGCTGTGAAATGCTGTTGATTGAACTTTTTGTTAACTGCCAAATGTGAAGTGAACTTGTAATTTTTGATGCTAGTAAAAGATTTTTATGCCGCATGAGCGACCAATCTAAAGGTCTTGACACAGGTCAGTGTGCACCCAATTCCAATGTCAAAGTTTAACTTTAGGTGGCTAAACTACTCTAAGCTATATGCCCAACCATAGTGGCAAAGCAGAGAGTTTTTTAGACTCTCCCTTAAGTTCATTTTTGAGTCCTATAAGTAGACCAGTAAAGTATCATGGATACCAGCATTATATTACATAAGAAATTGGTTTAGGTCTTGAGTAAATGAGGAAATTAGAAATGAACTGATTCTAAAAAATCTCTGGTTTGTCACTATGTGCCCAACCAATAAAAATGCCCAACCTGGGCCAACCAAGCCATGAAATTTTAAGTTTGTAGCGGACTAGCGGTAGAGCTGTAGCGGCAAAACCTTGTATCACTAGGTACTTTAATATGCAACGGTCGCTACCGCTACTGCTATAATTGCAAAAATGTAGCATCGCTACCGCTACTGAAAATGTAGCATGCTAGCCTACTGCCCACCTCTTTTCATTATAAAGCAAGATTTATTTCGACCACTGACCAGAGTTTTTCAGCTTTTGTTAGAAATAGGGAGTAGAAATGGCATCACCAGATAGTAAATTATCAATCTAAATGCTTCGAAAACCATACATATGAGAAGCAAAATTTCAAATTCACCTAAAAATGCAACATAGGTAATTGGATTAGCAATAATTTTATATAAAAATCAATTATGCTAGACTTTTTTCAACAAATAAGTTATTCTCTCACTCAGTCTGTCAGTCACTGTATCAAAAAATTATTTACATTGGTCAACATGGCCATACAAGTGAATTAATGGATAATACATTTATAGTATATTTGGTATTTGCATAGAACAAACGTACCAGTGCATTGTTTGTGCAAGTCTTCCATAGTGCCAGGATTCTGAATCCCATTATTATTTGACCCTTTAGACAAGGATCCTTTTGATTCATCTTTAGGGGGTATAATAGGGGGAGACAATGGCACATCCATGGGAGGATTTGGAGCTGAATGAGCAGAAATATTTCCCATTGTATTTACAATTTAAAGCAAACTATTTACAGTTGAAAACGATGACTAGCTGGGAGGGACAAACTCCAACCGTTCCATCGACACATGGACTTGCCGGTCGGTGATGGCTAACAAATGCGTGGTTTTGTTACTCTAAAATAATTGATTGGGGTATATGTTGAAAAATATTTACCCTAAATCATATAGACGACGAGACAATATGTGATTTTTCGCGTTGATGGAATGAATTTTTCATATTTCATAAACGTTGATGTTAATTTTGTCACTTTTAAATGGTAGACTTGCGGAATAACAAGCAGATATATTTCAATATAAATGCACATTGATACTATCAGTACCTCTTTCAAAGTAGTGTCTGAGGTATTACTGTCAAAAATTACTCTAGCTAGAGATATCCTCACTATTACCGATCAGTGACCCGTTTTGTTTGTGCGAATTGCTTTACTACATTTATTGGCCCAAATCGACGAGATTACGGGCACGATTTAGCTGTAGCGGATAAAACAAATTGTTTAAAGCATTTTTGACACAACTTTTCTTTTAGAGATTTTTTGGCTTGTTACCCTGCACACAAGTCATTAATTTTACCACACGCAATAACTCCCTATACTAGTTATAGTGTATGAAGAATGAGCAAGTATAATGTAAATTTAGTTAAAAGATTGTCGTGGAGAGTGATGTAGCTACACACGAACTTGAATTGGCGCACTTAAAAAAAAATGGAACTCGGTACTCACCGCCGTGAGTGACAGCGAGCGCATTTTCTCGTCGACGAAAACATGAAGTCACGGACGGACAGACAGACAGACGGGGCGAGCACTAGTGAATTTCTTTCATAAATGAGCAAATGTGCTAAAAAGATTAGATGAATTGAGTTGAGACTATATAGTAAATAGACATGTAGAGTTTCATTGAAATTTCATTTACAGCTCTGTGATGTTTTGCAGCTACCGGACTACTACTTTTAGCACTAAATAAAATACCTTCTGACAAAACGTGATGATTCAACTACGTAGTAATTATGTCAGCCTAGCAACAGCTGTGCAAAAGAATTGAAATTACCATAGTAACATCTCCAGCTGTAAAAATCCAGTTTGAAGACTTCAACCACGTTAAAATGAAAAATTAGTGCTGTATCGAAATATAGCGAAAGTCAAACAGCTTATGGTCAGAATCACTTCATTACAGCATAGAAAAGGAATATCAAAATTTGAGAATAATCAATTTATTTCCGGACTTGTGAACATAGTAAAGAGTTCGATATAAACGTAATCATAGCAATTATGACAACAAGAGAAGACTCGTCCAACCTATGATCAGAGTGAAAGAGATCACAATAAGTCAGCAGCTGTTCATGCACGTTAAATGCATGATTGTTTCGTCTAGCATGAGCACCACGTTCCGTTCTAAAATCGACGTCGGAGTCGAAATCTAAAGATTCATATTTTCTTTTCAAAGGTCTGTTCCATTCGTTTTTGGGGCTTGAACGGCCTGTAGCACTTTGCTTGTGTACCGTGTTAAGAGCTCTGAAGTCCTGCAAACATGCATAATTTTGTTCAGATAAACGCTTGAAATGGTTAGCGTTCATCGTGTTATTAAGAAGCAGGTGAAGGCTCGCTAGATGTGAGTACACGAGAGTCTGGATAAGCAGGGGAGCCAGCAGCATCAGTTCTTGGCAAGGATGGTCAGCAGGCAAGGCAGGAACCACCCACATTGTAGATGTAACCATGCTGAGAGGACGGGAAAAAAGTTTGACTGAAATTAGCAAACCGAAATTTTACACAAGCAATAAGGTCTCGATACCAAGTTTTCATTCAAATCACGGATTTCACTAAGGGCCTTCTAGTGCAAAGTCAGTATGTACTTCTTGAAAGAATGTGATAATGACATTATATGTTACCTGGCACATTCCTTTAGAGCACTCGAATGATTTTCGGCCAGAAGGAAGCTTTCCACCCTCATCACACTTCGGAAAAGTCGAGCCAAGATAGAAAGTTGATGCTTACAGCTGCTTTCATAGTACTGCGTAGCGTCAATGTGATCTGCAAGGACATGAACATCCAATGAAAATAGATCCAATAGAAAACTTTATAAATATATAAAAAAAATTACGAGCACAAAATATTTGACGCTCATTACCAGGATCTAGATCTGCAGCCAATAGCTCTTCCAGTTGAGCGATCTTTTGTAGCTTAAACGCAGCAATTGCGGCTAACGAGCGGAGGGCGGCGCGAGGTGGACATTGAGGACCTGTGAGGTGAGCAGGAAGCAGCAACCTCCGCTCGGTGCCAATACAGTTCTCAACTCCCTCACTCGCCCAAGAAGGTTCATTTTGAAGAGCAGAATAATGCTCTAATGCTTCCGTGTACCCCTACACAGAGTAATAAATATTTAGAATACACACTAACTTGAGGTAATTTTTGGTAAAAATAAATAAGCGAACGTGTTATCATCATTGATGAACGCCTGACATTAGATGGGTCAAGAAATAACGACTTTTTCCCTGACACAATAAACGAGATTGAAAATGGCTGTAAACAGGCAATTACTGTTACTGAAAATTGCCATAAACACAGTAATTTTAACGAATCAACTATTTAATAAAGGCACTTGGTTGCGAGTGGATACGGCCATAAGCAGCGCCCGTGCAGCGGTTGGAGAAGGTTTAGGAAGCATTGCCCGCAGCAGCGATGCGCTGAACGACTCGTAGCCGTCGCTTCTACCCGCCTCAACACAGCCCTGTGAAAGCCCACAGATCTTTTCACTCTCAGTTCTCCATTCAAACAGTCAGTTTGCGATAATGTTTTAATTCACAATTCTCCTTCAGATCAAAAACCAGGTTGTAGGATAAATAAAATTATATATTTACCTATATATATGTATATATATTGGTGTAGTTCGGCAGAAGCTTTTCCTTCATGTAAGTTCGATTGTCAGACCAGCGCATGCTTTTTATTAATAAAATAATCTTTTTTTTTTGTTGTACCGACGAGTCGAACAAATTCTCTTGCTGGCGCCGGGAGATCAAAAAGCAGCTTACCAAATGACATTTTTATGGATTGCGACGTTTCGAAAATACAATTTTCATTATCAAGCTGGTGAATGTTTTGTGATGGTAACTAAATATCAAGCAGAAATGCCGTTTGACTTCAGCTAGCCGGAAGTAATAATAATAATTGATAACAACAGTTCAAAACTTTTGAAGACAAAAAAGCTGAATTATTTACACAAACCAGCTGAATATCTTGTAGGGCACATGCTTTCAGGGGTCAGTTTTGAAAGTGATGAATCATAATAAGAGCATGGAAATTCCTGGACCGTTTTCTTTTGAACCATCGGTGAAGCAGGTATCTTGGTACCCGCGCGTCGGAGGGCAAGGCCAGTGCAGCACTCAGAGAGGGAATATGCGCCCAGTTAGGTACTATCACTGTGATGGGAACACGACCCTACCACAGTGGTAGTTCCTACCTGGGAACACACGCTCTTACGGCGAAATTCGGCGTCTTGAAACGTTGCACAATGCATATTTTTCTGGCAAGCATCATCGCAGGATGTTAAAGTTTCCTCACTCCAATAATCATATTGATCTTTTCCACGGAAGTTTTGAGAACAGTAGCAATGAGCTGAGATGAGAGGATGGCACTGGTTGGATGAGTGTAAAACCTCTAGTCATGAATCGAACACAGCACGCACTAGAGGTACACCCACTGAACCAACACACCCACAAAATCAGTTGACTAAATTCTTAAGCATTGTGTGGAAGTTTAGAAACTGTAAAACAAAAACACGATTTCTACAAGAAAACTGAAAGACTGAAGACGAGAGTATTCTGAACCCATTATTTACGAAGAAGACAACTCACCCTAAGAAACAATTGCAGACTGTTCATAGCAGCAGATGTTATTCCTTGTCTTTCATAAGCTTGATATGCGTTGAATATCACATGCGATAGGCGAGGCCATGATGCGAGAGCATCTCTGTAGCACGCAGTGGCGAGCGTGTAACATGAATTGTCTTGCGCGACAAGCCCTTTAAGCCATAGAGCACAGGCACGCAAGGCAGGGTCACATATACACTCAGGCCCGTCTATCAGCTGCTCTACAGTATCCAAGATGAGCTTGTGTGAGCCACACTCATGATACAATTTGAAAGCCTCAAGTAAACTTTGTGTTTTTGAAGGCTGCTCCCAGTTTCTGGGGAGCTTTTGTAAATTGTAGATGAAATTGAGGGCGCCAAGCAACGATTTTAAAAGAACTAGATAAGAGTTTTCCGAATCTAACATTTGCGCTAGCCATTCTGGAGGATGAGATTCAGCTGGTTCAGGCCTGCACAATAAACTTTTAAAAAAATTTTCAAATGCTAAAGGTTCAGCAGGCAAGACCAATGCATACAGTAGAACTGAACTGACAAAACTTTGGGTCCATAAATCGTTGTGCACTGATGATGCAGTCACAAGTAAGTCCTCACTTGTTCCAAACCCTGCACAAAAATTGTAAAACAACTGTGAATAAAGTTTTACAAATAATACTTTTACACAACCTTCAAATTTTATTATATAGAGATCAAGCTAAAGCCTGCAGTTGCACAGTGGAATGTGCGTGTATGTAAAGAAAATAGAGGAAAGAAATGCATCAGCCCATCAAACTACATTAAAATGAATTAATTTCTTTAATTTTTGCCAAGTATAAAATTCAATTGTAGCCAATTCTTAACCAACAAAAAGAAATAGGCATATTAACACTCACACTTTATCATGAATTGGCAGCAATGAAGCTCAACAAGATTTTGTTCAATTCTTCCACCACTGAAACGCAGGTATAAGATCGATAGAAAAGCATTGCAGTCCAGTTTCCATACTTTTGCCTCATCCACAGACTCTTCAAGAGCTGAACTTTTGTGGCTGATGGGCTTTGGAGGGGTCCAACATTGCTGTACTAGTTTATTCAGCCGGACGGAAGCAGCACAAGAATCATTACCACTCTGAAAAATTCAAATACTTTTTACTGCTGCAAGAAAAAAACAAAATTTAATAATACTTCATCACATTTTGCATCCATTACATCAATTTCATAGCTTCAGGCTTCAAGCTTTATAGTATCAGGGATTGGCTGTGAAAAAAATTCCACATTAATGCATGAACTGTATCAAGCAAAGGTGTTTTTTGAACAAAAAGATTGACTTGAAGACAGTTGTAGCTCTTTGTTAATAGAACAAAGACTACAGCAAGACCTTACATTTAAGTATATGCATGGAGGTTGCATCATCATCTAACAATTCATTAAAAAATACCAATGGAAGACCCTGGAGGAGCTCTAATTTTGAAATTTATCTCAAATCCAACAGATATTTATATGCAGTATCTAAGTTTACCATATTGTTGGTTCATAATGAATTCTTTGCAATTTGAAATGAGTTTGTTGACTAAAATTTCATTTTCATCTGAAAAAATAGTTTCGAGTGATCATATATGGTCTCAGACTCTAAAAACAACACATGACAATAGTGGGTTGGAAAAAAAACCCCAGTAAAAAATAATTGACATATTACTGGGCCCCCAACTTTTTCCAAAGCCATTCCCGACCCATTATAATGCAATGAAATGAAAAGTGACTACCAGATATTTCCTTTACATTAATGTATCTTGTGTTTTTTTTGCACAGTTGCATAAATTCTTGGAGGCTTTTTTGGTCATTTTTGTCACATCATTGCTGGAAAAATACACAGCACTTCAGAGATTTTTTGTAACTATTTTATGTTAGCCCAACATGAACTGTAACTTTAACATCAATTACAACTTTGCTGTTAATTTGATTAGTATACTATTTTTTCTTGAAGTGAAATATAAAAAAAAAACATATTAGTCTTAAAAAAATTTTCATTAATTATATTTAGGCACTATAACTTCAGGTTTGATGTTATTTTTGGCCTAAATAAACTCAAAAGTTCATAAAATCAGTATTAATGTATTACAGATGGATAATTTTGAAACTTGGTGCTTATATGTAAAATAGAAATATAAGACTTTTTGTTTGTGTAAATTTAAAATATATATCATTATTCACTGCAGTGAGTGACAGAGTGCATTTTCTCGTTGCCGAGTATCACGTATACTCAGCAACTTGGCAACGCGAAGTCACAGACAGACAGACATGATGAGCACAATAGCGTCTTTTTTCCATAAATGAGAAAAAGTGCTAAGAAATGAAAGCAAATGTGAAATTCTTAGAAAATGGCAGAAAAGGGGGTACCATAAAAATTTATTTCCTTGATTAATTGATGTGCTACATACAACATGGAGAGATATCATTCAATTTGTAAAGACCATATCTAGCAATCATTCAATACTTTTATCCAATCTTTTCAATTTTTTGTATTTTTTTTTTAATTTTGGCCCCCCATTTTTCACTATATAATAAATAAGTAAAAATCAGAAAATGTGACCTAATTATTGCTAGATCAGGTCTTACCATCTTCATGAATCAAATGGTGTATCTCTCAATGCTGTAGCATGAAAATCATGGGAGGAGATAGAGTTTTGAGATGAAAATTCCAAGTTTTCAGATGAGCCAAAATAACTGAAATTGTGATCATTGAAGGTATAAGTTTTACTTGCACTTTGACAGCTGTCATAAATGAACAAATTAATTCACAAACGTGGCTTTCAGCTTTTAACTCTTCAAATGCACAGTTCTTAGACCTTTAACATAAGCCTGAAAACCAGAAAAGTTTAAATTTTCTATTTTTTATGTACATGCTCCCCTCAAGTCCTTAAATAGACTAAATAATCATGATAAACTCAACAAAAGAAAGCTGGTAATGAAGAAAGAAGATCAAATCATCAAGGTATTTATTTTTACAGGCAAAATTCACTCACAGAAATTTCATTTTTTTCTAACATACACCGTTTTTTTAGAAAACATACAGGATTTTTTTAAACACATGTATGTAGGTTTGTTTCAATTTTTAATAATTCAGCTTCCTAACTAAAAAAATAGTTGCATTACAAGCCTGGTCATTTCTGAGTATATACACAAGATACACAAGTAGTACCTACTCATGCGGTTTGGTACAAATTTCACAGTGTAAGTGCAATTCTTCAAAAGATGCAGGGAAAATAATGAAAATTTCTTTTTCCAGAGTCTGAGACTATATAAATTATGTGACTCAAAAATTGTTTTGGTTATAGTTAAAAAATTGATTACATCACACCCCAGAGAATACAAATAAAAAGAAAATAAAAATGAATCAAAATTTAAAGCAGCCATTTTAATTAGGCTACAGTCCAATCAGGAATATTAAACAGAATTTTCTAAAAAAATTATGAGGAAAAATTATGCCATTTTTCTCAATTTTATAGGGTTCAAACTTCAAAGGTTGTCAGTAATCAGGGTGGAATTTTGGCAATGTTGATTGATCTATTCAATGGCAAAAGAGTCGAATCATGTGCTACATACAAAATATCCCCATGATACCATCTAAGTCACACAAGTTACCACCCAGCATCTGCTTTTCTGCTGCACTTAATTTGCTACTCTTCAATGAAAACTAAAATGCTGGTCAGAATTAAAATCTGCAGTCCAAAAACTGATAAAACTTTTTTATCCACGATATAAAATGTTGTAGCGGAGATTTTGTAAGAAAATAATTCTCTTTTATAGCGCATTTTCTCATTTATAGAAAAAAATGTGCTATTGTGCTCGTCATGTCCGTCTGTCTCTCTGCCCATCTGTCCGCAACTTCACATTTTTGTCAATGAGATGATGTGCGCTCTGCCACTCACTGCAGTCAGTGCAGTGAGTAGGCTACCGTAAAATGGGGTTACTTTGACCAGCGGGGTAACTTTGACCACTTTTTGTTTTTTAACAAAAACCCCCAAAACTCAAAAATGATTTGACATAAAAAAATTTTGTCAATGGCCATCAAAGGCCTAATACTGAGGCTACGTAAGTACGTAACACAATAGAAAGATTTAAAAAGTTTGCATATCTAATAGGTTAAAAAATTAATAATGTGACCCATGAAAAAGAGCTATTATTTAAAGCCATATTTTTTATTTTTGAAGACCAGCAACAAAAAGTTAGTGGAATTGATGATAGCCATATTAAAAAAAATTAGTCATAGCTAAATCAAAGCTCCAGATAATAGTTTTCCAACTGAGTTCCAGCTTTCAAGCAAGCAAGAATTGTCATGCAAATTTCCAAAGCCAGGTGAATGCTTGAAAATTTGCTAGGCCTAATTAAATTCAAGGCAATGAAATGCATTGATAAAGGACCATCTCCTGTCCAATTAACTAGTTATTCAGAATTATTACTACTTATAATTGAATTAGAATAGAATAAAATCTAGCTAACTTGAAAATTCTTTGACAGAAATCCGGATACATATTTTGATATTTACATACTTATTTGCAAGTTTTTGAGACATGACCAAGCCTCTGACGCGACAGGCAATGCTAGGGCGAAGCCGCGAAGGCCTGTTGCTGTTCGAATTTCAAAGAAAGGGCACATACGTTACATAGGCCAGATAGGGCCACCATGTCCCCTTGTAAGCATTTAAAACGTATAGCTATAAGTAGCAAGTAGGTGGGCGCTGGGCAGCAAAGTTAGTTATTATCTACAGACTACAAATAACAGCTATAAAAACTTCTTAACTTTTCTAGCAACAGAATAACGTATTACTACTAATAACGATGCTTACGATGCAATGTTGCACTGCCTCACACAACTGTTGCTGCCTGCCCGTTGAAGCGACCGCGTATGATTCAAATACAACTCTTCCAACCGCCTCTTGCCTCACGTGGCGTCTGTCGGGCGAGAGCATCGCCCCTCCCCGAACATTTATTCCGGCCATTCTTCTTGCCTAGAGAGACATATTCACCACTTATAATAAAAAAGGTAAGTTGAACATTTCATTCAAAATATTTGTTACTCTAAATCGTAAAACACTCTCTCACTAATTCGTTTTTCTCAATATTATGTCGAGTTGAGATTTGGCATCCAACGTTCAACCTGAATATCCCGCCACCGGCGCCACGACTGCTGAGTCCTCTAGTGATTTTTTTTAGAACTTGAATAGTCTCATTTTTCGCTAGCAAGAATTTTAAAATAACACAAACACTATTGCCAAAACACGCTTCTACATGCCAAAATTGGCCTGTTTTTCAGCGCCAACACTGAAATACTCTACGATTTCCCGATTAGCAACTGGATTGCTTTACTATACTATAACGAATTGCACCTGATTGCGATTGTGTGAGATTTTTTACTACTAAAATGGCGCGTAAGACGTTGGTAGTTTTTTTAGGGTGATCGGCATAAATTTCTAAAACTATAAAAAATTTCAAAGGCCTAATGTATTTACATGGTATTTTGCGCTAGCTTGACTCTGATGAATCTTCCTATTTTTCTTCCTTTTGAGTTGAAATTTTCATCTTGAACGCTGCACTTATAGTTTTGCCATTCGGTGGTTTCCACCTCTGATGTGAATAATGTGATCATGTAACCTATTTCTATTTTTGTATCTTTCCTAAATTCCGCGGTCTTTTCGGAGACTAGACTGCTACCTAAAGGAACGTATCGTCTACATTCTCTGAAGCTGGTGAGACTTTTTCATGAAGTTATTATTTGTTTGGCGATGAGTGTTGTCTACGTTTAATAGTATAAGGAATTACACTGAATTGTAATATTCTCCAAAAGGTTTTGTACAGGGCTTTATAAGTGCGAACATTTTTATGACACGCTACACTTCCTCAGCTTCAGGATGCTTTTGGGAGCCGGTAGAATCGTAGCTTACGTTGATGATATCAATCTTCGACGGGCAGCCGACAGGATTCCTGTTGTACGTAACAGAGTGAGTGTATATCATTATTCGAGTACAGGTTGCCTTGCAAATTATTCTACTGTTCACAAAGCTATGAATTGATTGCTGCTCGGTCTCCAATCTTATTTATCTTAACCACTTGAACACCCCCAGCTGAAATAACTAATGATACAACTGCTATTATGTATGCATAGTTAGAGACCACAAGTAAAAATTGCTTTACTCCTTCGCTATTGCATTTTACGATGATAAAATTTCATTATTATCGCAACATTCGCTAATATCATTTTATTACATCGGTCTTTCCCTCTCTAATTTGGTTGAAAATTGATATCAATGCAGGCTTCCATGGTGCATGAACTAATGAAGGTTTACGGCCTCTTGGAGTTGATGAAAACGGTGCCAAGCTCGCCTGCATCAGAAGATTATGTCAAACTCTTTCATTCTTCAGACTACATCAATTTCTTGAAGGCCGTCACGCATACTAATGATGATGACCTATCAATCGAAGAAGAAGAGTTAGAAGATACATTTGGGCTCGGTAAGGAAACATCTCTAGTTTTACGCCTTACGGTATACATTTTCCTACAAGAAAAACCGAGTCCAAAAACGTTAATCTGCACAAAAAATTAATTGCTTTCGGGAGTTACATGTTACTCGGCTATAGAACATATCTTTAATTGTATGTTGCAACTGAATCCAACAGAATTATAATGTAAGATTATGAATCTTGTAAGTTCGCATGATTTATTATTCTTTTGATACCACAAGGCTTTGACTGCCCGGCGCTACCGATGCTGTGGTCGTTGGTATGTCACGTCGCTGGAGGCTCCATGGCCGCCGCGAGGCTACTTACCTCCGGTCAGGCCAGTGTTGCGATCAACTGGTGCGGCGGGTGGCATCACGCTCAGAGGTATAAATTAGTGTTGCACTTGTGGAAGATAATAAAGTATGAATTATTAAATAACATCACATGATTAATTAAATAAATTAATGTTGAAGTTGTGGAACTCAATGCAGTATGAATGTTACGAAACATACTACGCCGAGCTTTGTGACATATATACATATATATCTCATTTGTTATTTGTGGACTATTTTCACGCATGTAGTCTCACACTATTTATCCGAGTTGCATTTGATTTCGTTTTGAACCATCAACCATCCACAGAGCCAGAGTTGTCAAGGTGCATGTAGAGTGAATTCTGTATCATTGTATTCTATTGGTGCTAAAGAGAGTGTCTAATTGTTTACCCAGATTTTTTTCCGAATTGAAATAGAGAAATCGCAAGAAATTCCGTTTATTATTTAAGCTTTCATGTCTTATCTCCGCACCCAGAGAAATGAGAAGACTTATGCATTTAGCGATGCACATTTAACCCCTGTGTATGTGCATATACCCTTTCCTTACCCTGTTTTGGCTGGCAAAAAAGCGTATCCGCGCTACATTGAGAAAGTGTCTTACTATTAGGGCAACACGTATGACTCATTTATTTTTCATATGCAGGGACAGCGCCTCTGGCTTCTGCTACGTTAACGACGTCGTGCTAGCGATCATGCAACTCAGACACAAGTTCGCTAAAGTCGCCTACGTTGATCTCGACGTTCATCATGGTAAGCAAAAATAATCACAGGTCTACCCTCACTTACTAAATTAGTACTTATGAAACTTCATATATTTTGTGGCTGTATAAATTTAGAATTATCGCGTAAATTACCAAGTTCAAACATAACAACTAGCTTAGACAGTAAGGACTTGTGCTGATTATAATGAGCGATTCCGAAAATTCGATCTTCAAAACCTAACATCCCGTTGTTAGGTAATAAAATCAATTTAAATTTATTTTATTTCCAAATGGGAAGGAATTGGTGATAAATATTTTCTGACTTTACCTTGTAATCTTTGTGAGCAATCCTTGTAATTCTTAGCTCCATAGGTGACGGCGCAGAGAACGCCTTCAAAACATAATATATCTTCCCTGTTTTGGGTTATCAAATCCATTTAAAGTTATTTGATTTAAATATTTAGAGGAATTGATGAGAAATGCATGCTGTCTTTACTTTGTAATACATATGTGTAACCGATACTTGTAATTGTTTACGTAGGTGACGGCGCATAGGAGAACGCCTTCAAAACATAATATATCTTCCCTCTTATGGGTAATCGAATCCATTTGAAGCTATTTGATTTAAATATTTGGAGGAATTGGTGAAAATGCTTTGCATACTTTGTAATATGTGTAACCGATACTTGTAATTGTTTACGTAGGTGACGGCGCATAGGAGAACGCCTTCAAAACATAATATATCTTCCCTCTTTTGGGTAATCGAATCCATTTAAAGTTATTTGATTTAAATATTTGGAGGAACTGGTGAGAAATGCATGCTGTGTTTACTTTGTGATATATGTAACCAATTCTTGTAATTGTTTACGTAGGTGACGGTGTGGAGAACGCGTTCGCTTTCAGCCGCTCGGTGCTGACGGTGTCGCTGCACCTGAAGGAGGACGGCTTCTTCCCAGGCACCGGAACCCAGGATGACGTGGGCGAGGGAGAGGGGCGCTACTTCTGCCTCAACGTCCCCTACAAGGCTGGGCTCTCGGACGATAATTTCGTCGAGCTTTTGAAAAGGTTTGAACAATATGCTCATGAAAAATATTCTTTTCATAGAATAGAATAGAAGTGTCNGGAGTACTCTCAGGCTGTCTCTTATACACATCTAGATGTGTATAAGAGACAGAGTATATTAAATTCAAAATATATTTCAAAGGAAAATTAGTATGAAATAAATTTCATTCTCTTCAGAAGAAAATCTTTTCAGTACGTTGAACATGTTGCATGTTAAACATTACGTGAAACTCTGCACATTTTAAGGTTAAATATGAAGTGAATCTCTTCACAATTTACGTGTTTAGCTCTTCAAAAAAAATTTTACATGAGAAAAATAATGTTCTCAACACATTCTACACGTTAGACTCTTCACATTTTACAATTGAGACTTATATCACTTTACGTGTGAAACCCTCCACATTTTATAATAAGATGTACCACGTGAAGAAGTGCTCAATAGCTTATTCTATCATTCTGGAAGTGCTGATTTGTTTTCGATAATTATTAAATTTATCGTTTAAGTAATCAAAAAATATTTTATAGCTTTTTATCTGGTTATTGATGATAGAACAACAAAGGTACACTTATGCGTCCAGTGAAAGACTTAAATATTTAGCCATAGTTTCGTCCTGTATTTTATAACGCAAAATTATAATGAAAAAATTGTTGACACTCATTTCTATATGTTTAGTTTAATAAAATATCTCTTGCCAGCGTGGTGGAGGAGGCAGTGCAGGTGTTCGCCCCTGACTGTCTGGTGGTGCAGTGCGGGGGTGACGCGCTCGCCCTCGACAGGCTGGGGGGCGCCAACATCTCCATCGACGGCTACACCAGAGCTCTCTCCCTCCTGCTGCGTCTGCAGTGCCCCACGATGCTCTTGGGGGGAGGTCATGCGCCGCTCGCACTTCCTGTCCGTTTTTCGAGCACCGCTTGCGCTTCCTGTCTTTTTTCGAACGCCCCTCACACTTCCTGCCCGTTTTTCAAGCGCCGTTCGCATTTACTGTCCGTTTTTCGAGCGCTACTCGCACTTCGTGTTTATTGTTCGAGTGCTGTTGCACTCGACTTTTTTCGAGCGCCGCTTGCACATCCTGCCTATTTTTTAAGCGCCGCTCGCACTTCCTGTCCGTTTTTCGAGCGCCGCTTGCACTTTCTGCCTGTTTGAGCGACTGCCGTTACTACCATATTGCGCCGTTGTTTTGAGCGCAGCTGTTATGAATTAATATTACTGTGTATGGATAAATTTTCACCAAATGCTATTATTGAATACTGGATTTACTATGATTAAATGAATATTGATACTATTCTCTTATTTCGTGGCAGATAGAAGGCTTTCTCGGTTCGTTTGAAATAAACGCCGTTCTTGGTTAATATAGGAACTGGCTATTACTTGAAGCTTTCTTAGTCAGAGATGACTAGCATGATTGCCGATTTATTTGCTAATTGCTTTCACTGCATTTTAGTCAGTGTTACCGAATGATAAGGATTATTAGTTCCGTAGTGCATCATTTTCTTTCAATATTAGCCACAGCACTCATAGTTCGTATTTGCCTACAGGAGGCTACGAGCCCGCCAATGCAGCGAGATTGTGGACGAGTCTAACTGCTTCTGTCCTGGGGACTTCACTAGACTTAGAGATTCCGGAACACTGTGTAAGAATATTTAATTATATTTAATCCAAGTTCTGATTTGAAATTGCTATTAGTCGTGCAAGTAACTTAAGAGCTTATAGTCTGATAAAATGATTTCGCATATTAGTTTTTTTATGCACACATTTTTGCAGAGCACATCTGATTTTCTGAAAATTTGCAGTTTTTTGAAAGGTACGGTCCTAGTTTTGATCTCGCGGTGACTCCTTCCAACCGCAGGGATCAGAACTCGTCGGAATACCTAGCAGCTCTCAAGTCAAGTATAAAAGGTGATTATTGTACACTTACTGAATAGCTTAGCGCTCATTGTTTCTGAGATTTAAATGCTTCATCATGTGAATTTTTTGTTGCTTATAAATGCAAGAACACGCTGCACTCAAAGATATCAAATGACGTCTAGTTCTATCAAGTATACGGTATTTTACATATATAAATGTTGAACAATTGCCGAATTTATTGTTCTCAGCTCACGGTGAAGAGATCCAGAAAAGAATAATGAACAAGACTCCGTGTCAAGAACCTCGATATTCAAGCTCCAACAAACATCCCTGCTATAAACGCTCGGATGAGACTGGAAGCAGCAGCAGGATTGATGATGAACCCAAGTCAGTTCTTGCCTTTGGAATCTCGCAACACAGCCTCGGAAAAGTTCCAGACTCTGCTCCCGGTACATCTACACAGAACAAAGTTTCTGTTACGCTAAATGTTGATAGTAGCGATCTAGAAGAAACACCGTTCATAATGACGGATGATTGTTCCATGGACAAAAAAGGCTGTACGAAGAAACACACAGTCGTATCTGGTGCTTCCAGATTAAAATATTCTTTTAAACGTCAGAAACTTGAAGAAGGGAAATTATCCACGATGAATGCACATAATCATGAGCAAAATATTGAGGATATCTATGATTTTACTGAGGGCGAATTTTGATAAATTGAAATTTTAGTTGACCTATTTTAATTTAGAATACAATGGTAGACTAATATTCTTGGCACAATATTTGCAACTTATTGCATCTTCGGCTTCTCAAATCAATGCTCAAGTTTGCCTTTGTTTTAAACATTTGAATTCTTGCAGAATCATGGCCTATTCTTGTCTCATAATTAGTCTAGCAGGCTGTGTGTCTAGAGAAAAAGAATGCGATTTGCGCTTGGTTTTGTACAAAGGCATAGTTCGACCATGGTGCGAAGGAACCTGAAATTTTGGAAATGATGCAATGCATAATATAACATGTTCCTATTTGATGTTGTGAATCAATTTATAAAAATATATTAACAAGTGCACTTCTATTGTTGTTATGTTTGAATTTTGAAAAATGACTGGTTAGTAAATAAGTTTTTGAATGCAAGTAGAAATTGTTTTTGATTCATTATTCGTATGAGTTTTGAATTAGCATTGCTTTTTATTCCTTTCGTTGCTCGTCCATGACACAAGCATCTTCATTAGTTATTGTTAACAAAATTGAACTAGCATATCATTTACTTTTATGAAGTTGAACCGTACCTGTGGAGTACGCTTCACTTTTTATTCCCATGGTTTAAATAATTGTTCAACCATGGGTTTTATGGTTGAAAAAAGTCCACTTTTTTAAAAACTCGCTATGTTTCTGCCTCTCTTAGTTCTTTGTCTAAGGTAGCTATTTGTGTTTTATAATTATATTCCATTACTTCTTATTCGTGGGTTCTTTTGTTGCAACCCTGAGCTTCACAACCTGCGAATGCGCATCTGTCGGATTCATGCGTATTTATTCTTTCTGTCGGATTCATTTTAGTCATCATTTCTCTCCCGTTGAGCCATCACATGTAAAATGTTTTGGCAATAATATAATATATTTTCTACTTCTACAATCGATTCGTCTTTGTGAATATCCCTGTCGTACGGCGCTCCCGTTGGTGGCCGCTGGGGCGGCTGATATGGATGGGATCATTCGTGAGATATAATAATAATAATAATAATAATAATAGCGGTTTCAGCGTTTATTAGGCCGTAGGCCTGTCGCCGATTCTTAACATCGCAGAACGTTCACAGCTTGATGTGGTCTCGAACTCGCAACTCACTGCTCCCATTCTGCTGTGCTTAATACCCTTTCATGACTGACGTGACTGTGACGTCCCACTCAATGTTTTACTCCATAACTTGCATACAACATACCATTCGAGGCATAGCTAACTACAGGGACACATGAGTAACACTCCTGCGCCGTGTCAACTCAAAAGTAATTGACTGACGGGATTGTGGCGTCCCGCCCAACGATTTACTCTATTACTTGCATGTAGTGCTAAATTCAAGGCATAGCTAACTACAGGGACATATTAGAAACACTCCTGCGCGTACATATGTCCAATCTAAAGGAATATTAATATTTGTTCTTTTTGGAATATGTTATTATATAAGCTATTACACGCGCTTGCCAAAGCAAGTTTGTGATATTATACAACTACTAACAAAAAATATTACGAAAATATTTTTTTTATCAAAATCAGTGATGTCGCAAATTGTGTCACCTCAGTTGGAACCATATACTACCGGGATTTTCTAGTCCCAAATATATAATTTCTACTATTAACATATATTTAATTATTTTTTACGGAGATGCAATATTCGGTCCCAGTTCATGATGATTCTGTAGAAAAATACGAATAAAAAGTTGTAAAACACATTGCCGTCACGAAAGGGTTAACCGCCCGGCCTCCTCGCCGATTGTCAACAGAAGCTGGCGCACAGAGCTGGCTCAGCTGGGGTAGAACCCGCGCCTCTCTGCTCCAATCCCGGTACTCTAACTTTAACCACTGGGCCACCCTGCCCGAATTAAAAGGAGATGGATGGATACCACCCTGAGATGGATCGGATTTGCTATTCAACCGAACCCTCCGATTTGAAACTCTTAGTCTTTGTCACATTTTTTTTTCGAGCGACGGTTGGGTAAGGACGTGTCCTAAGCTGATCTACCGTGAGTAAAAACTGAAGTAAAATTTTCGCTAGGAATTTAAAAGCAAAGAAAACGCCAAGAAAATTCACCATATCGATATTGAAAACGTTTCGGAGTCCAGCTCCATCATCAGTTCGACTAAACTAAAAATGAATAAAATCACTTTAAAAGTCAAAATTCAAAGACAGACATAAAACCTAAACAAGACCTA